CGAAAGTCCATTTTCTTTGGATATTGAAGGCTACATATCACTGATTCGGCCTGAGTCTATTCTCCAACGATGATTGAGTCCATTAAGTACCGATTTGGGTGGATTTATTCCGGTTCAATTTTTGGGAGATTCCAAAGGGGTACCATCACAGATTTCGGGCGATTTATCCGAAATGCCATTTTCTTTCGATTCTGGAGGCTACAGATCACGGAATCAGGCCAAGGCTATTCTCCACCGATAACGAAGTCTATTGATCCTATTCTCCACGGATGATAAGTTCGTTAAGCATCGATTTGGGCCAATTTATTTTCGGATGGCATTTTCGTAATTTCTTGTGCGGCGAAAGGCCATTTTCTTTTGATATTGAAGGCTACATATCACTTTTTTGGCCTGAGGCTATTCTCCAACGATGATTGAGTCCATTAAGTAGCAATTTGGGCGGATTTATTCCGAGTCAATTTTTGGCAAATTCCAAAGGGGTACGTACCATCACAGATTTCGGGCGATTTATCCGAAATGCCAATTTATTTTGATTCTAGAGGCTACAGATCACGGAGTCAGGCCGAGGCTATTCTCCACAGATGATGAAGTCTATTGATCCTATTCTCCACGGATGATAAATCCGTTAAGAATCGATTTGGGCCAATTTATTTTTCGGATGGCATTTTCGTAATTTCTTGGGCGACGAAAGGCCATTTTCTTTGGATATTGATGGCTAAAGATCACTGAGTCGGCTTGAGTCTATTCTCCAACGATGATTGAGTCCATTAAGCACCGATTTGGGAGGATTTATTCCGGGTCAATTTTTGGCAGATTCCAATGAGGTACCATCACAGATTTCGGGTTATTTATCTGAAAAGCCATTTTCTTTCGATTCGGGAGGCTACAGATCACGTAATTAGGACGAGAATATTCTCCAACGATAACGAAGTATATTAATCCTATTCTCTGCGGATGGTAAGTCCGTTAAGCATTGATTTGGGCCAATTTACTTTCGGATGACATTTTCGCAATTTCTTGGGCGACGAAAGGCCATTTTCTTTGGATATTGAAGGCTACAGATCACTGATTCGGCCTGAGGCTATTCTCCAACGATGATTGAGTCCATTAAGCAGCGATTTGGGCGGATTTATTTTGGGTCAATTTTTGGTAGATTCCAAAGGGGTACCATCACAGATTTTTGGCGATTTATCTAAAATGCCATTTTCTTTCGATTCTGGAGGCTACAGATCACGGAATCAGGCCGATGCTATTCTCCACCGATAACGAAATCTATTGATCCTATTCTCCACGGATGATAAGTCAATTAAGCATCGATTTGGGCTAATTTATTTTCGGATGGCATTTTCGAAATTTCTTGGGCGACGAAAGGTTATTTTCTTTGGATATTGAAGACCACAGATCACTGATTCGGCCTGAGGCTATTCTCCAATGATGATTGAGTCCATTAAGCACCGATTTGGGCGGATTTATTTTGGGTCAATTTTTGGTAGATTCCAAAGGGGTACCATCACAGATTTTTGGCGATTTATCTAAAATGCCATTTTCTTTCGATTCTGGAGGATACAGATCACGGAATCAGGCCGAGGCTATTCTCCACCGATAATGAAGTCTATTGATCCTATTCTCCACGGATGATAAGTCCGTTAAACATAAATTTGGGCCAATTTATTTTTCGGATGGCATTTTTCGTAATTTCTTGGGCGACGAAAGACCATTTTCTTAGGATATTGAAGGCTACAGATCACTGATTCGGCCTGAGGCTATTCTCCAACAATGATTGAGTCCATTAAGCACCGATTTGGGCGGATTTATTCCGATTCAATTTTTGGCAGATTCCAAAGGGGTACCATCACAGATTTCGGGCGATTTATCCAAAATGCCATTTTCTTTCGATTCTGGAGGCTACAGATCACGGAATCAGGCCGAGGCTATTCTCCACCGATAACGAAGTCTATTGATCCTATTCTCCACGGATGATAAATCTTTTAAGCATCGATTTCGGCCAATTTATTTTCGGATGGCATTTTCGTAATTTCTTGGGCGACGAAAGGCCATTTTCTTTCGATATTGAAGGCTACAGATCACTGATTCGGCATGAGTCTATTCTCCAACGATGATTGAGTCCATTAAGCAGCGATTTGGGCGGATTTATTCCGTGTCAATTTTTGGAAGATTCCAAAGGGGTACCATCACAGATTTCGGGCGATTTATCCGAAATACCATTTTCTTTCGATTCTGGAGGCTACAGATCACGGAATCAGGCCGAGGGTATTCTCCACCGATAACGAAGTCTATTGATCCTATTCTCCACGGATGATATGTCCGTTAAGCATCGATTTGGGACAATTTATTTTTTGGATGGCATTTTCGTAATTTCTTCTACGACGAAAGACCTTTTTCTTTGGATATTGAAGGCTACAGATCACTGATTCGGCCTGAGGCTATTCTCCAACGATGATTGAGTCCATTAAGCACCGATTTGAGCGGATTTCTTCCAGGTCAATTTTTGGCAGATTCCAAAGGGGTACCATCACAGTTTTCGGGCGATTTATCCAAAATGCCATTTTCTTTCGATTCTGGAGGCTACAGATCACGGAATCAGGCCGAGGCTATTCTCCACCGATAACGAAGTCTATTGATCCTATTCTCCACGGATGATAAATCTTTTAAGCATCGATTTCGGCCAATTTATTTTCGGATGGCATTTTCGTAATTTCTTGGGCGACGAAAGGCCATTTTCTTTCGATATTGAAGGCTACAGATCACTGATTCGGCATGAGTCTATTCTCCAACGATGATTGAGTCCATTAAGCAGCGATTTGGGCGGATTTATTCCGTGTCAATTTTTGGCAGATTTCAAAGGGGTGCCATCACAGATTTAGGGCGATTTATCCGAAATGCCATTTTGTTTCGATTCTGGAGGCTACAGATCACAGAATCAGGCCGAGGCTATTCTCCACCGATAATGAAGTCTATTGATCCTATTCTCCACGGATGATAAGTCCGTTAAGCATCGATTTGGTCCAATTTATTTTCGGATGGCATTTTCGTAATTTCTTGTGCGACGAAAGGCCATTTTCTTTCGATATTGAAGGCTACAGATCACTGATTCGGCATGAGGCTATTCTCCAACGATGATTGAGTCCATTAAGCAGCGATTTGGGCGGATTTATTTCGTGTCAATTTTTGGCAGATTTCAAAGGGGTACCATCACAGATTTCGGGCGATTTATCCGAAATGCCATTTTCTTTCCATTCGGGAGGCTACGAATCACGGAATCAGGCCGAGGCTATTCTCCACCGATAACGAAGTCTATTAATCCTATTCTCCACAGATGGTAAGTCCGTTAAGCATCGATTTGGGCCAATTTATTTTCGTATGGCATTTTCGCAATTTCTTGGGCGATGAAAGGCCATTATTTTTGGATATTGAAGGCTACAGATCACTTATTCGGCCTCAGGCTATTCTCCAACGATGATTGAGTCCATTAAGCACCAATTTGGCGGATTTATACTGCGTCAATTTTTGGCAGATTCCAAAGGGGTACCATCATAGATTTCGGGCGATTTATCCGAAATGCCATTTTCTTTCGATTCTAGAGGCTACAGATCACGGAATCAGGCCGAGGCTATTCTCCATTGATAACAAAGTCTATTGATCCTATTCTCCACGGATGATAAGTCCGTTAAGCATCGATTTGGGCCAATTTATTTTCGGATGGCATTTTTGTAATTTCTTGGGCGACGAAAGGCCATTTTCTTTGGATACTGAAGGCTACAGATCACTGATTCGGCGCTATGCTATTCTCCAACGATGATTGAGTCCATTAAGCACCGATTTGGGCGGATTTATTCCGGGTCAATTTTTGGCATATTCCAAAGGGGTACCATCACAGATTTCAAGCGATTTATCAGAAATGCCATTTTCTTTCGATTCTGGAGGCTACAGATCACGGAATCAGGCCGAGGCTATTCTCCACCGATAATAAAGTCTATTGATCCTATTCTCCATGGATGATAAGTCCGTTAAGCATCAATTTGGGCCAATTTATTTTTCAAATGGCATTTTCGTAATTTCTTGGGCGACGAAAGACCAGTTTTTTTGGATATTAAGCCTACAGATCCCTGATTCGGCCTGAGGCTTTTCTCCAACGATGATTGAGTCCATTAAGCACCGATTTGGGCGGATTTATTCCGGGTCAATTTTTGGAAGATTCCAAAGGGGTACCAACACAGATTTCGTGCGATTTATCCGAAATGCCATTTTTTTCGATTCTGGAGGCTACAGATCACGGAATCAGGCCGAGGGTATTCTCCACCGATACTGAAGTCTATTGATCCTATTCTCCACGGATGATAAGTCCGTTAAGCATCAATTTGGGCCAATTTATTTTTCTGATGGTATTTTCGTAATTTCTTAGGCGACCAAAGACCAGTTTCTTTGGATATTGAAGGCTACAGATCATAGATTCGGCCTGAGGTTATTCTTCAACGATGATTGATTCCATTAAGTCCCGATTTGGGCGGATTTATTCCGGGTCAATTTTTGGCTGATTCCAAAGGGGTACCATCACAGATTTCGGGCGATTTATCCGAAATGCCATTTTTTCAATTCTGGAGGCTACAGATCACAGAATCAGGCCGTGGCTATTCTCCACCTATAATGAGGTCTATTGATCCTATTCTCCACGGATGATAAATCCGTTAAGCATCGATTTGGGCCAATTTATTTTCGGATAGCATTTTCGTAATTTCTTGGGCGACGAAAAGCCATTTTCTTTGGATACTGAAGGCTATAGATCACTGATTCGGCGCGATGCTATTCTCCAACGATAATTGAGTCCATTAAGCATTGATTTGGATGGATTTATTCCGGGTCAATTTTTGGCAGATTACAAAGGGGTACCATCCCAGATTTCGTGCCATTTATAAAAAAATGGCATTTTCTTTCTATTCTGGAGAATATAGATTACGGAATCAGGCCGAGGCTATTCTCCACCGATAATGAAGTCTATTGATCCTATTCTCCACGGATGATAAGTTCGTTAAGCATCGATTTGGGCCAATTTATTTTCGGATGGCATTTTTGTAATTTCTTGGGCGACGAAAGGCCATTTTCTTTGGATACTGAAGGCTACAGATCACTGATTCGGCGCGATGCTATTCTCCAACGATGATTGAGTCCATTAAGCACCGATTTGGGCGGATTTATTCCGGGTCAATTTTTGGCAGATTCCAAAGGGGTACCATCACAGATATCATGCGATTTATCCGAAATGCCATTTTCTTTCGATTCTGGAGGCTACAAATCACGGAATCAGGACGAGGCTATTCTCCACCGATAATAAAGACTATTGATCCTATTCTCCCCAGATGATAAGTCCGTTAAGCTTCGATTTGGGCCATTTTAATTCGGATGATATTTTCGTAATTTCTTGGGCGACGAAAAGCCATTTTCTTTGGATATTGAAGGCTAAAGATCACTGATTCGGCCCGATGCTATTCTCCAACGATGATTGAGTCCATTAAGCACCGATTTGGGCGGATTTATTTCGGGTCAATTTTTGGCAGATTCTAAAGGGGTACCATCACAGATTTCGGGCGATTTATCCGAAATGGCATTTTCTTTCAATTTAGGAGGCTACAGATCACGGAATCAGGACGAGGATATTCTCCACCGATAATGAAGTCTATTTATCCTATTCTCCACGGATGATAAGTCCGTTAAGCATCGATTGGGCCAATTTATTTTTCGGATGACATTTTCGTAATTTCTTGGGCGACGAAAGACCATTTTCTTTAGTTATTGAAGGCTACAGATCATTGATTCGGCCTGAGGCTATTCTCCAACGATGATTGAGTCCATTTAGCACCGATTTGAGCGGATTTATTCCAGGTCAATTTTTGGCAGATTCAAAAGGGGTACCATCACAGATTACGGGCGATTTATCCAAAATGCCATTTTCTTTTGATTCTGGAGGCTACTGATCCCGGAATCAAGTCGAGGCAATTCTCCATCGATAATGAAGTCTATTGATCCTATTCTCCACGGATGATAAGTCCGTTAAGCATCGATTTGGGCCAATTTATTTTCGGATGTCATTTTCATAATTTCTTGGGCGACGAAAGGCCATTTTCTTTGGATATTGAAGGCTACATATCACTTATTCAGCCTGAGGCTATTCTCCAACGATGATTGAGTCCATTAAGCACCGATTTGGGCAGATTTATTCCGGGTCAAGTTTTGGCAGATTCCAAAGGTGTACCATCACAAATTTCGGGCGTTTATCTGAAATGCCATTTTCTTTGGATTCTGGAGGCTACAGATCACGGAATCAGGCCGAGGCTATTCTACACCGATAATGAAGTCTATTGATCCTATTCTCCACGGATGATAAGTCCGTTAAGCATCGATTGGGCCAATTTATTTTTCGTATGGCATTTTCGTAATTTCTTGGGCGACAAAAGGCCATTTTCTTTGGATATTGAAGGCTACAGATCACTGATTAGGCCTGAGGGTATTCTCCAACAATGATTGAGTCCATTAAGCACCGAATTGGCGGGTTTATTCCAGGTCAATTTTTGGCAGATTCCAAAGGGGTTCCATCACAGATTTCAGGCGATTTATCCGAAATGCCATTTTCTTTTGATTCTGGAGGCTACATATCACGGAATCAGGCCGAGGCTATTCTCCATCGATAACGAAGTCTATTGATCCTATTCTCCCCAGATGATAAGCCCGTTAAGCATCGATTTGGGCCAATTTAATTCGGATGGCATTTTCGTAATTTCTTGGGCGACGAAAGGCCATTTTCTTGGGATATTGAAGGCTAAAGATCACTGATTCGGCCCGATGCTATTCTCCAACATTGATTGAGTCCATTAAGCACCGAATTGAGCGGATTTATTCCGGGTCAATTTTTGGCAGATTCGAAAGGGGTACCATCACAGATTTCGGGCGATTTATCAAAATGCCATTTCCTTTCGATTCTGGAGGCTACAGATCACGGAATCAGGCCGAGGCTATTCTCCCCCGATAACGAATTCTATTGATCTTATTCTCCCCAGATGATAAGTCCGTTAAGCATCGATTTGGGCCAATTTAATTCGGATGGCATTTTCGTAATTTCTTGTGCGACGAAAGGCCATTTTCTTTGGATATTGAAGTCTAAAGATCACTGATTCGGCTCGATGCTATTCTCCAACGATGATTGAGTCCATTAAGCAACGATTTGGGCGGATTTATTCCGGATCAATTTTTGGCAGATTCTAAAGGGGTACCATCACAGATTTCAAGCGATTTATCCGAAATGGAATTTTCTTTCAATTTTGGAGGCTACAGATCACGGAAACAAGCCGAGGCTATTCTCCACCGATAATGAAGTCTATTGATCCTATTCTCCACGGATGATAAGTCCGTTAAGCATCGATTGAGCCAATTTATTTTTCGGATGCCATTTTCGTAATTTCTTGGGCGACGAAAGACCATTTTCTTCAATTATTGAAGGCTACAGATCACTGATTCGGCCTGAGGCTATTCTCCAACGATGATTGAGTCCATTAAGCACTGATTTGGGTGGATTTATTCTAGGTCAATTTTTGGCAGATTCAAAAGGGGTACCATCACAGATTTCGGGCGATTTATACAAAATGCCATTTTCTTTTGATTCTGGAGGCTACAGATCCCGGAATCAAGTCGAGGCTATTCTCCAACGATAATGAAGTCTATTGATCCTATTTTCCATGGATGATAAGTCCGTTAAGCATCGATTATTTGGGCCAATTTATTTTCGGATGGCATTTTCATAATTTCTTGGGCGACGAAAGGCAATTTTCTTTGGATATTGAAGGCTACATATCACTTATTCAGCCTGAGGCTATTCTCCAACGATGATTGAGTCCATTAAGAAGCGATTTGGGCGGATTTATTCTGGGTCAAGTTTTGGGAGATTCCAAAGGTGTACCATCACAAATTTCGGGCGATTTATCTGAAATGCCATTTTCTTTCGATTCAGGAGGCTACAGATCACGGAATCAGGCCGAGACTACTCTCCACCGATAATGATGTCTATTGATCCTATTCTCCACGGATGATAAGTCCGTTAAGCATCGATTGGGCCAATTTATTTTCCGGATGGCATTTTCGTAATTTCTTGGCGACAAAAGGCCATTTTCTTTGGATATTGAAGGCTACAGATCACTGATTCGGCCCGATGCTATTCTCCAACAATGATTGAGTCCATTAAGCACCGATTTGTGCGGATTTATTCCGTGTCAATTTTTGGCAGATTCTAAAGGGGTACCATCACAGATTTCGGGCAATTTATCCGAAATGGCATTTTCTTTCAATTTAGGAGGCTACAGATCACGGAAACAGGACGAGGCTATTCTCCACTGATAATGAAGTCTATTGATCCTATTCTCCACTGATGATAAGTCCGTTAAGCATCGATTGGGCCAATTTATTTTTCGGATGACTTTTTCGTAATTTCTTGGGCGACGAAAGACCATTTTCTTTAATTATTGAAGGCTACAGATCACTGATTCGGCCTGAGGCTATTCTCCAACGGTGATTGAGTCCATTAAGCACCGATTTGGGCGGATTTATTCCAGGTCAATTTTTGGCATATTCAAAAGGGGTACCATCACAGATTTCTGGCGATTTATCCAAAATGCCATTTTCTTTTGATTCTGGAGGCTACAGATCCCGGAATCAAGTCGAGGCTATTCTCCACCGATAATGAAGTCTATTGATCCTATTATCCACGGATGATAATTCCGTTAAGCATCGATTGGGCCAATTTATTTTTCGGATGGCATTTTCGTAAATTCTTGGCGACAAAAGGCCATTTCCTTTGGATATTGAAGGCTACAGATCACTGATTCGGCCCGATGCTATTCTCCAACAATGATTGAGTCCATTAAGCACCGATTTGGGCGGATTTATTCCGGGTCAATTTTTGGCAGATTCAAAAGGGGTACCATCACAGATTTCGGGCGATTTATACAATATGCCATTTTCTTTTGATTCTGGAGGCTACAGATCCCGGAATCAAGTCGAGGCTATTCTCCAACGATAATGAAGTCTATTGATCCTATTTTCCATGGATGATAAGTCCATTAAGCATCGATTTGGGCCAATTTATTTTCGGATGGCATTTTCATAATTTCTTGGGCGACGAAAGTCAATTTTCTTTGGATATTGAAGGCTACATATCACTTATTCAGCCTGAGGCTATTCTCCAACGATGATTGAGTCCATTAAGCAGCGATTTGGGCGGATTTATTCCGGGTCAAGTTTTGGCAGATTCCAAAGGTGTTCCATCACAAATTTCGGGCGATTTATCTGAAATGCCATTTTCTTTCGATTCTGGAGGCTACATATCACGGAATCAGGCCGAGGTTATTCTCCACCGATAATGAAGTCTATTGATCCTATTCTCCACGGATGATAAGTCCGTTAAGCATCGATTAGGCCAATTTATTTTTCGGATGGCATTTTCGTAATTTCTTGGGCGACGAAAGGCCATTTTCTTTGGATATTGAAGGCTAAAGATCACTTATTCGGCCCGATGCTATTCTCCAACGATGATTGAGTCCATTAAGCACCGATTTGGGCGGATTTATTCCGGTTCAATTTTTGGCATATTCCAAAGGTGTACCATCACAAATTTCGGGCGATTTACCTGAACTGCCATTTTCTTTCGATTCTGGAGGCTACAGATCACGGAATCAGGCCGAGGCTATTCTCCACCGATAATGAAGTCTATTTATCCTATTCTCCACGGATGATAAGTCCGTTAAGCATCGATGGGGCCAATTTATTTTTCGGATGGCATTTTCGTAATTTCTTGGGCGACAAAAGGCCATTTTCTTTGGATATTGAAGGCTACAGATCACTGATTCGGCCTGAGGCTATTCTCCAACAATATTTGAGTCCATTAAGTACCGATTTGGGCGGATTTATTCCGGGTCAATTTTTGGCAGATTCCAAAGGGGTACCATCACAGATTTCGGGCGATTTATCCGAAATGCCATTATCTTTCGATTCTGGAGGCTACAGATCACGGAATCAGGCCGAGGCTATTCTCCACCGATAACTAAGTCTATTGATCCTATTCTCCCCAGATGATAAGTCCGTTTAGCATCGATTTAGGCCAATTTAATTCGGATGGCATTTTCGTAATTTCTTGGCCGACGAAAGGCCATTTTCTTTGGATATTGAAGGCTAAAGATCACTGATTCGGCCCGATGCTATTCTCCAACGATGATTGAGTCCATTAAGCACCGATTTAGGCGGATTTATTCCGGGTCCATTTTTGGCAGATTCTAAAGGGGTGCCATCACAGATTTCGGGTGATATATCCGAAATGGCATTTTCTTTCGATTTAGGAGGCTACAGATCACGAAATCAGGCCGAGGCTATTCTCCACCGATAATGAAGTCTATTGATCCTATTCTCCACAGATGATAAGTCCGTTAAGCATCGGTTTGGGCCAATTTATTTTCGGATGGCATTTTCGTAATTTATTGGGCGACGAAAGACCATTTTCTTTTATTATTGAAGGCTACAGATCACTGATTCGGCATGAGGCTATTCTCCAACGATGATTGAGTTTATTAAGCACCGATTTGGGCGGATTTATTCCGGGTCAATTTTTGGCAGATTCCAAAGGGGTACCATCACAGATTTCGGGAGATTTATCCGAAATGCCATTTTCTTTCGATTCTGGACGCTACAGATCACGGAATCAGGCCGAGGCTATTCTCCACCGATAATGAAGTTTATTGATCTTATTCTACAAGGATTATAAGTCCGTTAAGCATCGATTTGGGCCAATTTATTTTCGGATGGCATTTTCGTAATCTCTTGGGCGACGAAAGGCCATTTTCTTTGGATATTGAAGGCTACAGATCACTGATTCGGCCTGAGGCTATTCTCCAACAATGATTGAGTCCATTAAGCACCGATTTGGGCGGATTTATTCCAGGTCAATTTTTGGCAGATTCCAAAGGGGTACCATCACAGATTTCGGGCGATTTATCAGAAATGGCATTTTCTTCCGATTCTGGAGGCTACAGATCACAGAATCAGGCAGAGGCTATTCTCCACCGATAATGAAGTCTATTGATCCTATTCTCCACGGAAGATAAGTCCGTTAAGCATCGATTTGGTACAATTTATTTTCGGATGGCATTTTCGTAATTTCTAGGGCGACGAAAGGCCATTTTCTTTGGATACTGAAGGCTACAGATCACTTATTCGGCCCGATGCTATTCTCCAACGATGATTGAGTCCATTAAGCACCGATTTGGGCGGATTTATTCCGGGTCAATTTTTGGCAGATTCCAAAGGGGTACCATCACAGATTTCGGGTGATTTATCCGAAATGGCATTTCTTTCGATTAAGGAGTCTACAGATCACGGAATCAGGCCGAGGCTATTCTCCACCGATAATGAAGTCTATTGATCCTATTCTCAGTGGATGATAAGTCTGTTAAGCATCGATTTGGGCCAATTTATTTTCGGATGGCATTTTCGTAATTTCTTGAGCGACGAAAGACCATTTTCTTTAATTATTGAAGGCTACAGATCACTGATTCGGCCTGAGGCTATTCTCAAACAAAGATTGAGTTTATTAAGCACCGATTTGGGCTAATTTATTTTGGGTCAATTTTTGGCAGATTCAAAAGGGGTACCATCACAGATTTCGGGCGATTTATCCGAAATGTCATTTTCTTTTGATTCTGGAGGCTACAGATCCCGGAATCAAGTCGAGGCTATTCTCCACCGATAACGAAGTCTATTAATCCTATTCTCCACGGATGATAAGTTCGTTAAGCATCAATTTTGGCCAATTTATTTTCGGATGGCATTTTCGTAATTTCTTGGGCGACGAAAGGCCATTTTCTTTGGATATTGAAGGCTACAGATCACTTATTCAGCCTGAGGCTATTCTCCAACTATGATTGAGTCCATTAAGCACCGAATTGGGCGGATTTATTCCGGGTCAATTTTTTGCAGATTCCAAAGGGGTACCATCACAGATTTCAGGCGATTTATCCGAAATGCCATTTTCTTTCGATTATGGAGGCTACAGATCACGGAATCAGGCCGAGGCTATTCTCCACCGATAACGAAGTCTATTGATCCTATTCTCCCCAGATGATAAGTACGTTAAGCATCGATTTGGGTCAATTTATTTCGGGTGGCATTTTCGTAATTTCTTGGGAGACGAAAGGCCATTTTCTTTGGATATTGAAGGCTAAAGATCACTGATTCGGCCTGATGCTATTCTCCAACGATGATTGAATCCATTTAGCACCGATTTGGGCGGATTTATTCCGGGTCAATTTTTGGCATATTCTAAATCGGTACCATCACAGATTTCGGGGGATTTATCTGAATGGCATTTTCTTTCGATTTAGGAGGCTACAGATCACGGAATCAGGCCGAGGCTATTCTCCACCGATAATGAAGTCTATTGATCCTATTCTCCACGGATGATAAGTCCGTTAAGCATCGATTTTGGCCAATTTATTTTCGGATGGCATTTTCGTAATTTATTGGGCGACGAAAGACCATTTTCTTTCATTATTGACGGCTACAGATCACTGATTCGGCCTGAGGCTATTCTCCAACGATAATTGAGTTTATTAAGCACCGATTTGGGCGGATTTATTCCAGGTCGATTTTTGGCAGATTCCAAAGGGGTACCATCATAGATTTCGGGCGATTTATCCGAAATGCCTTTCTCTTTCGATTATGGAGGCTAGAGATCCCGAAATCAGGCCGTGGCTATTCTCCACCGATAATGAAGTCTATTGATCCTATTCTCCACGGATGATAAGTCCGTTAAGCATCGATTTGGGCCAATTTATTTTCGGATGGCATTTTCGTAATTTCTTGGGCGACGAAAGGCCATTTTCTTTGGATATTGAAGGCTACATATCACAGATTCGGCCTGAGGTTATTCTTCAACGATGATTGAGTCCATTAAGTCCCGATTTGGGCGGATTTATTCCTGGTCAATTTTTTGCAGATTCCAAAGGGGTACCATCACAGATTTCGGGCGATTTATCCGAAATGGCATTTTCTTTCGATTCTGGAGGCTATAGATCACGGAATCAGGCCGAGGCTATTCTCCACCGATAATGAAGTCTATTAATTCTATTCTCCACGGATGATAAGTCCGTTAAGCACCGATTTGGGCCAATTTATTTTCGGATGGCATTTTCTTAATTTCTTGGGCGACGAAAGGCCATTTTCATTGGATATTGAAGGCTACATATCACTGATTCAGCTTGAGGCTATTCTCCAACAATGATTGAGTCCATTAAGCATCGATTTGGGTGGAATTATTGCTGGTCAATTTTTGGCAGATTCCTAAGGGGTACCATCATAGATTTCGGGAGATTTATCCGAAATGTCATTTTCTTTCGATTCTGGAGGCTACAGATCATAATATGATGCCAAGGTTATTCTCCACTGATAATGAAGTCTATTGATCCTATTCTCCATGAATGATAAGTCCGTTAAGCATCGATTTGGGTCAATTTATTTTCGGATATCATTTTCGTAATTTCTTGGGCGACGAAAGGTCATTTTCTTTGGATATTGAAGGCTACAGATCACGGATTCGGCATGAGGTTATTCTTCAACAGTGATTGAGTCCACTAAGCCCCGATTTGGGCGGATTTATTCCGGGTCAATTTTTGGCAGATTCCAAAGGGGTACCATCACAGATTTCGGGAGATTTATCTGAAATGCCATTTTCTTTCGATTCTGGAGGCTACAGATCCCAGAATCAGGCCGTGGATATTCTCCACCGATAATGAAGTCTATTGATCCTATTCTCCACGGATGATAAGTCCGTTAAGCATAAATTTGAGCCAATTTATTTTCGGATGGCGTTTTCGTAATTTCTTGGGCGACGAAAGGCCATTTTCTTTGGATATTGAAGGCTACAGATCACTGATTCGGCCTGAGGCTATTCTCCAACGATGATTGAGTCCCCATTAAGCACAGATTTGGGCGGATTTATTCCGGGTCAATTTTTGGCAGATTCCAAAGGGTTACCATCACAGATTTCGGGCGATTTATCCGAAATGCAATTTTCTTTCAATTCTGGAGGCTACAGATCACGGAATCAGGCCAAGGCTATTCTCAACATTGTGCCATGTGTTCATTCATCCAACAAGCGATCGTGGATTCAAGTCTCACTAGTGTGCTGATCACTTTTCTTTCTTTTTTTGTCAAGAACCAACAATCAACTATATTTTCCCTCTCGTGTTGAAGTTTTATTCATAAGATTTATCACTTATATAAACGAGAAGTAAGATCATACTAAACAATCCATATTAAGTTTTATACTTTTATTCATAAGATTTATCACCATTATAAACCAAAAGTAAGATCATGCTAAACAATCTATTGTTTCGTTGTGTGATGTCTTTATTTATCCAACAAACCATTGTGGGTTCAAGTTTCGCCGGGTATACTGATCACTTTTTTCCTTCTCCTTTTGGCCAACATCGCTTTCTAGGTTTCATTTGCCAAAGAATTTTATGTTCAAATTAACCAAGAACCAATGATTATCCATGTTTTTCCTTTCGTGTAGACGTTTAATTCAAAATATTTATCACTATCATAAACCAAAATTAAGTATGATATCCTAAACATTCTATTGTTACAGTGTGCAATGTGTTCATTCATCCAGGAAATGACGAGGGATCACTCCTCCTGCTCGAACAAACTTGCTGCTGATGTTGAACATCAAGCAATTCAAGCTCCTTCCTTCTTATAATCAAAACCATCCTCTCATTCTCAATCTTCTTCCTCTCGTTCTCAACTTTCACCCTCTCCATCTCCCTCTCTTTCTTGCCAGCAAACTTCACCCACTTCAGCCTCTGCTTCTCTATCTCCAATGCCTGCGCCTGATACCCAACTCTCTGCTCTTCCAGCTCCACCATCCTCGCCTTCATCCATTGCAGCTTCTCCCACGCACTCCTCCCTCCGTCCTGCACCATGCTCGCCAATTCCAAGCCGAATTCCCTCATCGAATCCGAGGTCATCATCATTATCTCCTCCCCCTTCCTCCTCGCCTTCTTATGCCTCAGCTCGTGATCACGAACCTCGTCGTCTACTTCTCCTTGACCATGTCCATGGCTGCTATGCTCAAATTCTTCTTCCTCGTCATCATCGTCACTGTCCTCATCATCATCTTCGTGCGAATTGGGGGCTGGCCCGTGGCCACTGCTCTCAGAATGGGCGCACTTCTGCTGCTGCTGCTGCAATTGAGGGTTTGGTAGTGGAGCTGCATGAGCAACCACATCGTTACCATGGCCACAGCTATTGTGGTAAGCACACATTTCCCTGAAGAACAAGTGTTTGGAGCTCAGCAGTTTCTTCACTTCATCTTTCATCTTGGGAGACAAATCCATTGTCTCGAGTAACGACCGATTCTCCACAACTTTGCAGGCTGTTCCTCTTCCTAGAATATCATTGACCCTCTTGTACCTCTTATTCAAGTCGTTGAATTTATCTTCGCATTGCTGTGGAGACACATAGTAGCCTTTCTCCATCATGGCTCTTGACACAGACTTCCATTTCCCTTTCTTCTGAGACAACCCTCCCTGCGCTCCTCCTCCTGCCGCTTTCTTCTTTGATGTTGTTGTGGGGACTGGCTCGCTGGGTTCTGAACCAACTTCATCGCCGATATAGTAAACGGCCATGATTAGAAGCCTTACCATGGCGTCAGTCCACTTCATCCTCTGCCAAGGTGACATCTTTGGCTTGGGATCCCCACCGGAGAGCTGGTCTTCTCCTGTCGCATCATCGTCGTCAGTTAACGGTGACTTGGGCTTCGAGGTGGTGAATTGAGGAGGTGGGTAGGGATTGTTCTGCTTAACTGGTTGGGGTTGGTGGGGAGCAGCAAAGGCAGAACCAATGAATTGAGGATGATGGTGGTGGTGTAAACTATGCTGCTGTAAGTTTTGATTGTTTTGAGGGTTTTGTTGCTGTTGGTGGAGTGGCAATTCTAGACCCTGTAGCATTCCTGTAGATGCCATCCCTCCTGAAAACAACCCACCCGGTAAACCATTCTGTTGTTGTTCCATTCAACACTAGGAAAAGAAAGCAAAGCAAAGATTTAGCAGGAGCAGGTTGCAGCTCTATACTCATTGGCCTCAAGGGGATAAAGATTGAAACATTATAAAGGGAAATGGTATCTAGTACATACCCAGCTGGAGATACGATAAGCGGGACAGGGTGTTCGACGAAATGCCGCAGAGAGCTGGTGCGGTCGAAAAGCAGCTTTCTTTTTTACGATGTTGGAAGTAGTGCAGGCGGCAGGTCTTTGAGATCAGGTGCGGGGATGAGAAGGAGGGAGTCAGTGGAGGAAGGAAAGTAATATACAGAAGGAGGAGGATATGGTGGCGGAGGGAGCAGCCGGTTTTGGTATTGTGGTGGCCAGAGGATTTGCCCATGGTTTCGTTTCTTTCCTCTTCTTTCCATTTTCGGTGAATAGTTTTTGTTTTCGTTCTCTCCTCTTGCCAAAACGATAAACCCAGAGTCCACAGATTCCCCGAAACTGGGGTGGGATTGGGAACGGTGAACTATACATAAACGCTACCTAAACTTTTTAGTCGGTAACAAATCGGTCCTCAAACTCTCAATTTCAGCAAATTCATCGATGAAGTTCGGAATACCTATCAAAAGATATGACCACGGTCCACATAGATATTTTCTAGTTATATACTCGAGTAAAAGAATGGAATGTGGTGAATTGTGAGTAATGTGGCTTGACATATGCTATCCCTGCTTTGAACTACCAAAGCAACATCAAGCAAACATAGGTGCAATAGATAGAGAAATAACATATTTAGATTAGATCTAAATCAAGTACGAATCAAAGTGAGTCGTTCGTAGTTTACCATCTTTTATATTTTATATTATAATTAATATGAATAAATTGACATGCTTTAAAAACATACAACCTAAACAATAAATCTAGTAAAGAAAGATAGATCGAGTGAGTAGCACATTGTATTAATTTCGCCAAATCCTGGTTGCTGCTTTGTTGTAAATCAAAGTTAAATGCTAATTAATCTAACGGATACAAAGTTTAGTGATTGTTTACATGAATGAAGCTATATTTATTCCTCCCGACATATCTATGGATGAAAAGCCCACCCGTGGAATCCGTAATGTGATTCCATAGGATTCTAATACTGTCGGTTTGCCATTTTCGGTAATGGTTAGTGCTTTCTATTATAATAAAAAAAGATTTTGGATACTAATGCATGGTGATAGTATCACTTCATTAAAGAACTAACCTAGTTCAGGGAAATCTAGTGGAGTCGTAGTAGTGTATACAATATGAAGCCAAAACTCATTATTGGTGGTGTTAATTGGGCTGCATTTGGGCCCAACGAGGAAGCCTGCCTTTGGGATAGAGTAGATTGGGGAACTGGTCAAGGCCCCTGGGAGTGGAATGGTGGCGGTATCAAAATCAACCGCGGTAAAAATCTATGAGAAGTTGTACAGAAAAAAGTTAATAACATAGTAATTTGCACTTAAATTATGGTTAAATCGTATAAAATCGTCAACCGATTTGATCTTCTGGCGGGGGCTTCAAGCTTCAGCATGAACGGGTGTCACCACATCATGGTAGCAACTAGCAAGCAAGTCTGGAAAATGAGTTAATTTGTTGTAACTGAACTGGATCGACGGTCACCGTCACTATCCACTTCTGGACGTGACGGTGGATGGAGGTTGAGAGGCACTTTGCATTTATTTGCTTCCTGACTTTTGGCTCTCCAAGTCCATCTCCATCTCCATCTCCCACTTCGTCTGTGTGCATAATGAATGAAGCCATAAATTCAGCATCTCCCCTTCCCTAACCAGTAACCACCACCTAATCACCACCAACAACGAGAGCATGAATTGGTCAATATAGCCGCGTTTCTTCTCTTGCTTGTTTCCCATCTTTCTTCGGCTTTTTCTCCCAAAGTTGTCAAAATACGACTTCTTGTGCTTTCTTGTAAGATCAAAGCCTTAGAAACAGTGTCTGGCGCCATTGCTGCCTGCCTACAGAAACCCCTGTGCAAAACTGCTGCTGTCATATACATAGCACACAACAGTAGTACCACTGGTTCCGCTGAACAATACAAGCTTAGTATGAAACTGCACAACAGATGAATGGACAGGCTGCATATTATTAATATCTCAACTCTATAGTACAGTCACTCACTAAACAACCAAACAAACATGGAGGGAGGGAGTTCTTGTTAGAAGAACAAACATGGGGGAATTCAGTGCAGTGGCTCACTCACGAATTTGTTTCTGTACTATCCCTCTACTCAGTACTCACTGTTCCCCCTTCCAATCTCTAATCAATTCTCATGTCTACACCCGAATCTTACACATCTCCAATCTCTTCTCTCTGTATGTATGTATACATCTACCTGGAACATCTACAATCATCTGAATCAAATAAAAAGCAGAAGTGGGAAAGTAAAACAATCCTCTGAATCAACCAACACCAAATTCAAATCCGATGCAGTATCCCTTCCCCCATGTCTACAATTTCGTCTTGTAGTTGCAGGTCTGATCCCCGACGGTCCGGTTGGAGATGAACACCGTGATGTCGCAGCTGGTGGTGGAAGTGACACTGATTTTGAAAATCTTCATGATGGAAACCTTGCCCTTGATTCGGGTGAAGGCGTTGAGGCGGAGGCTCCCCGCGATCACGTCGGAGTAGAGCTGGGAGTTGGAGAGGAGCCGATCCGCCATGAGTGTGAGTGTCAAGTTCATCGGCGTGGTGGAGTCGGCGCCGACGCGTCCAGCCGGGATGGGGACCTCGCCTACCTGCTCCCCTCTGTAATTGAGCGCGGCGGAGCTGTTGGAGTATCGGAAACCGACCCGGTTGGGGTTTCTTATCGCCAGATCCACATCGAGGGTCAGATTGAGGCGGACGGCGAGCCTGGCGATGTCGAAGGAGACGCTGAGGTCGTCGAGGGCGAGGCTGTTGACGGTGGTGGACGGCTTCTTGGCCTTGAAGACGGTGAGGGCTAGGATGAGGAGGATGAGGACGACGAGGATGACGGCGGCGGCGGTGGAGGCCAGGCAGACGTTTCTCCGCTTCCGCTTCTTCTTGGCGGAGGAGGAGGAGGAGGCGGCGGCGGTGGTGGAGAAAGGGTTCATGGAATCTCCCTGAGTCATTCTGCTGCTGCTGCCGCTTCTTCTGGTGGAATTGGGGATGAGAGGGGAAGGGGAAGCAGAAGGGGAAGGTGAATTTGGAGCCTTGGAGTGATTTAAGGTTTGGGCATCCATCTCTGTACTGACCTGTAACTGTTATATATAGAGAAAATAAAAGATTATATTTAGTGGGTAATTAATAATTAATTAATGATACTTAACTACCATTAATAACTTAATCGGAAGGGGAAAAAACAGATCTTGCTCTTGCTATTGCTCCTGCTCATCGGTCGCTACTCCGCCATGAAAACAGCCAAAAGGTAGCAACAAAAAATTCAGAAAGAACGAACCCAGGTCCGTGTGTTTCTACAGTGGTCAAAGTGAATTATTCTCTGCAACTTGCAGCATCTTTCCTCAGACGAAAACAAGCAAGCAAGCAACCAGATGAGACAGAGCAAAAGGGCGGGAAGCGTGGAAGCAGTAGGACAAAATTACCTGGCTGGCTGGGTGGATTTTTGTTTTCTTCTGTGCAAAAGGTCCAAGCTTTATCAAACACTGAAAAAGGCTCGCCTGATTAACTTTCGCCCGTGCTGAATCGATCTGAACTGTATTCTGCACTGTCCTTTTTTTGTTTCCTTCTTCGATTCCAGATCTGGGAGAAGCTTGAAGTGTGGCAGGAATGGAGGAGGAGAGGGATGGAGCTTCATTTATGGCGGGCAAGTGAGGGAGGTGATCTCGTGGGGAGTCTAGAAGGATTTTGATGATCTCGTGGGGGAGACGGATTTTGTTGACTATTTTAATACAGAAGCACTCGTTTTTCCTTTAGTTAACTACATTTTATGTTTTGTTCAAGAAGAAGAAAAAAAACTCCATGAAAAACACGCAGTCTCTTGGTTTCAGGAGAAGGGCAACGTTTGTCGGAAGGTAATGGGCCGATTGGGCCTGTTAAAAGATGGTTCATTGTTGAGGTAGGGAAAGTAACAAAGTAGCCCATACTTCATGGAATTGGGATGGGGAAGTGTTTCGGGACAGGGGGAGCTGGACAAGGCCCATGGGCTGGAGCCCTTTCAGTGGCCTGGGCTGAACGTTCTTCTCTCGTGGCCAAATTTTGGGGGTTATCATTTTTAGTTTTTCAGTGGCCAACATTGACATGTTAGGTTTGATCCTGCTAGGCAAGAAGAGTAACATGAGCTATATGTATAAACTATTCATAATAATAATATGGCTACGTGACGTTGTAGGCAAATGATGGCATGCATTCATATATATTACCCATGTTTGCAAGGAACAAAGACATATGAAGAAACCCAACCGATCCACTTTTTGTTTGTCTGCTTGGATCTTCTCTGTAATGAAGTTTGGAGAACGACAACTGACTGATCATCACAAACATATTACAGGCAGCAGATATGCTTCTGCCTTCTGCGCCATAACTCATATGGTATGGAGTATGGACCCTAGTTATATATATGAATTTAAGCGCTATAACCACTCAGTCAAATCTGTTTTGTTCACACTTCGATAAAAAAAAATATATAATAATAATAACGTTTTTATCTAGGGGAGGTGATTATGATTCCCAACCATGCAAATGCAATGCATGGGTTTTCTTTCACTGCAAAGTGATGTGAAGAAATTAACTTTGTTTGATAGCTAAAGGGAAGTTATTGGCCGTTCATTTGTTCCCGACCTCCCTCACATAATTATGTTCTGTACACATGCTGGTTTAACCCTTTTTATCGTTTGACCCTTTAAATCTTTATCAAGCTGTCCATCCATCATTTTGTTGTTTGCTTGTGCATTTGATTTCATTCTTTGTTTTCATATATGTGCAGCAGTTTGTGTTTTAAAAAAAAAACCCTTAATCACACATTTGGTTTTCATTCAAATTGACTCCTTGTTTATACTCATTTGATTGGTTGTAGATTATGCAATGATATATATATATATTTTATAGCTCTAACATTTGTGATTGATATTACTATGATTAGAAGTTTGATTATCTGTCATCGATGAAAAGTCATTAGGATTTCCCCTATCGATAACCGAATCGGGAGTGTAGGAGCGAAGCGCCCTATTTGAGGGCTCAAGAGCACAACAATATATATAAATCTGAATTAATCCATAGCAAACAATAACCAAACAATCTAAATCTATATAGCTTGGGTCATTGCACAAACCATGCTAGATGCTAGCAATTTTACAACGCCTTTAAACTGGATCTTGTTAATTATCCATCAAATCGAAGGTTTGGAGTGGAGTGAGGAAAAGTCCTTTGGAGTTCCTTTCGAATTAATTATGTCATGTCCCCCAAATGAGAATGTAGCAAACAAATTCAAACATTTAGAGCCTCACAGATTTTGCCACCTTTCTTTCCCTCTCGTTCTCATACAAATATCACCAAAATTGCCGCAATAAGGCTCTTTATTCGTCATTTTCCGGTGGAGATGGATTAATTTTAACTCCTTGTTATCACTTAGTTATTTGGTTTTTAGTAAATTAAAGCAATATTTAAGAATGCACGAGTTGTTCAAAATAGATACATTTTCAAAATCAACAAGATGGCGAAGATCTATATAATTTGTCCTAATTTACAAACAACGACATTTAAAAAAAATTATTATTTTGTGCATAAATTACATATGTGGTTTCCAGCATGCACTAAAGATAGAATTATAATCAATTATACTTGTTTACTGGAAAGTCTTATCTAATGAAAGATAATGTCATGTATTTTCTTGTTTATTGTCATATAATGAAAGATTTGAGATCGTTTAGCGACGAGTAGGAAGATCAACATGACAATTTATGGTGAAAGTGCATAAAATCTACCAAGAAGTGAGTAAATCTTCTAAAAAAAGTACCTTTATTGACAATTTATGGTTTCCGGAGTCTTGCTCGTGTTATCTTGGTGATTTTGAGGTAGCGATTCAACAGCTCAGTCTAGGTGCTATAGTTGGTAGCAAATTCATCACTAGAAGGACCCTTGCTCTGAGAGTGTCGTCAACTCATCCCCTTTGCTTCTTTTCGTATAAATTTAGGGTGGATCCGCAAATCGCAAACTCGACTGTCCATACAGTGACACAAAAAGCCTCGACTCTGTCTCATTTAGAGTTAGATTTCTTTGATTTTGTGGGCTGACACCACTAGTGTATTGTTTTGGGAAGGTTCATGAGTTGGGAGTGTAGTACTATATTCAATATTTCTCTTGTTATCTCCTTGGAAAAAGGTTCCTTTCTCGACGAGATACTCGAATTAAATAGATAATCTTTCTTTATATTTCATAACTGTGGATAAATTGCACGAATTCTTCTAGTACTCAATTGAAGCTACATAGAGGATTAAATAAAAAACAAATGCACCTCCTTTCTTTTATTTACTAATTTATTCTTAAGAATGATTGTTAATATGAGTGTAAAAATCAGGCAAAGGAAATAAAATTCATTCTAGTGAAATTTTTTTATAGATTTTTTTTTATAATCGACCAATACACAAGATGCCAAAAACATTACCATTCCTACTCATAAAAATCTCATAATAAACGAGATTTTAAGACAAACTAGTTCATAAAATTAACTAAGCAAGAATTATGATCTTCTTCCAATTTTCATGTCTAAACTATCAACAAATATCACAAAACAAAAGAAAAAAGAACAGAAAAGCAACTTTGCTTAATTCTCCTAATACTGGACCCCACGTAAGAACCCGCCACCCTATCCCTCCCTCCCCCTTTCCGTCTTCTTTCTACCTCCAATTTTCTTTTCCCTTCTTAAACTTTCCCGGAAAAAAAAAATAAAGGAAGGAAAATCGGAGGGAGGGGGAGAAACTATGAAGGACGCCCACGAAATTCCGGCTTTCACCACTTCCACTCCTCCTGCACTTTTCTCACCAACCCAACACTCCCATTCGCCAATGGCCTGAGAACCCACACAAGCAAGCACGAGCAACAATAAGAAGAAGGTAGAAACGCAGAATTAGTTGAACTGATTGTTCCGCCTGACGTCATTTTCCGGCGGGAGCGGGAGGGGAGGGTGGTAATGGGTGCGTCGCTATCGAACCTGACGGAAGGTGCGAACGGCGCGGCCATAGGGCCAGGGCTAGGCGACATACCGGAGAGCTGCGTGGCCTGCGTCTTCACCTACTTGACGCCGCCGGAGATTTGCAACCTCGCGCGCCTCAACCACGCGTTCCGCGGCGCGGCGTCGTCGGACTCCGTTTGGGAGAAGAAGCTGCCGAGGAACTACCTGGATCTGCTCGATTTGCTGCCTCCCGACCGCCACAGGGACTTGTCGAAGAAGAAGGACATCTACGCTCTCCTCTCCAGGCCCGTCTCCTTCGACGACGGCAACAAGGTTTTTTTTTTTACTTTCTCGATTCGTTTCCCTTATGTGTGGATTGAATTCGTTTTGATGTCTGGATCGAATTCGAATTTGGTTTTGGTTGATGCAGGAGCTATGGTTGGACAGAGTTACGGGGAGGGTTTGCGTGTCTATATCGGCGAAAGGCATGGCGATAACCGGGATCGAGGATCGGCGGTATTGGAATTGGGTTGCTACTGAAGAATCCAGGTTAGTTCTTCTGATTAAAGTTCCTTTCTTTTTTCTGATTTGCGCTTGGTATTCATGTGGGTTCGTTTCCTGTGTTTTGCTTCGCGATGAAGCAAGAAGCAGAATGTTCCTATCCTTGATGTGTTTATCTTCTTGGGGAGTGGAAAGTTTCACTGATCATGGAGGTGCTATTGGAAATTGAACTAGTGATCTGTCTGTTTGCTTGCTGGCTTGCTACCCTTGGATCTTCTGTCCTGCCAGATGGTTCTTCTTAGTAGAAATGAATTATCGAGGATTCAGTTACTAGTGCTCTTTTCTAGTGTTTGGATTGAGATCATATTCTACGTCGGATTGAAGAAGGCCAGCTGCCATTTGTATTTGCTCCCATTGTCACGAGTCATGACCACTCTTTGGAACACTCTCTGTGTATGAACCTTATCTTCTGCAGCGGCTTTATTCTCGGAGGTCTGTTTCATCTGGTGAAGTTTCCCTTTGCAAAAAATGTGCTTAGGATTCCAGAGAGGCTCCTAATTAAAGCTTGTACTTATAGGTGTGAAGTTAAACAGGGAAAATGGGAAATCTGGTTGGCCTATGTAGACCGAATAGATGGGCTATCCGAGTAGTTAGGCTGAACTGGCTAGATGCTAGTTACCCCATTCTGCTAGGTTAAGCTAGACTCCTGTGAGGTTGATCAAAATGCTAGGTTTGGAATAGGAGGGCAGAAATGTTTGCATAAGCTTGGCAAAGTGAGTTTTGCTCTAGTAGAGATGATCCATTCTTTTTTTGCTAAGTTCTTGGTTATCAAAATCATGCTTCCAGATAAGTTCATGTGCGTTACAAATTTAGGATTCTGTAGGAGCTCAGTAGTGCCGTAGAAGTGAAAAGACCATGGATATGATGACTTATGCTACTGATTGTTGAAAAAGGGATTTGGTAGTTTTGGGAACTGGTGTTCACTAGAAAGGGAGGATGGCTTCTAGGAACTGTGTGTTCTCAGTTGAATTTTCTGCTTTTGTAGTTACTCACCCAATATGCATGAACAATTAGTGCCCCTGGATATAAGTTGAAAGTTTCAAATAGCTCATTGAATTCTCTGGACGTTGGAGCTACTCCTTTAGTTTGCGTGCTAATTGAGTATATTGTATTAGTGAAAATGAATTATGCCTGGACTATTGGTATCTGCAAGATGCTTGTATGGTATGCTTTCTCCCTCCTCCTAGTGATGAGACTTAAGAGTAAACATGAAGGCCCCTCTGTCCAAAGTTCAGCTGATCTGAAAATTATGAACTGGAATTCAGCAGTTTTCTGATGTTCCCTGCACATTAGTTGTTCTCTAGATTGATTCAACAAATGCTGTGGTTCTCATATTTCTGTGGTTAAGGCCTTATTACTTTCTCGCTTGATAAAACATTTCTTTTCCAATTCTTGCTTTCCCAATGCAGTACAATTCTGTTGAGACTTGGCATTCAAAAGCGTAAAGTTTCTTTCTTTGTTGATTTTCAGATTCCACGTCGTGGCCTATTTGCAGCAAATATGGTGGTTCGAAGTAGACGGGGTTCTAAAGTTCCCTTTCCCTCCTGATATCTATACACTAACCTTCAGGCTCCACCTTGGAAGATTCGCCAAACGGCTTGGAAGACGCGTATCTCATTTCGATCAAACCCACGGCTGGGAAATCAAACCAGTTCGGTTCGAGTTGTCCACATCCGACGGCCAGCAGGCATCGTCCGAGTGCTGTCTGGACGACACCGATGAACTCGATGAAGAGTACGGCAACCACAAGCGTGGCTACTGGATCGAGTACAAGGTGGGGGAGTTCGTGGTAACCGACTCAGACCCCATTACCGAGGTTCGGTTCTCTATGAAACAGATTGATTGCACACATTCCAAAGGTGGGCTATGTGTAGATTCTGTATTTATTATACCCAATGATCTGAAGGAGCGTAAACGAAAAGGAGTAGTCAAGTAGGGCAAAAAGAAGCAGAAGCAAAAAAGGATTTGAATGCTGTTTTAGGTTTGTTGTGGTCTATACAGCTATACTGAAAAGTGAAGTCAGTTGATGAGTTTAGAGGGATGTCATCATAATTTGTTCCTTGAGTGGGTAATATGCCTACTTCGACTACTACTATCACCTCATGTAATGTATTTTGCTGTGCTGTATTAACCAAGTTTTGCTGCATTTTTTTTGCACACCTCTGCAGATAGAGTTTTCACAAGGAAAATTGCTTTGATCCCTCTCTCATCCCTTTTTTCTGCCGGTGAATTCATTTCACGTATTACTCTAGCGATGCTCCTTTCTTGAGTTTCTTTCGATATTCTGATCAGTCCGAGTCTGATAGCTTTCCTTATCTGAGTATAGTTTGAAACCTTGGTTAAGTTAGGATGCTTGTCCAATTGGAGACTAATTTTGGTCAAGTTCCTAGCCTTTCATTTCTCCCATTTTCTTTCTTTATCTTGTGTCCCAAGTCTGAGATGTAGGATCGTCAATCTTCCATCTTTCCTTTTCCATACTTTAGACCGATTTAATTGACTTCGAATAAAAAAGAGGAAGAGGAGAACTTGAACCACACCATTATTCCCCTTCCAGTCTGGAAATGAGTACTGCTGACAGCTACTGGAAGATATCAATTTCAACACTAGCATAATAATGTTCTGTAGTTAGGCTTGATGTAGATAGATCCATCTACACTTTCAATAGTAGTGAAATACTGTTTGAGTTGGGCTGATTGAGTTCAGCTGGTTCAGAGTCAAATTCTTTGTACATATACAAGTCGTTCTCAAGTATTTGTAATGGTTTATATACAGCAATCAATTAACTAAAAAGATTACCGATCTATTGTTAGGACATGGTAGTCCGGAGTTTTGCATAATCTGACTTCAGTGATCAGCTTCCCACCACCATCACAAGAGAGTAGTAACATGTACTATTAGTAGAATGGAGTTTTGAAAGCAAGAGGCTACATGAAACACACATCATATCATTGTCCATGTATATAGAGGCTGGTCCATGTTTGGCCGCGCCGCCTGCCTAGCTAGCTAGCTAGCTAGCTACACTTCCTTTGGCGTTAGAGAGGCCGAGCCCAAGCGGATAAAGACTGGTCCTTGCATGTCTGTATTTGCTCCTTTCTTGGCTGCTGCTCTGTTTTCACCTCTGCTGTTTGAGCTGGAAGGAAGGATGGCGTGTGCAAAGGCACTATGGCTCCACCGAAATTTAAGTCTGTTGATCAGTAAAATCAGTAGATTCCTTGGACCACCAGAACTAGCAGTGGTAGAAGAAGCGAGCAGCAGAAGCAGATGAGGTTTTTATGAAGCAAGGAAGGAGAAAGGACAGCTGCTCTGTTTTGTTTGATAATAGTATAGGCAGAGACAGGCGCCCCCACTCTGATCTAAGCTAATGGGCCATTCAATTCATTATAAGCTCTGCGAGAGAGAGACCTTAGCACAATAATGCAGACTTTCAGACAACAAGTTCCTTTTACGATCGGGATGTCTTCTTCACTGCCCATGGCTACCTATCAATCAAATCCAACAATGATGGTGGTGGTGTTGGTGAAGATGTTCGAAAGAAAGCTTTCATGTCCATATAATAAAAATGGGTGTTACTGTTCCATTCATCTTTCAACCGCTCGAATTATCTGGTGCCTCTTCCAACAAGTCAAAAAGAATCTGTAAACGAACGATATAAGAATCTACCGTTGAACTTTTACCAACAACTTGGTTTTTGCTTTGGAAAAAGAAAACAGGATTTCAAAAACATAATTGACAGGGTCATATATATTATCATTACAAGCTTTGAAGGAAGTAAAGAGAGGAAGAGTTAGGATTTAGGACCACTGTATATGAAGATAGGTTTTTCATACAAAACTTTTGAAAATGGTTCTTCCTCTTTCTTCTCCCCCTTCCATGTATAAATACCCTACTGGCTAACTGCTACTGCTGCTGCCCTCTGCTACAGTAGTAGTCCTATCTTTAGGGATCTGTAAACTTTAATTTCTCCAGCTTGGATAGCAACATTACAGCAAAAATGTTGGCCAGCAATAGGTGTGCGTGATGGAATGGTATAAATTTGATTTTGGGAGTCTCTCTTTTTTTTTTTTTTATACTTTCTGGTTTTGTAGATGAATTGGTTCACACTGTGGAATGAACATATTGTCCAATATGCTTTTAGATTTATTTGTGGGGGCTTTTTCCCCCTCAATGAAGTGGTAAGTAGGTGTTTGTTTCTCAGGAAAAATTGGCTGCGTATGTCCATCGATAGGGGACAAGGTGTAATGAATGAGCTCTACGTTATTTCTGACCCTTAGGTGAGACCAAAACTGAGATTCTTTCTTTGGCAACCATATTTAAATAAAAATGGACCCAAACATACAGAATGGTCCTTCTGCACAGTTTTCCCTTTGCTGCTCCTTCTTGCTATAGGTCACTTCACTCTTGACACTAAGAAGAGGCTCAAATTTGAAATGAGAAAAAGAAAAAAATGGTTTGCCAAGTTAAACAAAAAAAAAACCCTGATTAGTGGAGTCCGTCAAACGATAAATTAGCTGACTTTCGATCTCGAAAGGAGAGATCTTAATTAATTCGAATTCTCGAGTTTATCGGCTGCTCTAACTACTATCTTAAGAAGAAGGAAGATTTAGAACGTACACAACTTATAGGGGAGTGATCGAATGAAGTGTTGACATAATTAAATAGCTTTTGCCACAGAGATTCCGATATAAAATCCACATTATCGTGCCCTCCAGAGAACACTCTATCACCACAGACATGAAGCAGTATCACTGTTGACATCTCGTGCTGTATAGAAAAGGGAAAGCAAATTGAAAAGATGGTACTGTATAGCTCTGCCTAACTTCTATTAAAATTGGTCCCCTAAACTCATCTCCTTGACAGCAGTATATGCCCTTGATTAACATTTCACAGGAAAGAAAAAAAGGGGGGGGGGGGGGGGGGGGGGGGGGGTAAAAAGTGAAAGCCTGTAACTTTTTTACCACCCTTGTAGGCTGTAGCTCTAGGCATTTTGCTCCCAACTGTAGAGCTTAGTTATTTCCATTTACAGTAGAGTAGAGCTAGACTACTAGAGAGAGAGAGAGAGAGAGAAAGAGAGCAGTAAAAAAATGAATGAATGAGTGGGGTGAAATGGTGAAAATGAAATGGTTAGTTTCTTTCTTCACGTACGTTTCCAATATTGCAGCAGATGGCTAGGCCGCCATGGAACTTTCTGGTAGAGATCATGATCACTTACCCAATTAGATCTCCAGAGTTCGTTATCTGCTATCGATCTTTAACCCTGCTGTCAGCATTGTCCTCGATCAGTAAACATATATATCGATCCATTACACAGTTGCAGTTGCAGCAGGCAGCAACTTTTTTACGGTGTTGTTGTTTTCATGCAAAGAGAAAGAGAAAGCCCCTCCTTTTGACTTAAATGCTCTTGCTTTGCTTTCTCAGCAGCAGCACCACCACCACTCAGGCCAAGGGTAAAAACTAAAAAGAAACAAAATCATGATTAAAAAGGTCAATGAATTCTTTTGTCTCATCTCTTTCACCTTTCTTAACAGGCCATGCACGTTAACTATATATCACTTGGAAAGACGGTAAAAAAAAGATGATCATTTGAGGTTTTCTTTCTTTCTTTCTCTTCGTGTCTAGTGTCTATGATCAGTTTCGGACTCGAAGATAATGGCAGGCAGGCAACAGGAAGGGCAGCTTTTAACCCTCTTCTCTGTGTTTGTACTACAAGTTAGTTAATTAATAGAGTAAAACTAATAACTAGGGTCTAGGGATGACTCTTCAAATAAATGCTTTCTTCTTTAGATTTGTCTGTTTCGTTTATTTTCCCTCCTTCCTTTTCTTATCACAGTCCACAGATCTATGCTACTCACTGTTCATTTGATATTCCTTGTGGCCCAGTTTCCTCAATCATCAGTCCTTTTTTTTCTTTTGCTTATGTATAGGATTTTAGGTTAAATGGTTGTCTTGGGTAGCTATACCTTGACTGCCTCAATTGGCCTCCACCTACATCACATGCATGCATAATAGTGACCACTATGTGGCTGGTAATGAAATGATCAACAAATTCTTCTCGGTAATTCATTTTGAGTTTTTTCAAATAAAATCAAAGACAAATTTTGTGTCATCCGCTTGTGATCGAGTTATTCAAACAAAATTTCGATCAATGAGGCTTGAAGTTTGTACTAGCTGGCTGTCTAGCTAGCTCATTGCATGTAGATTGTGTCGAGATAAACTTTTAATGTATTCCGCGTACCTACCATGTGGTTTAAGACAACGATAATATTGGGGGCGGTGAGAACTTGAACAAATAATCTCAAGAACATCCAGCTCTGATACCATATAACAAATCAACTAGTTTAAATAACTCGACTTGTTGGGAGAGATCCGCGTGTATGTTGTAGGTGGGGATGAGGAGTGAAAAGGGTAAGGCATAATGTTATGTCAGTCTTTCTTCTTCCTTTCTGTATGTATGTGCAGAAGAAATCTCATCCCTCTCTTCTTCTCTTTTCCCTCTCTGTGTGACATCTCCATTGGGGGACCAAAATAGAGAAAGAGACCTTTCTATATACCTTCCCTTTTTGCCCCCCTTCTTCACAACCGACAAACACGTACATAAAGGAACTGATACTATCTTCTCTTCCCTTTATGCCTCTCTTCTCTATATTAAAAACCCTAATCCCAGAGCCCTGAAAGTTGAGTATCCCAAAACCAACCTCTTTCTCCAGCTCTTACTCTTTTTCCTCTTCTTCTTCTCTGCATCTTTTGCCTTTCTCTTGTCCCCCAAAAAGAGGAAGTGGACTAAAACAGACAACACACAGAAACTTCTCTACTTTGGAGGATTTTGTCCAAAGTGGTTGAACTGTGGAAGAAGTCTTTCACTTTTGTCCCTTCCCTTTGGGGTTTGAATATATAAGAGAAGCAATCCCGATACAGAAAGGATTACTTACTCCATCCTCACCCACAGAAAGTCTTCCTTTCTTGTGTGTCTGCAGAAAGATGGATTGGAATGGCAACTTGAGGAACCTTAACGTTCCTCGTCCCTCGGAGGCTTCATTCAACTTCCTCTACAGCTATAACTACGACCAGTTTCCTCCAGGTAAATTTCAAAATGCTCTCACGTTGTAGTTTTACAAGTATTTTCCATTTCAAACCGGTAACTAAGTCAGAAATCTAAATAAGGGACTATAGTCCCTTCTAACTGCATGTCAATTTAACTCTGTCGTTACTTCGAGTCATGATAAATAAAACGAGGACTAAAACCTTAACATTTATGTTCCACTTTCATATATATTTCTCAGTATTTTTATAAAGGTATTTTTATCTACGATTTGATGATTGATGGGATCATAATGATCCTCCCAAACCCCAAGTAACTCACCACAGATTACAGCATAAAATAGAAACAACATCTAATCGTTCCCAGACTCATGGGCAAACCTAGGTTAAGGGGTAGTGTGTCATGATAAAAAATTTATGCTTGGTCGTCATGATAAAAATTTGAAACTAGAATTCCTGAAACATCGCTAAAAGTTGTAATTAACACATTTGTTGTAACTCCGAACAATGACCTGACATTTTTACTATGAAGTTGATAAAAAAAAATATTTTAAATCAGATTAGTTACCAATTTGTCAATGATTGTTGGGTTGTAAGCCATTGAAAAATATTTGCATTGCAAAATAAAGGATACTTGCATTGAGAAATAGTCTAGTGCTGCTAGGTCGAGAGTTGAAACTTCTGTACTTGTTTTTACCATACTAACACCTTCCTCCTTCTTCGAAAATTTACTGAATCCCGGCCAACAAACTGTTGTTAAATTTCTTCTACTTTTCGAGTGTAATAATAACAGTGGATGTGAAGCAACTAGCTGAACCTCATCATCAAGGGATGAACGTTAACTATGGCGGCGGCAGTAGTAGTAGCAACAGCAACAACTACGCGAGCCATCAACAGCAGCAAATGATGACGATGATGATGATGGAGAAGAAGAAGAGACTGAGCAACGAGCAGCTGGAGTCACTGGAGAGAAGCTTCCAGGAAGAGATCAAGCTGGACCCCGACCGCAAAATGAAGCTGTCACGGGAACTGGGGCTGCAGCCGAGGCAGATCGCCGTTTGGTTTCAGAACCGCCGGGCAAGGTGGAAGGCCAAGCAGCTGGAGCGCCTCTACGACTCGCTCAAGCACGAGTTCGACTCCGTCTCCAAGGAGAAGCTCAAGCTCCAGGAAGAGGTTTGGAAATAACTATTTTTACTCTTTTGTTTCTGTTATTGGCAATACCACATGTACGTGGATCGTTTTAAATACCACATATCAACTTACTATAGGAATAACACTCAAATATCATATGAACAATTAATGATTTATTTGGACTCTACAAATACCATATTGACAATTAATCCATCCAGACGACTCCAGTGTAGTGTGATATCATTTTTTACCGTTCGATTCAGTTTCAGTAAATAATTCTGGTCACATGTGGTTCGGAACAATAAATACATCATAAGCATGAGTTGAAATACGAGACTGAATCGCCAAATTGAGTAGCAAAACGAGAATTTGCTACTCATATGGCATAACATGAACAAAAAAGACAAATTTAATCGATAAAGGCAACACATTTGGGAAAAGGAATATAAGGCATTTGTTCAAGCTATATAGTAAAAATCTACTAGCTAGCTAGTAACCATTTTATCTTGTTTGTTATGCGTCAAATTTTGGTTAGGTGATGAAGCTGAGAGGGATGCTGAGAGAGCAAGCAACGAGGAACAAGCAAGTGTCGACGGCTGGGTACACGGAGGTAATTTCCGGCGAAGAGACGGTGGAGAGCACGTCGGGGGCGGTCGGACAGAGCAGCTCCGGGAGGGCTATAGCCGGCGGCCAGCATCAGATGACGGCGGAGAGCAATTACCTAATGAGTGTGGATGAATACAACCCAGTAGTAGTACCGTCTCCTGCTTACTGGGCTACTACTCTGCCGTCTTATCATTAATGAAGCGTAGAACCAAATGATTTGATTAGTAATAATAATTAAGTTGAGCTCATTAGTACGTGAGCTTACTCTTCTTTCCTTATGATTATCTAGGTCTGGCTAATATAATTATGGAGAAATTTCGATTATGAGTTTGATTCTAGTTAATGAATTATGTGGAAGCTAGTTCCCGAGTGTGATTATTTGAGTCCATAAACGTTATTTCTTTCGGTCACTCAATTTGTCCGAATATGATTTCAATTTTTTAATTATTCTATAATAATAATGAACAAGAAAACGCTAACTGGGTCTCAATGTCAATCCCAAACTATCTATCATGATTAATACGTGATTGAATAGTATTCATTATTTAAGTAACATTTTATTGAGATGGAATATAGTTAGAGGTGTACAACTGTTCCTAGCACTAAACCATAATAAAAATGGAGTATTAAGAAATTGGAGTATCAATGATAAAAGTTATTGGAATATTAATAACTGGACTATCATTGTATTCAATGCTTTAGCTTCGATTTGACACACCGAACCAAAAATCAACTCAAATGATTTTTCTTCAATAGTCATGAGATTTATAGAACCAAAAACCTAATCGTATAATATTCGAGTCAATGTAGATTTGGTAATGGTTATATTCAGGGCCAACCAAGAAAAAGCTTTAGGAGTTGAGTTTACATTCACGTATTACTATTATTAAGTTTTAACCAAACATAGTGAATTACAAAGGACAGGCTATGAGCTTCTGTTTCATTTTCCCTTCCGACAATTAGGATTAACAGAAATGAGGACAAAATCAACACCATGAAACCGTATTGCATTTGTAGATGACTGCAAAAACAAATAAAAGTAGACAATCTTAAGATCCAACAGAAAAGCGACATTAAAAATCTTCCTTAACTCGAAATTCAAGTTGGTAACAACAAGAGGTGAACAAAAATGGGGTTTAGAGTCACCGAGTCTTTCTGACAAAAATACCAAATTAAAAACTACAACCAAGAGTCCAAGACTATCTGGTCCTCTCCCACCGTCTGCAAAACAGAACCCTGAAGAAACGCAAGCTAGCTAGAGATTGTTCAGCGCTTTCCACCTCCACCGCCTAGCTTAGGACCCTTGGCCGGGGCATTCCTCGAAGCACCACCCTTGGACTGTGACTTCTGCGACTTGGTCACTTCGGCTTTCTTCGCCTTCTTCTCGTCCTTAGTCTTCTTGATCCTCTCCTTGATTTCTCTGCATTACCACTCAAGTGATTCTTAGCATAATGGTCAAAATGAAATTATCACCACCACAATGCATGCCACTGGATGAATATATAAATGAGTTGGCACAGAAGCTAACCTGATAGCAGCTTCTCTGGCAGCATCACGAACTTCAGGCTTCTCTGCTCTCCTCTTCTGGATGACCTCCAAGGTTGCACCAACAATGGACCTAGAGTATGGCTTCTTAGTAGCACGGCGCCTCTTCTTCACAGACTCTTGAGCAATGTCCTGATTAAATTACAACAGTAGCAACAGTATCAGACACTAAAAGGCAGAATGAGCCTAAACTAGGAATGGAACAGAGCAAAAAGAATCAGAAAGTGCAAAAGGGAAACTCGATCTCCTGAACTATATATAACCAATGATTTGACAAGAATACTTCATCATCAAAGAAAAGAGAGAAAATAACAGATTGTTGTTTCACCTTCTTATGTTGCTTCCTAAACACTGCTGTCCATGTAAGTTTGGATGGCTTCAACCTGTTGTGGAAGTACCTCTTGCATTTCGAGTTGGCAAAGAGGAACACCTAAAATGAAAGAAAAAAAAAACCAAACCAGGATACATGCATCAGTAAACTAATAGAGCAATACTTATGGACAGGAAAGCTTCGATATAGAAACAACAGTCACAAATTTTCTCCAGCTAATCACCTGAGAATCAGCACGGATAAATCTAATGCCTCTCCCTGGGTAGATCTTCTGGCCACTGAACCTACAGAGCTCGGTCCTGATAGGTAAGCAAACCGAAACATTAGCTCCAGCAGTGAAAAGCAAATCTCAACAACAGTGTACCATTGCAGCTAGAACAATAGACGAACAAAGAGCTCAAAAAATCCACATTGCAGCTGGCATGACCATCCATAATTCACTACACATACTGACACAAGTAACATTTTGACATCAAGCATATCCATTTACAACACCAGAAAGTATTTACGAACTTCAGGCAAAGATTGCAGATCTCCATGTTCAATGATGGACTAAAACCTACTACTTGTTCTATACTTGCAACCCGTTGAGCAAGCAGAGCAAAGTAAACCTGGGTCCAAGGCCAAGTTCAAAGCTACATCAAATCGTCCAACAGAAAAAGCCAATGAAACAACACCAACCCATCGGAAGTTTATCTTCTACCGGTTTCTTTCCAGATATCGAAATCAGAATTATGAACAAACAAACAAGCGCCCAACTCCGAATCAAAGGATCAATCTTTACTTTCAAATCCTATGAAAACGAGCTCGCGGGAACAAATGATAGGAAAAGAACTATAGGGTATAGGATTGACATGGGGATCAGAAACTGTACTTGAGAACCATGGCGGCGGCGGCGGCGGCTGATCTTCGTCCTGCCTTCTTCTCCTTGCCGCTGGTTTAGTGAGAAACCCTAAAAATGAAGGTTCCTCGCTTTATGTACGAAGGCGAAAGCTTGGTAAATTGCCCATTGTGCTGCCTGATAACCGCGAAAATGCCATTGGTTCGTGGGCTTCGTCGTGTGTCTGGGCCGATAGAGACAAGTAAGCCCATTATGTCATTTTTTTTTTTCAAAATAAATTTTTGGTGCCAACCCAACAACATCAACAACCATTATCCACCAAGTCCAGACATACACGTTAATCGTCATTGCCCTCCTTGGTAGAGAGCTCTGAACCTCAAATGGATTTTGAATCAATGTAAAGAATTTGTATAGCTCGCTTTTACATTTTATAACAAGTTAATAAAATTATTAGTTACAATACTTTAAAAAGCGTAGCTAATCGCAATATATAGTTATAAACAAAAATCATTGCTGTCACGATTAATGTGCCTTACGATTTGTGGCTAGAAATGGTTTGTTACAATAATTGTTGGTACAACAAATGTGATTTGTAGCTAGAATAGGTGTGGGTAAAGGGCATTAATTGGCATCTTATTCGGAACTTGAAGTATTCTTGCTGCCAGAGACGCCATCTTCCTGTTGGTCTCCAAGTCCCTCTCTCGTGTCATCATCGAAGGTGACTCGGAAGTGGTGATTCGTCAGCTTCGTCAGGGTGCTACTTCTTATTCCCTAGGAGGACCGGTGCTTCGGGATTGCTTCTGTTTCTGTCTCCTTAGAGTTTAGGGCAGTTCCTCGGACTGCTAACAGGGTTGCCCATAGAGTGGCGCAGAAAGCCCTGCTTCTTTCTCCTCTTGAGTTATGTTCTTTCGACTTTGTTGGGTGGTTTCATTGATGTAATAGGTTGGGAGGCGTTCGGGTAGTTTGTATAGTTCTCTCCATTGACATTTCTTGGAAAAAAATATATAAATGAAAAAAGTAATTATGTCTAATTAAATTTGTGACTACAACTTTTTTTTTTAGAAAGGTGACTAAAACTTTTGAAGATCTATAGGAATAAATTATGTAGTTATTAGCTAGAATATCAATTTTCATGGCTATAACTTATAGTTATAAGAGGTAATTATTGTAGAGCAAATAATAACTACTAGTAGTAAGGATGCAAGTTTTTTTTCCTCTTAATAAAAAAAAGGGATAGACAGGTCAGTTTCTTGGGAGGATTTGTTCCCTTCTTCATCTACATTGAATGTGAGATTTACAAATTCCTTCATTCATGAATTTGGACTCAGTTTTTTAAAATTGGTGGCCTCACATTTGATGCATTTATTTTTATCTAACAAACAATGGATTTTAAGGAAATATTTATCATTTTTATTTATTTCCTTGTTTTCATAAGTGGAAATAGAGACTAAAAACATGTTAAGTTTTGTTTTCGTATATTGTTAGTGTGACACGAATTTCCAATGCAACAAAAATTAGTTGAAACCAGTAAACCCACTCTAAGTAATTTTTTCCCCCCACCAAATTGGGATACTGTACGTTATTGAAATCATTTCATTCAAAAAAGTCAATGACCAAAATCCACTAAACCACTTCTCTGTGTTTTTTTTCCTCTCTACATTTTTGCATATCTCATTCCCAAAATTTTATTGTCAACATTATTATTATATATATTCTTTCTCAAATTTCTCTTAACTCGCCATACTATTACTCGTATTATTTTATTACTTTTGTTTTAGTCTCAACATTAATACTATAAGAGGCCTAAAAAGTAACTAAACTTATTTCTGGTTGTCAACTTTCCTGGTTTCTCAAAATTACCAACTATACATGGTTTGTTTATCTGTTTTCATATTGTTGTGATTGTACTGATGTTGTTACAATTCCATCAGAGCATAGCAAAACTATACTAAACTGCATGGGATACTAAAGTGAGCCATTGTTCATTGATTTAGGGACCAAATGTCACATTTCGAACCTTTTTCTACAATATATTGTATGCTTTGGATCTAGACTCTTACGAGTTTTTTCTTGGGATGCATATCAAGGTGAATTTCGATTATATCACCCATCATTGTAGTCAGTGGCGGATCCATATTTTTTTTGCAGGGGTGTCCTCTTCCAAAAATTAAATTAAATTAATAATTAAAATAAATAATACATAAATAACAAAATATCCAATTAGTACAAATGTTGATAAAAAGCCACGATGTGTTTCATATTTTGAAAAAAATATAAGATAGATTTGGTGTCTACACAGATCAATAAATCGTTATAGCCTACTAGATCGCATATTCAATTTCTAACCTTGTTCATGATGTAATTCAAAGTTGAAAAGATTGTTTCAACACTTGCAGTGTAATCATAAAATCAATTCAAATTCTGGGTACCCCTGGGGATAAGAAATTGTGTTTTTACAGTAGAACAACAAATGATTTATAACCTAATAGAGAAGATGTTTAATAATAGCAGTGTCCTAGATTTGAATAACACAGAGTACCCCTTATATTTTTTAATCATACGCAAACTACTATCGAGGTTAAGATAATCGTTTATTAAAATTTTAGGGGTGTCCCAAATTACCAATTATATTTTGTTTATCCATACGAAACTACTACCGGGGGTTGGATAATCGTGTTGCCAAAATTTAGGGGTGTCCTGGGACACCCCTAAAGCACCATGTATCTGCCACTGATTGTAGTGCTCCACTGTGAGCACGTTTAACTTTAGAGTTCTTGCAATAACTCTCGTTTCACTCCCAAAACGCGTTTTCTCATGAACTTTTGTCGATGTGAGATTTGACTACATACCCCCCTGGGACTCAAACGTCCTGGTTGATGTTTGCCTCACCATCGTTCAAGAGGGACGTAGAGAGGCATTGATACGACTTTTAACATCTCGAACCTTTTTCTTGACCAGATATTATCCGCTTTGGATCTAGATACTCATGATTGTTGTCTTGGGTGCATATCATAATAACTTTCCATAAGGTCGCATATCCTTGTAGTGCTCCATAGTGAACATATTTTACTTTGAAATTCTTACAATAAGCCTTCTGTCTTATCCATAAACACATCTGGTAAGCCAATATAAATTTCTTACTTATAAATCTTTCGCGTATTTTTCGATAACGGATTCGCTGAGATATTACCAAATCCCAAACCACCCTTTTTTTTTATAAACCAAACTATCCCTTTGCGCCTTTGCTTCACTCCAAAGCCTAAGAACTCCCACCAAAATAAAGGGATTTATTACCAAGAAAAATTAAATTAAATCCAACTGACAGAGAACGAGAAAATTCTTGCACTTTACGCCTTTGCTTCCTTCCCTCCCACCTGAGATCCGATTCACCGTTCTCTGTTCTCTGGAACCCTAAGAGACGAAAAGTCCCCGCACCCCGTTGCTCGGCTTCCTTAAGCCCAGAATTCGGGGGAACCGGCCGAATGGACGCCAAGCAGAAGCAGCGACCTGTTGTAGAAGAAGACAAGGTGGCGGCGGAGGAGGATCGGAGCAGCGATAGCGGTGGCGAGTACACGTCGGAGGACGAGGGAACGGAGGATTACAGGCGGGGAGGGTACCACGCGGTCCGGATCGGCGATGCTTTCAAGAACGGGCGGTACGTGGTACAGAGCAAACTCGGTTGGGGCCATTTCTCCACTGTTTGGCTCGGTTGGGACACTCAGAAATCGGTAAAAGCTATTTGCTTACGTTTGATCGAAAGATAGTTGATTGAGTGATGGTCTGATTTATGGGGTTTTGCTGGTGTCGCGGGGGTTTGGAGTTTTCCCGGGAGCCGACTCTTCTGCATTTGGGTTGATTATACTCGTTGCTTTGTTCCTTGGTTTCTGGGTTTTAACATGCTTACGAGGTGGAGAACTTCCCATTAGTTATGGTCTTATGGATGTAATGTGTTTGTTCTCTGCAACTTTTACCGGTATATATAATATCAATAGAGCGTAGAGGGTATTGGATTTCATTGCTCTTCTCTCCTTAATTGGTCCAACTAAGTATTGACTCATGTATGACTGTTCTTTGATCCTATTGTTGCAGCGATATGTAGCCCTCAAAGTTCAAAAGAGTGCTCAGCACTACACTGAATCTGCCATGGATGAGATAACCATCTTACAACAGGTAGCAGAAGGAGACCCAGAGGATCAGAAATGTGTGGTGAAGCTCTTGGATCATTTCAAACATTCAGGTCCGAATGGACAACATGTCTGTATGGTATTCGAGTATCTAGGGGATAACCTTTTGACTCTTATAAAGTACAGTGATTATCGTGGATTGCCCATTCATAGGGTCAAGGAGATATGCATCAACATTCTGCAGGGTTTGGATTACTTGCATAGACAACTTTCCATCATACACACTGATCTAAAGCCGGAGAACATATTGTTGCTATCGGTGATTGACCCCTCGAAGGATCCGATAAAGTCCAAGACTCCTCTCATTCTTCCGAATAGTAGGGACAAAAGTTCGATAGAGTCTGCCGTTTCGAGATTAAATGGTGACTTGATTAGGAATCAAAAGAAAAAGATCCGAAGGAAGGCTAAACGAGCAGCTCATGAATGTGTGGAGAAGGAAGCTTCTTCTACTGAAGCTAACATGGGCCGTGAAACATCTGCAGCAAAGCGGGCCATTTTAGAAAGGGAGGGTATTAAAATGGGAAGCCGCAGCACAAGGCAGAACCTGCTTGCATCAGCTGATCTCAGGTGCAAATTGGTGGACTTTGGGAATGCGTGTTGGACGCACAAACAGTTCACAACTGATATTCAGACAAGACAGTATCGCTGTCCTGAAGTCGTCCTTGGATCAAAATACTCTACTTCGGCCGATCTTTGGTCTTTTGCTTGCATATGTTTCGAGCTTGCAACTGGTGATGTGCTCTTTGATCCACTCAATGGTGACAGCGATGTGGTAAAACTTTGACATAGAACTGGAGTCTTGATTTTCATGATATATTCCTGCTTATTAGTATTTGGTTGCTGTAAGGGTCATAGTTGGGCAACTGTAATATACCATTAGGAAGAAAAGAACTAACATGTCTGAAATGATGAAAAAGACTAAAGATTCAAATTATAAGGTCTGAAACAACCTGAATTTCAGATACCTAATCCATTATTTTCCATAGGACTGCTTTGTAGTGACATATATGCTGTGTGTTTCTACTTAAGTTCCATTAACAATAGGTAGAAATCCCCATTCTGGTTGTAGGCTTGTAGCCATATCATCCTCTCCTAATAGAACCGTCAGAGTTGGGCTATTTTGCCTTGTTTCTATTACATTTGACCTTAATGTTATGGAATTGCAAGGATATATTAATCCCTGAAGCATGTGGAATTGGAATGACATTGGTTTCATAAGGATATTGATAGATTTTCTCTGCAGTAAGGTTTCCCTGAGCTCTTTGCAATGTGTTTTATTACCTTATGGTTTTATAGCCTACATTTTACATTTTCAGGACCATTTGGCCCTAATGATGGAGCTCCTTGGAATGATGCCGCGCAAGGTCAGTTGCATGTTCATTTATTGTTGCTTAGCTAGCTACTTAACATTGCAAGTCATAGCACATTCAACCTAAGAATATTAATGACAATTGCAGATTGCCCTGGGTGGCCGATATTCCCGTGATTTCTTCAACAAATTCGGTGATCTGAGGCACATACGTAGGTTGCGGTTCTGGCCACTGAACAAGGTTCTTGTTGAGAAGTACAAGTTCAGCGAGAGAGATGCAAGTGAACTGACGGAATTCCTGGTTCCCATACTCGATTTTGTTCCCGAGAAGCGTCCTACTGCTGCTCAGTGTCTTCTTCATCCATGGATCAACCGGATCCCCTGTAGTTTAGAGCCAAACCAAGCTCAGGAAACCCAGAATTCTCAAAAGAAGAGGGATAAGGATGAGAAAGAGGCCATGGAGATTGGTATGAGGAATATTGCAATCAATGCAGATACGAATACTGTTAATTCTTCCAAAGGTCTGAAGGCCATAACTCCCTTGTCTAAGTAGGGTTATGGACTGTATTATCACTTACAGGCTGCAGCCTGCAGCCATACAACAGAGCGCGGATTCTTTTGCAGCTCTGGGTGGTATACTATGATTTTTTGGACAGAGTTAGGGGCCAAGATAAAGTGATTAAGGGGAGGGCTTTAGTCAGTTAGCTAAGCCTGTCCCAGCCCTCCATTGAAAATTAATCTGATGGTACTTTGAACTAATCCCATTTAACGAGTGTTAATAGGTGAGCACATAACTGGTTTTTTTTACCTTACTTTTTCCAATCAAATCAACTAATTGTGCAATTAAAGGAGGAGAGATCGCTACTTTTTCGTCCAGGGTGCTTTCCCCTTTTTTTTGCCCTTTCTTTTAACTTTTTTCGGATGTATGGTTTGTATTTTGTAATGTTTATTTGCTTTGTATAATTTTGTAATGTTTGTCTGTGTGGTTTGTAATATATATATTTTTTTGTCTGGTTTGTAATGGTTGTATGTATGGTTTGTAATGTTCTTAAGACTGGTTTGTAAACAGAGAAATTTTACAATGCTATATAGTATTGGTGCTATAGGGTTTTGTTTTTATGGTACAATTTAAAATTGTACATTTACGATATAGTACAATTTCAGATTGTAACTATATTTTTTTACAAATTCTTTTATGGTACAACTTGAACTTCTACCTTTATATGATGATACAACTTCAATTTGTAAAGTTGTACCATAATATAATAGTACAACCTAAACTTATACATTTGATATTATGGTACAACTTTAAGTTGTACATTAAAGCACCAATACTAGCATAGTAGAAGTGCTCTTGTAAACATTATAATTTGTATTGAAAAGAAAAAAACAATGATAACCATGATAAATGTAAATTTTTAAGTTTGCTATTTGTAGAAATTACGAAAATTTGTACATTATATGGTTCATATTTTTTTTTTGTTTGGTTTGTATGCTTTGGTTTTTCGGTTTCATGCAATGAGATATAGATTACATAAGAGCACTTCTACTATGTAGTATTGGTGCTTTAATGTACAACTCAAAGTTGTACCATAACATTAAATGTATAAGTTTAGGTTGTACCATAAGGCAATTTGTACCACTATGTTATGGTATAACTTTACAACTTGAAGTTGTACCATCACATAAATGTACAAGTTCAAGTTGTACCATAAAAGAATTTGTACAAAAAGTATAGGTACAATCTAAAGTTGTACCATAACGTAAATGTACAATTTTAACTTGTACCATAAAAGTAAAAATCTATAGCACCAATACTATATAGCATTGTAAAATTTCTCATTACATAACATAGCAAATAAGCAAACTATTTTATTATAAGTATGCAATCTATATCTCATCGCTATACGAGATCTATTGTACGTCATTGTCTATCTCTAATACTCTTTATCTCGTTTTTTCACTGTTCGTATTTGAACTCGATTTCGAGACCCGATCCAATAGATCTGGTAACTGGATGATGAATGAGATGACCAACAACTTCTCTCTTGCCATGCCAATTGGGCCTTTTGAGTTGCTAGTAAAAACGAACCATTCATTGCAAGGGTAAATGACAGAAATATAGTTTTTTTTTTAATTTACCACGAAGGGTAAATGACAGAAATATAGTTTTTTTTTTTTAATTTACCACGAATATGGCCAATTAAAAACTATTTACAGAGATATTGTGGTTTTTAATAAGGATTGGGGCGGGACCACCTGAGACTCAGGCGGGACTAAATTTTTACCCAGTCCTGGGCGCCGGCGCCCCAGTCTCAAGCGGCCCCGCCTCAGACAAATTTTTTTAATTAGTCTGAGGCGCTGGCGCCCGAGACTCAGGCGGGAGCGCCCCGGACTAATTTTTTTTAAATTTTGGACGGGCCCTCCCACCTTATCCCCTCCCCACCACCACAATTCCTCCCTTCTTCTTCCTCCCCCCAACCCCGAACCAGCAGACCCCTCTCCCTCCTTCTTCTTCCTCCACCCCAACCCGAACCGCCGCCCGCCGCCCGCAGCACCGTCCCAGACTCAGGCGCCGCCGCCGCACACTCGGGCGCCGGCGCCGCAGAGAGGAGCGCCGCCGCCTTGGACTGAACCGCCGCCGCCCGAGATGTCCTCCGACGAAGAACCAGTCGCCGCCGGCAGAGGCAGAGGTAGAGGTCGGCGAGGTCGTGGTGGAGCCGGCGGCCGTTTGCGCGGTGAGACTCTCGTCGGCAGTTTGATTTTTTTTTAATGTTTTGTGTTTTTTTTAATGTTTTGTTGCTTTGGTTTTGCAGTTCCGAGGCTTATGGATCCTTATTCGATGAGATTACCGCCGGCGACAATTGATCCAAGTCCGGTCGATCCGACACTTCTTTGGGGACACGGCCAACATCGTATCGACTCTGTTTGGACAAACGAGGTAAGTATTTGATAATTATTCATGTAAAGTTAATTAGCTAATTAGATTATTTTAGGTAGTGAACTGAACTGAACTGTTAGGTGAAATTAGTATAATTTTATGTTAGATAAGACAGATTAGAATTTATTAGGTGAAATTATAATTATTACGAATGAAAATGAATTAATATAAGTTTTGTGCACTATAGGCTGGTGATCGACCGTACCATGTTCGAGGTACGACCATTTTAGTACCTTACCATGAGCTTTATCGGCCATATCTCGAAGCGGCAGGCTTGTTTAGTGTCGTGCCCCTAGTCCCTATGAACCCCGATGCTAGTTTGATTACTGCGCTCGTAGAGCGGTGGCGCCCCGAGACGTCGACCTTCCATCTACCGTGTGGTGAGATGACGATCACGTTAGAGGACGTTGTTACACTGTCCGGTCTGGCGATCGACGGTGATGCCGTCGTAGTTGATATACCGGATGAGGAGTGGTCGGCGATCTGTTTGAGACTGTTGGGACGAGTTCCGGCCGATCTTGTAGGCAGTGTCGCTGTTGTTAGGATTGTTTGGCTGAGGGTTGAATTCAGTCATCTGCCGGAGAATGCATCACAGGAGGTTATAGAGCAGTTTGCACGAGCTTATGCTCTATCTCTGCTTGGAGGTGTACTTTTCTCGGATCGGTCTGGAAGTACGGTGCACCTACAGTACCTACTTCTGATTGAGGATTGGGAGAGAGCTGGACGGTTTGCCTGGGGAGCTGCTGTTTTATCCTACCTGTACCGTGAGATGGGTAGGTCGACTTTGCACATTACGCATACCGGCACTTCTCTTAGCGGTGACCTTGGTGGATGGGTCGCCCTACTGCAGTTTTGGGCGTGGGAGCGATTCCCACATCTGGCACCTCGAGACGAGGAGACGAGGGCACAGGCCACTGAGGATGCATTCCCACGTGGTCTTCGATGGCTTTCGGCCAACAGTCGTCAGTATGGTGACCAGCTATTCCAGTACAAGCTGTGGTTTGACGCGATGGACACCGTGGTGGTTAGTATATAACATTTCATTTTATATAATAGTTTTCATTTGTTTTATTTTTTTAGATTTAGGGATAATAACGATAATTTTTGGATTTAATGTAGTGGCAACCTTACTTTGAGAGAGCACTTCATCTCAGAGGTAGTGTGCTACAGTCGGAGACATTTCGAGCAGTAGTGCCACTTATCTGCTTTTCATCGGTGATGTGGCATCATCCAGACCGCGTGCTCCGGCAGTTTGGCATGAGACAGCATGAGCCTCATCAGCCACATTTTGAGGCTGAGGTTAGGTTTTTTCTTCGCCAGGCTACTCGTGGGCCATCGCGTGGGCAGCAGTTGGTACACGCCTCCAGAGAGTCGATTGCTTTCTGGAACCGTCGACACGAGTTTGTAGCGACGGCTCCATATACTGATGAGGAGTTAGCCTACCACTCGGAGCATATGGAGTGGTATAGAGATGTCACCAGACGATCCGGCACACGGAGAGGAGCTGCAGCAGAGGCGTTGGTTAGTTATTTGATTTATTTGCTTAATTTGTTGTTAATTGTGTGAAATATCTGACATTTTTGTTGGTGTTTTTTAGTACGACACTATCGAGCATGCTGAGGTGAGTTTGCGTGACGGTGTACGGTCTGGAGGGCTGACCCCCGACCAGTGTGAGGACTTGGCCAACTTTATGGCATCCGGTGACGGTGTACTTCATTCAGACTATTATTTTTGGATTGTTATTATTATGTACTATAAACAAACAACAACATCTCAAGCAACAACATCTCAAACAACAACATCTCAAACAAACAACATCTCAAACAACAACATCTCAAACAAACAACATCTCAAACAAACAACTTTTACATGGTAAATCAAAAGATAACAACAACATACCAAACAACAACATCTCAAACAAACAACAACTTTTACATGGTAAATCAAAAGAAATATAACAACTTCTACCACCTCTCAGCCACGTCTATTACCTCTACTTCCTCTTCTACCACCTCTCGTACTTCGTTGGCCACCACTCCCTCCTCGGTTGCTCCCACTCCTACTAGCTTGGCCGCCGCAAGTTGATGCATTATGTCCCGCTTGGTTACAGTTGCTGCACACTTGGTGTGATGCACCCTCCCTTGGCCAGTCCATCTCGTTGTGGATCCTTGTAACTCGTGGCCTCCCCGGCTTCCTAATCATGTGCACATTAGGATGGAGAATAGGACCATTATGTTTCTTCCAACCCTTAGGTTCACCAAGAGGTGCGAAACTTGTCCCATAACAAGCCATCACTGTTTCCAGCTTGTAGACATTGTTGACAAACCTATACGCATTAGCCCCCATTCGGTTGCAAGCTGCAATGGCATGAGAGCAAGGAATTTTATTTCCTTGAAATTTACCACAAGTGCAAAATCCTGCCCGGTTTTGATCGTCAAAGTGAACTGTGAGTGTGTTTGACCCTGTCATGTTGAAATTGTTGGGAGGAGTCTGAACTACATAGATGCCTTGACCTCGATCAAGAGCTGTCACAGAATGTCCAATTGCCTTTTGTGACCTGTACTTCATTAGCTCTTCGCACTTGTTGGAGTACTGTGAACCGCCACTTCTAATTTCTGCTCCTGTCTCCAACCTATACATATCGAATTTCTCCACCAATCGCCAATAGGTATGCTGCACAAGAGAAGCTATCGGAAGTGCACGAATACCTTTGAAAACACCATTGACGCTTTCTGCCATGTTGGATGTCAGGATAGACCAACGACCCCCACCATTGTAGTTATCATGTGCTAAACTCCAACGAATCTGATGTTGATCCACCCAGTTATCACATGAAATATTTCTATCAGCGGCCACCTTCTTAAATTGCTCAACTTGACGATCAAACTTCTCCAACCGTTTTTCTCCGGCTAACAAAATAAACCACAACACGTGTTAGATAAATTCATGACAAAATTACATGAAAACAAATAACAAAATTAAATGAAGAAAGCTTACCGACTCGAAATAGTTGATTATACATAATTTTGCTTCGAGTCTTCCTTTGCAAATTGCTTGCATAGTGTCGCATGCACCACCTCCACTCCCAACCTCTTCCGATGTTATTCATGGCTTCATAGAGTCCTGCATGTCTATCTGAGATGATGCATACATCATTTCGATCAGTCAAACCCTGAACCTTCCTCATGAACCATGGCCAACTCTCAGTATTCTCGCTCTCCACTATGGCAAATGCAATTGGAAAAATCTTCCTCCGGCCATCAAATGAGCTCGCCATGAGTAGCACTCCTTTATACTTCCCAGTAAGAAATGTTCCATCCACAACCATGACGCCTGGACAATTCTTGAATCCATCTATACAAGGTCCATAAGCCCAGAATACTCGCTGAAATATTAAATGACCAGGTTGAGTCGAAGGAACTGTTACCCAATCAATCACCGATGTTGGCATTTTTCTCTTGACCACCCGCAAGAATGTTTGCAAAAAATCGTAGGATTCTTCCCAATTTCCATGCAACTTCTCCAATGCTCTTTGTTTCCCATACCAAGCCTTCTTGTAAGTAACTTGCATATTAAACTTATCTTTCAACTCGGCTTGAACAGTTAGAACACTCAGATTTGGTTGGGCACGTACCAAATGTTTGACGGCCTCAGATATCATGTCGACATCAAGATGGCGATGATCCGTCGGTTGAGTCGTACTGCTACAAGAATGCACCAACTCAGCTTTTCTCACAGTCCATTCGCCCCCAACATCTCGACATCCAAACCGCACCATCCAAGGACAATTGTCATCCTTGTGCCTCAAACATCTGACCTTCCATATTGAAGGTGACGACTCCACCACGCCATATAGAAAGTTGCGTTGTAGTGCGTGGTGTTTAATCGCCATCTGTGCAGCTTGTTTCGAGTGAAATATCTGCCCCTTGTAGAATTCTCCTTCAAAACTATCAACAATAGGCATTGGAATTACGCCATATGAATCAGCAAGTGCAAATTCTTCGTCATCTTCATTGCCCTGCAAGTAAAAATATGGAGGATAATTAAGTTGCTCTCCTTCCTCCTCCTCCTCCTCCTCCTCCTCCTCCTCCTCCTCATCTTCCTCCTCTCCGTCATCACCGTGATCATAGTCATGATCGGATGGCACGCTCCATGTATCATCTTCTTCCTCTCCACCCTGATCATCACTGAGCTCAACATGTATCTCAGCACCCAAACAATAAGGATTTTGTGCCATAAAATTCCAAAGCACATCCAAGCTATCATCATCCACAATAGGTAACGCATAATGAAATAAAACATCATTCTGCCATTATGGAAGACGGTAAGTGAAACCTGTGATCACATCACTATCTTTTACTGCTTCGTCTCTGCGCCGTATTCTCGGAATTAGAGTCTCACAAAGTTTGTGATATGTGACTCTGGATGGAACCGTCAACTGAAAACTACTACCACCAACGAATTTGACACCCAAATTATCCTCTACTTTCTCCGATTTCCACCGAACAACTAGTTCAAATCTTCTAAAATCACTACAAAAAAACAAACTCACTAATTAAAAACTAAACACAATCATAATAGCATTTGAATAATATAATTACAAAAATAAATGTGTCTCTTACCTAGCCATTTTTGCAGCAGCAACCAGAGCTCTCTCCTCTATTTTGGACGATTTTTTTTGTGGTGTGAATCTGAAACGAAATGTCTGTCTGGGTTTTATAGGGTTGGTGGCCAATCCACCTACTCGCCTCAGTCTCGGGCGCCACCGCCGGAGTCTTGATTTCCCACCTACTCGCTTCAGTCTCGGGCGCCGCCGCCTGAGACTCGGGCGCCACCGCCCGAGTCTAATAAAACGGTCCAAAAACCAAGTCTTAAGCGGCGGCGCCTGAGTCTCAGGTGTACCCGCCAATTCTGATGTATAAAACACAATATCTTTGTCAATAGTTATTAATTGGCCATATTCGTGGTAAATTTAAAAAAAAAAAACAATATTTATGTCATTGTCCCTCATTGCAACGTATTTTGAAAATCAAACCACAAAATCTATGAGGAAAGATATCCTCATCGATAGTGGTTTCCCTCCAAAGAAAACAGTGGTCCACTCCAGCCAAGAATGTTGCAGATTTGGTTTGATTGCAATTTGGAAAATGTCATTGAATGGAAATATTGCGAACATGGCATAGCTCAGTTTTGGCCTTTGCGGATGTACACGAATTGGCTTTATTATCCCCCATTGGCAAGAGAGAAAAAAAGACCATGTGGCGGCCGACAGAGAAATGAGAGCAACAAGAAAAGATGGATACCACCATACCATACAAATATTTGGCAACGTGTAGTTTCTGATATGAATGAATGAATTCCCTCCATTGTCCTATTCCTTGGACTCATCCATGAAGCTTCCTTCCTAGCTAGTATTTCCTTCCCAACTCCTCTTTTGTAGAAACATTGTTTGGATGTGCAATTTTGGTGAAAGATGGTGGCTAGTTGTGTACATTGATTTAACATTGGCTTGAATGATAAGAATATGTTTCAATACATAGAGAAATTATTTTCTATACTTTTAACAATTTACCTACTTATGCAATCACATGTGCTACCATTAGTTTGGTAGGTCTTTCGGGTTTGAGTGTCCATTGGTCCTTGTATGAATTTTGGAACATGGCCAGCAAAAAATTTTCTGGTTTGCTAGGCTTTGATCATATCATTTTCCATCCAATTCTTTGTCATATCTAGCAAAAAGATAAGGGTGAGATATAGATTAGGCATTTGGTATCAAAGTATGATACCAACATCAAGCATTCTATCCAATATCCTCTTAGTTTTTCTGTAAATGTCAATCATGGTACCTATAAGTATTTGTAATTTAGTTCTGGCTAAAGTGGACAAAGATGTGATCGACATAACATCAAGTTTGGATCAAAACTATATTTTGATCAACATGATTTTTTATGGAGGCACGCATATTAGTTAAGGGTATTTTAGTAAATTTAATCAGGTAAGTTGACAGTGTTTATATGTTGTTATTCAGAGTATTTCGTCGGAATTATCAATAAACAATTAACCAAAGTGTTGTCAACATGATAGAAACCGCGATTTATGTTCTTTCTGCATTTGAACTTATGTGTTAAATTATTATTGTTGGGGGGATTTGTTTAGGGTATTTCGGAATTATTGGGAGGGATTAATAAGTTGGGGTAGCTAGAGGAAATTGTGGTTTATTATATAAACCTAATTACGTTTCCTAATCTCCTCTCTCTCTTTCCTCACTCTAGCTGATCCCTCTCTTCTTCTTTGCTGCCTCCGCAGTCTTCTTCCTCTCTTCTCTCCATTTTTCGACTCTTCTTCTCCTTTTACTCTACCAAAAGCAGTCACTACCTCGGTTATTGACCTCATTTCTTCCAATCCCTAGTAAATTCGGTAGAACCTGATAACCAGGTTTCTATCACAACATTATCCCAATATCTCTCTCCAATCCCCAATTTCTATTTTGCTCTTCCCGAAACCCCAAATATCTTCTTGTCAATCTCGAATTCAATCATCTCTACCTATAATCGATTCCTTAGTTTCTTTCTCAAATTCAAGATTTTTATGGATATCGATTCCGTTAGATCCTCATAAAACAAAGAGTAGACTGATAGAATCGAGAGGCCGGAAAAAACCAAGTTAATACACTTTGATTTGGTGATGATCCATATCTTTCACTAGGAACGTATCAGAATATGCCCATTGATATTTTGGAACCAATGCTTAGTTTAGTGTTTGATTTATCTTAATAATCCTGGCAACATCAAAAAGTGTCAATCAAGTAAACATCATGAGGTAAGAAGAGTTACACTCAAACTCAGCAAGATGATGAACTTGCTGAAGAGGCATTTATATATTGAGCACTGCTGACTCAGATGTGCCTAGTTGGGCTCATGTGGCAGTTTTTCTTTAATCTTAAACCAGAGCAATTGTTCTCTATAACTTGTTTGTTTCTTTCTACATGTTCTTAATAATGAATAATTGTTCAGGATAATCATTTTATATGAGAACTCAGATGTCAGATTCAGATCCAAAAACTCACCAATCATGATCTAATAGCTTTGATTAATCAACATTTGCAGCATAGTAGACTAATTTAAACTAATAATATTATGGTAGGAAGTGTCCAAAGGTGGAATCTGCATTTGCAAATAAATAAAAGAGAATTAAGGACATCGAGAATTGACAGTTTATTATTTCAAATATTTCAAGCAATGAGGAGGAACTTGTCCAAAGGTGTCAGCCAGGAACTGACACTCATAAATAAGAGATATCCAACGCAAGCTAGCTGCACAGGAGGAGCTGGTAAACTAGATGTTGACCAGCCAATTTCATAACAATTCTCAAACTAACACATCCTGAGTGATGGCTTCCTTTCTTCTTCTTTTCCATCCGCAAACATTCTGGGTTTGGATTTTGCTACAGGGTATATATGCCAACGATCATTGGCTGCTGCAGAAACCCAGAAATCCCATGAACTCATGGTTGTGTATCATAGTTATGCTCTTCTCAATGCCAATAACCCCTGCAGAAACAGATTAGTAACCTTGATGAGGAAAAGTGAAGAATTCACATGCCTTTGTGGAAACCCAATTGTGAAAACAAGTTGCCTTCATGGATTTTGAGTTTGATTATTACCCATTGTGAGAGCACTAGCAAAGATGACACCAGACAGAATGAATACAATGATTGAACCCCTTCCAAGGAATGCAACGATCTTTCTCACAAAGTATTGGCCCCAGAAGCCAGCCAAGATAGATACTCCCATGAGGTACAAGGCTGCATGTTAGCAAGTAGTCTTTGAGTTTGTTCAATGGCTTGGGAGATAGAGAGACACAGACTATATCCTTACAAACAAGGAAGGATTAATTGGTAGAGGAATTTACCATAAGGCATGGGGAACCTGTTGAGAAGGTAGAACTCCACCACAGACAAGGATGATGAGAACATCATCACAAATGTTGCTGTTGCACTAGCAACCTATTGAAAGGAAACAACAAATCGTATCAGGTTATATTGGTTAAAATGCGTGCAAAGAGATTATTGGAATGATTATGATACCTGAGGGATGACACCAATCTCCAGCAACAAGGGGCCTAGGATGAATCCACCACCAGATCCCAACAATCCACCAACAGTGCCGCCAAGAATTCCACAAAGTGCACAGAATGCAATATTCAATGGGGTCCATGCAATTGAAGCCTCACAGATACATTCTGTGTTCCCCACGCTCAACCTCTTCTTGTATTCTTTGTATAATTTCACTGCTTCATAACCAAACACTCCAAGAGCCACGGGGAACTGTATCAAGATAAACTCAAATGTGATCACTTTTTAGCCTTCACAATAACACTAGTCCCAAAACCAAGATATAGGAAATGAAAATGGTAAAAGAAACCCACAAACCTGCAGGCAAAAGATCACCCAGTATGTAGTGCCACAAACTGTGACATCATTCTGCAAACAATATAAAGAAGACCAGATGTTAAAGTTGCTAACGGTTGGGACTAAAAGAGAGTCGGAGGGATAAAGATACTACCTTGACGACTTGGAGCATAAGGAAACAGAACCAGACTACAAACAGAACCAGCAGCCTCTTCCAATTCAGGTTCAAGCAGAATACAGCCTGCAATAGTTAAGAAAAGAATTCAACTTTAATATCGACATATATAACAGTGGAAAAAAGTTGAATCTAACAGGACACAGTCAGGGGGAGAAAATGCTTACCCATTTCGATTTCTCTTCTTTGGGAATCAAAGGCTCGAAAGTGGTATCAATCAGAACTGCAAAGCAGAAAGTAAGATAATAATTATTAAGGCATGCAAAGAGTCTCACAGTCACAGAGCAAAGATTAGCTGAAAAATGAATGTAGGACCAGAGAAGACTTACGTTCGCCACGAGAATTGACTAGTGACTCCTTTCTATCAGCTATTTCTGACTGCAGTAATTTGACATAAGTAAGTTCCAAAGTCTAGTGTACACATCGTATTCAGTTCAACAGTAAAAGTTCTTCTACCTTCAAGTATGTTTCCTCCTTCCACATTTCAATTCCCCTGTAGAAAGATCTTGAAGAAGTTCCTGTACAACAAAAAAAAGTTCAATACAGGAATTCCTAAAGAACTTGTCAACTAGAGATTTTCAACAGTAGATTACCCATAAAGAGTATGATGATGAGAACAGTGATTAGCCAGTAAGGGAAGACAACACTCAGGGCAACTCCAACAGTGATGCCAAGCATTAGCATGGGCTGGAACAAAAGAGCCAAGTCATAGTCCAAGATGGGCACTTCTTTAGTTGGATGAGGAACTTGTAGATTATACCACACAGATGATGCTGATGCCCCCATAATCATGCCTGAAAACCATTACATCCCATCATCAATCAGCAACCAAATTACCAATCTCCTAAACAGAAACAAGAAAAATCACAAAACAGAACCCACAAAAAAGAGCAAAAGAGGGATTCGGTTGGGGAAAAGTGCTCCTCCCCCTTTTCTTTCACCTTTTGGCCTTTTGATGGAAACAAACAAAGGGAGGGAAAAGTGCTTCCCTTTACAGACTCAAAGCCTTGGCCATTTTTAAACAGAATCGTTCAAGAGTTTCAATAACTTTTGGGATCTAAAGGAGGGAAAAAGCCTTTTACATTTGGAAATAGCAGCAGCGGATTTTGTATCGAATCCAACGATTAGAGTAAGCATGGGAACGAAAATCCCCCCTCCTCCAACTCCACCAACCGTCCCACATGCCGATCCCAGAAATCCTATCACTGTCGCCAGCACCGACCTCCAGCTGAACTCCAACCTCTGCAGCCCACCAAAAACACAAAGTTAAAACATCAGGCGTGACATCAAAAATAAAAAAAACACAGGGCAAGCAACTCTGAAGAAATTGTCGAACGTACCGGCCAGACTCTATCAGTGCTGCTATGTAGAGCTACAGAGTTCAAAAGACTGGAACTTTCCGGGGTTTTGAAAACAGGGTCGGCGAGGAAAAACGCAGAGACGACGGCAAGTGAGAACCCCGTCAAGAGGTAAGCCACCATACCTCTGCTGCTACCCGCCATTGGCAAGGCTTGAAAGAGCTGTAAATTCTCAAGCGGCGGAAAAGGAGAAGAAAAGGGATGATTGTCGTCCTTTTTTATCTTTTTGTGGGTTTTTGGACGCCCACGGGAGAGAAAAAACTATACTACTGACTTGTGGCAATGGTGTGAGCGAACATATATATGGCGCAAAATTAGCGAGGGCCATTATCTCCCCAATCAGGAGGACAGAAAAAGAAAATCGGGGGAAGGGAGATGATTTGATTGAGTCTGAATATGGTTAATGTTGGACACGTGGAGACCATTTATTGGCCAAGAACATCCTCCTCGAATTCACCGGTCAATTGTTAATTTACCCATCCTCCCTTTCTTTAGATTTAGGGAAAGATTAGGTAACACATTTTTGCCTAAGTAGGTGAATCTCCTTTGATGGAGGTTTATGGTAAGTTTTTCACAAACTTTCCTCGTCAAGATGGGAACTTCATTGAAAAATTAAGCAAGGTGAGAATTGTTTTGATACTTTTTTTGTGGTTATTTCTAGTATACATAGTGCTATGGGATCTTATTATGTTATTGTGGGTAATAAAGAAAATGAGTAATATCGAAATTTTTCGCGGACTAATGCTTTGTTTCAATGAGGAGTCTCAAGAGCTTGTTGGGTTGAATAGAGCTTTTCTACTCTTGAAGCCTTCGCTACGATGCCATTTGAGTGAGAAACTTCGTTTTAGTCTCCATAGTTGAGTTATTGGGGAATTCTATAGCAAAAGAATACAAACTAGGTACATGAGAAACATGTTCCAACCCTGTGGCGCATGTCATGAGATATCGGACCACGGTAACTTCAAATTCACCAAACGAAAAGCCGATTCAATTCCGACTTACATGATGTAACCAACAATTCAAAGTAACCCCATGGTTGATTTGGCATAGTTTGAGCACAAACCATCACCACCTAATCTGTAAGAGTTCGTCCATCATCACTTACTCGTAGCGTAGCGATTACATATATACAACTCATAATCGATTGACCATGAGTTGTTGACCTGATTTGTATGAAGTCGGAGTCCGTTATTACTATCACTTGACTCATAACCGGACTAATTCGTAATTCCTCGACTCACCACCCTCATATATATCTATTAGTGCGATCCATATATAGTGCTGGAACCTAGCTAGCTAGTTGCTATAAATATCGTGGGGATTATGACTAATGACGCGACCATCCAATCCAATTGGTAAGCTCTTCTATTATGGCACGGCTCGCCGTCAGCCGACCAACCATGACCAGAGGCTCCTAATGTATGTACTGATCACCAGACCTGTTTTGTTTACTACCTTAATTAGCTTGGTTGAGGAGACGTGGTCAATTTGGGTTTTTCTTTTCCTGTCGCAACTTTCTCCGTTACAGTTCCATAAGTGACAAACATTTGTTCAAAGAACAGCTTAAAGAACCATTTGATTCTCAGGTATGGTGATAAACGTGGTAATTACTGATTAGCTATGGCGGCCCAGTTAAATACATGGTTGGTGTGTCCCTCCTCCCTCGAATTGAGTCATTTAGTTTTAATGTTTAGAAAAGAGTTTTATATCTTATTCCTTTTATTATAGGGGCGTATCTAGAATTTTACATTTGTCTTTTTCTAAAACTAAATTAATTATTAAATAAGAAAATATCCAATATGTACAAATTGCAATAAAAGTAGACGACGTGTTTCATATTCTAGAAAAATTGTAAAACATATCCGGTGTCTAACGTTGCTCTACAAATCTTTCTCGATATATCCTCCTAGATAAGGGTAGCCTGTAATTGGATTTAATGGTTAGTTTTTGAAAATAATTGGAAATAAGAAATAAATTTTTACTATTATATTTGGATTTAAAATACAAGAACAAATAAGTTGTAGTCTAATAAAGATATGTTTACAAATAGTAGCAGTGATCCAAGTTCAAATCATGTAGGCTACAACTTAAATATTTTTATTTATCCAATTGCAAAGTACTACACGGGGTGGATAATCGTTTTTCCAAATTTAAGGGGTATCCCGTTACCACTTAAATACTTTTTGCACCCAATACACAATCTACTATCAAAGGTTGAATAATCGTTTTCCCAAATTTTAGGGGTGTCCTGGGACATCCCTAAAACTCCATGTATCCGGCCCTGATTACAATGCCTCCCCAAATGAAGGCCTATTTTCGAGCTTTTAGTTTGCACATGTTGAACATCATCCTTGGGGCTAAATCATTGTGTATATTAGGGGCCGTCTTAAGGAATTTGATACTGTGACCTCTCAATTTAAGGGTCTGGTATAATGTCAACGAACAAACAATTTTGTTTCAATAACTTGTGTTGTTGGAGAAGTGTTTGGGTGAGTTTTATGTCATTTCATTTCTTTTTATCTTATATAATATCTATATACATTACGTAATGGTCATACAACATCATATTACATAAAATAAGAATTGACAGTTACAAAAGTCTTTAATATCGTAACATCTTTGTTAAACGGTATTAGGTAAGGTACGTACAAAACAATTACGAATGCTGGTATATAAAGGCAAAGACCTATCTAGCTAGTCACCGATCGATCTCTTTCCCCTTCAAATTTCTCTTCTATGAGCATTGATGTAAACTGTAAAGTCCAAACCGCTTCACTATTTGTTGTTGTACATGTGACGGTAGCTAGTCACCGATGGATCTTTTTCATTTTGTACATTACGAACGATCCATTCAAATATATACACTTTTGTGAGACTTCAATTCCATTTAAAATAGGCGATCCCCTTACCACCGTTTCGCAGCTGGGCTTTCTTATCATGTGTTGGACCAAATATGTGAATTTAATCAAATTTATGGTGCGCCCTGAGACCATAGGTAGCCCCGATACACTAATTCGGTAGCCCAAAATGCGATGATGGCAGTATGCGAACCACAAATATAAAGCGTTTTTATGTAAGATCGAGTCGAATGATCACGACAAGTCGGATAAGATCGAGTGATCGATGCAAGCATATTAACACGATAACAGTCACTTTCATTGTATTGTATCTCACCAGCACATGCAAGAATGGATATATCTACCCTGTTCTGGTCCAGACCCCCTGCGCATAATAATGCCTCCCTCATCAACGGCGTCCAAAGACGGCCGACGAGTTCTGCAGGCATCAACCAACCCTAAATCGGCCCGTACGACGCCGGCATGGAACAAGAAAGAGAGGATAACGCACGCTGCGTGCCAACCATATTGGGCCGAATTATTGAGGTTCCCCATAATATTCGACGACACTATTATTTATGTCATGAAAATATATGGGCGGTTCTCGTCTCGTCTCGTCTCGTCTGCATGTAGGGTTCACGTCAGAGCTACGTCGCGTTCGGTCCACGTCTCCAACGTAGAAAATGACCGTACAAACAAACAAACAAACAAACTCCTTGAAACATAGCCAATCGTAAACACGGGCCAAAACTGCAGATGTGTTTGTATGTAGAATACAAAGCCCGCCCACTCAAGGCCATTGACAGACAAAGCAAAACCCAATCAAATCAACATAAGGCCCCATCTGAAGAGGTTTATTTAACAGGGAATATCACAGACAAAAGGAGGCAGGGGATTAGGCCGGCCCATTAGTCAGATGCTTCATGGGCTCGCTCTTCACTTCTCCTCGCGTTTGACCTCCACGCGGACAACGCCCTCGTCACCTATCCGCCCAACGTCGTTGAAAGTTTGACCGGCCATTTGATCCGCCGCTTTCAGAGCCGCCGCCACCGCTCCCGGCCGAGTTTCCTCCATCTTCACGTCAATCTCCTCCACCGCCACGGTCCCCGGCCGACTCAGCTTGCTCATGATCGAGTCCGACATGTTTCCGAGCCCCACCGCGCCGTAAATAGTATCCCTCGCCGCCCTCCCCCTAAATATTTGAAAATCAAGTTACTCTTCTAAAACTTAGAATTAGGAAAATCTTGACCAATGACCACTCATCTTTCCCGCCAAAACAGATAGATTACCTCTCAGCTTCCTCCTTCCTGTGTTCATAATCGGCCTTCTCAGCTTCATCCTGAAGCTTCAGCTCCTCCACTTTCCGCCTCGTCTCCTCCTCGGTCTCCCTCATTTTCTCCTAAATCAATTTAACATCACACAATTAGACCTACTGTAGCACCAAAAGAAAAGAGGTTATGGAGCTCAATTAAACTAATTACCTTGGTCATTTCTGCGGTTTCTTCCGCCTTCCCCTTAACTTCCTCTTTCTTGCCGGACAAGAAATCCATGGCCGCCCTCGCCACATCCCCTAGCTTGCTTCCGGCTGTCTCCGTCCCTTCTTTGGTCTTCTCCACCGTGTAGTCCTTCGTCTCAACCGCCTTATCCGCCGCCTCCTTAGCCTTCTCGGCAGTGTAGTCCTTCGCCTCCCTCGCCTTCTCCACCGTGGAATCCTTTGCCTGCCCGGCTTTTTCCGCCGCATAATTCTTGTACTCCTCTGCCTTCCCCTTTGCTGCCTCCTTCGTCTCCCACGCCTTATCGGCTGTGTAGTCCTTCGCCTCCTCTGCCTTCCCTTTCGCCGCTTCTTTCGTTTCCCACGCCTTTCCGGCTGTGTAATCCTTCGCCTCCTTCGCCTTCTCGGCGGTGTAATTCTTGTACTCCTCTGCCTTCTCCTTCGCCGCTTCTTTCGTTTCCCACGCCTTGTTCGCCGTAGAATCCTTGACCTCCCTGGCCTTATCCGCCGCGTAATTCGTGTACTCCTCTGCTTTCCCCTTCGCTGCGTCTTTAGTCTCCCCTGCCTTATTGGCAGCATAATCAGCATACTCCCCTGCCTTCTCCTTGGCAGCTTCCTTCTTCTCTCTAGCCGCATCTATCACTTCTCCGGCCTTGGCCTTAGCAGACTCCTTGGTTTCACCCAATTTCCTCCCCGCCGCATCCGCTGTCTCCTTGGCCTTCTCCGCCGTGGCATCCTTCGTCTCCTTCGCCTTCTCCCCTGCCATTTCGGCAGCAGAGTACGTCTTCTCTGCCGCCTCGTGGCCCTTACCGACCACCGCATCTTTAGCGTGGCCGACTGTATCCGCAACCGCACGAAACATCGATCCGATCACCCCTGGACGTTCACCACCCGCCGCCGGACGATCGTCTCTGTCCAATTCTACCATCGGTGCAGCATAATCGGTATCCATCGTCTCCGCCGTCCGCTCAGCCACCTTGTCCACAGTCCCTGCCGCCTTCCCCTTTGTATCCTTGGCCTTCTCCGCTACTTCCCCAGCCTTCCCCTTCGCCGTCTCCTTAGCTGCCTCCAACTTCTGCCCCGCGGCGTCCTTCGTCTCCCTCGCCATTTCCCCTGCCGTCTCCGCGGCTGAATTCGTCTTCTCAGCTGCTTCCTGGCCCTTGCCGATCACGGCGTCCTTGGTGTGCCCGACGGTGTCCGCCACCGCACGAAACATCGATCCGAATAGCCCCGGCCGGTCCTGTGCCCCGGATCCGGTGAACTCGTCCCTGTCCATTGACGACGGAGCCTTGTTCGATTCCGCTGACTCCTTGTACTCTCTCTGCCGGTTGACGTCCCTGAGATCGTTGGCCGCCTGCCACGCGGCAGCCTCCGCTCTCTCCATCTTCTGCTGGTCCGACGCCATTATCTCTTTTCGCCGGGAAAATTATTACCGAACGATGAACAAATTAAGAGTCTTGTTTTTGTTGCTTGAGGATGTAAACGACGGTTCGTTTTGTTTTGGTGATGAAAGCTGCTTGAGTGGCTTCTGTGATTTATAAAGCTAGAGGAATTGAAGAACTACATTTGACACGCGTCGCCCGGGAGAGCAGAGGCGGACACGTGTTGCTCTGGCAATTGCCGGCACCGACGGGCGACGATAGAGGTAAGAGCTGACTGGATTTGTGGCGGTGAGTTTGGGATGATGGATGCGTAACTGTGCCACACGTGTCCTCCAACGTGGAGTTCAATTCTTAGCAGGGCGGTCATCTTTCCCCCTGAAAGGCAGAAATCTGGGTAATTATTAGTCGAATAATAAGTTCTGGGCTTATTTTATTGGTATGGGCTTGCTTTGGCTTTAGATTGTATGGGCTTTCTGTATTTGGATAGATCAAATTAAATCAGTGTATAAGATAAATTAAATGAATATCATAAATTACACATATTGTAATTTGCCAATTCCAATAAATTAAATGAATATCATAAATGAATATCATAAATGCCACTATAACAATAGAACAATAACATGTATTTAGTGAACGACAATGACGTAACATACAAATATCAGATCCTATTGCTTCATTGACACCATTAGTCTTGAGTTTCGAGACTATAACACATGACTACTAAGTTGTATTGATATTGGTGCTATACAACTTTGATAGCATATGAATATCGTAAAACTACAAATCCGTTTGGCCAAAAATAATCATGTAAGCTCGGAGTTTCATGGTTCAATGTCTATTTCACAATGGTTAATAGAACAATGCTTTGAACAATACCTGCATAACTCATGATACGAAGAAGAAACAAAACTCAGTAAATTCTAAGCCAACTTGGTCAGCAACACAAGAATCCCCCCACTCCAAAATCATAACATTTATCATCATCTAGTGATGGCCAATTCATCACCTTGAATCCTCACATTCAGCCTCAACCAAATCAAATGCAAAATCACGTGGAAAACATTACAACATGAAATGTTAGTAATAGCGTTATCGATGCAATGGTAGCATTAACAATTTCATACGTCGGTGGCAAACTCAATGATACTTCGACGATAAAGAGATTGGCCCCAAAGATAAAGAGCGTTAATGGATCAATAGGAAGGGCGACAATAGGCCTAGTCTACCATTCCAATCTTCCAAAATCTTAGAATACCGCAGCCATGAGTCACACACACGTCTACATTTAGTCATTTACATTGCTACAGACTATGGCGTTGACATTTCTATTTGAAGTTTGAACAACAAAAGAACACAAGCATTTTGTCACCAGTAATCTCTGCAGGAGCACTGCCCGTCCGAGAAGAAATGGAACCCAGAACCATCCCTCAACGAGATCTCCCTCCCGGCCACCGCCGACACGTGTTTCAAGAAGCTGTGGCAGTCGCCACAGACGACCACGTTCTTCACGACCCGGATAACCTCCCCTGGACTCGTCATCAGGAGGCCGTACGTCGCCGCCAGCTTCGCGCTGTGGTAGAACAAGAACTCCTTCTTCTGGTGCTCCTCCACTTCCTGGAGGACGAAGCTGGTGTCCGGTTCGTACCCGGCCCTCATGCATTCGAGTATCAGCACTTCCAGGCCTCTGTAAATGTCCATGGATTGCGGGTGGGACACGTCTCGTGCGTGGAACGAGTGGATCTCGTTCTCGTGGATGATCCAGCTCCGACATGGTTGCTTCCTCATCATCCCCTTCTCTCTCATTTCCTGCCTCGTGGCTTCCGCACAATGCCATCTTCCTGGTGATATTAGGAATGTAGATTTTGGATGAGTAGAGAGGATATATGAAGGTTAACAAGATGATTATAACCACTGATCTATCTTCACAAGTACCTGATGCAGAGTATAGATTCGATATGAGCACGAACGTAGATGGATCTCGAGGCTCCATTGCTAGGATTCGTTTGGCAACCCTTCTTCCGACGGTTGTGTTCACGTGCAGCCTGCAGCTGTCGAGTAGAGCTCTCCATATCGAAACATCAGGCTCGAATGGCAGCTCCAGAATCATTTCCTCTGCCTCTTCGACGAAACCCCAGGATCCCAACACCCCAACAAAGGAAGCATAATGCTCTGATGCTGGCTCAATTCCGTAAGTTGGCTTCATCGACAGAAACATTGTACGACAGTGATCGACCAAGTCTGAGGATGTCTGTTTGTAGGCTGAAATGAGTAGCACGAACGTGATGGAATCCGGTCTCACCCCAGCTTTCTCCATACTTGACCAGAGAGCCAGAGCTTTGTCCCCTTCTCTGTGAAGAACATGGCCTGCAATCAAACTATTCCAAGAAACTACATCACGAGCAGACATTGCATCGAATGATTTGATCGCTTCATCCATTTCGCCGCACTTGGAGTACATGCTCACCAAAGAGTTCCCCACGCCTACATCAGCTTCAAAGCCTGCTTTAACGACAAAAGAATGAATTTGTTTCCCAAGTTCCCGAAAGCCTAGAGCTCCACAGACTCCCAGTGCTGTGGTCAATGCCGCTTCGTCCATAGCTAGCTTGCCTTCTGATAGACTTCGATGGAAGTGAGAAATCGCCTCGTCTGGCTGTCCATTTCGAGCATACCCACTCATCATCGAGGTTAGAACAATGGGATTGTTCTGGGTGCTGTACAATATCTCTGCATCTCTCATTCTTCCACACCTAGTGTACATATCGAGCAAAGACGCTTCGATGTGAGCATTCGAACCATAACCAAACTTTGTGACGAAACCATGGATTTGCCTGCTGGTTTCCAGATCAGCCAGCAGCCCACATGCAGTGATAACGCTGGTTAGACTGAAATCAGAGAGCTCTACACCATTACGCACCATCATTGTGAAGAAGTTCAGTGCATTCAGCCCTTGGGAGTTGTGGGAAAACCCTGATAAAATGGCGTTGTAAGAGATGGCGTTTCTCTCAGGCATTTTCTCGAAAGTCTTCACGGCTGAATCCACGAGACCAAATTCCATGTATGCGCTGATCAACTGCGTCCAAGTGATAACATCTCTGATTTGCATCGTGTCAAATACAGTCAAAGCATTTTCTATAGTTCCACACTTGCTGTAAAATCCAATCATGGCGTTGCAAAGACTTAGACTTGCTGCTAACCCGAGTCTTGTGGCGTGGCCGTGAATCTCCTTACCTTGTTTGACAGCATGGCAGCCGGTGCAGGCAGTCAGTAGAGTCAAAAGGGTGAGTTCGTCAACTCTAAACTCGTTTATCTTGACCAAATCACGACCAAATTTCAATGCTTTTTCGTACAATGACCCATCTACCAAACTCGAGATCACTGTATTCCACGACGTGATATCTCTCTCAGGCATTTCTTCGAACAGTTGGATTGCAGAATCCAAACACCCGCCGGACTTTCCATACAATGCCATCAACGCATTTGCAACGAAGACATAGTCCGTGAACCCCATCTTGATTCCCAGAGCATGAACTTGGCAACCCAATTCAAATCTCGAAGCCCTCACACAGGCCGTTAGTATAGCAACGAAACTGTATTCATTGGGCTCAACCCCTGAACTTCTCATCCTAAAGAAGAGCTCAGCAGCTTCAAATTCTCGATTCGATTTCGCGAAGCCGGAAATCAGACTGCTGTAAGACACTACGTTGGGCTCGGAAAGGTTCTTGAATACCTGATACGCGTCAAGAACAAGGCCCAGCTTGAGGTAAGCTCCGATTAGAACGTTTCCCAGATGAGTGTCTTCTTCAATCTTGAGAATTGAAGCGTGCACCGCTCTTACAAGTTCGACATCGGAGTATTTGGTGGAGAACCGAAGCAAGTAGAGCAAATTGTCCACGTCGACGAAGGAATCGGCATCATCATCACCACGCTCTGTACTGCTGCTGTTCGAGGACCGAAAAGGGGGGAAATTCGGCTCGATACCTTGATTATGTTTACGCACTGAAGAAGCTTCCTCGGGTAATCTGGCCTGAACAGAGGATGTGGAACGGCAACGGACATGGAGCGCGCCGGAAGGGTTAGAAATGAACAGCGGCGGAACGTGTCCTCCTCTCGCTGACTTAGAAGGGAAGTGGAAGGGGGATTGGGTTGGAAAGCGCGGCAAGATAATAGCGGCGGCGGAGGACTGAATCATGGCATCTCCTCTCTCCAGCAATGTGCAATTCGCCGAACTTGCGAATCCTTCCCTGCGAAGTGGAGGCGGCAAAATTTTGAGGTCTCTTCATTTTAACTGTCGCCGCCGCCCCGCCGAAAACTTATCCTCTGGAAGAAGGGTCAATTACAGAATGATACCTAAACGTTATGGTCACTGAACATTTTCTGTAACAAAATTACCACTGAAGTTTGTAATAGCAAACAAAATATTTACTTTGTCATCCATTCCTCAAGTTTTGCCTTCAAAATTCAATAATCGATTGGTAATAAAAATAAAGTAGTGACTTATATTGTAATTAACCCTCCTATGTAAACAATCAGTAAATAGGACTGCCGTCTGTCGAATTCCATTGTCAGCAAAATTTCTCTGTTGCGGTTTGGGAAAAAGACGCCTACGCAGCAAATCATCGACGACAGTGTCGTATCTCCGAGCTCCGTCATCTGCTTGGTCGCCTGTTTCTCTCTCTCAGCACCATGGACGAGGCTCGCAAGCATCAGGTTTCCCTTCCCCTCTTTCTTCCCGTTTTTCTCTCTCGCGATCTATCCGAAATTGCCACCGATTAGCTCCCTTGTGAGTTTATATTTGAAGATTGGTTCGAAAAGTTGGAAACTTTGGGGCATTTCGAGTAGTGGGATGTCATTGGAATAGGCGAAGTAATTTCCGGGGTTCGTAAACTTTCAGGTCTCCTTGAGGGGAGCAAGTGCGAGAGAGATATCTCGGGATGCCCTGCTCGAGAAGGTCTCCCAGGAAAGAGAGCTCCGCAATTACGCGAGGCGTGCTTCTGCTGCTGCTATCTTCATACAGGTTGATCTTTTGGGGATGTTGTCTTTAACTGTTGAAATTTATAATTTAACTTCTGTTATTGGTCAGCACATTATGCGATGGGGATTGAAGAGTTTCTTTTTATTTGCTCCAGAGAGTCTGGAGGCGGTATAATGTGTCGAAGAAGACTGCATTGCAACTACAAGGGGAATGGGAAGAAGCTGTGGCGAATAATCATGATGGTTCAGTGTCTGCTGGTTGGATTTCTGGCAGTGTTTTAAGACCATTTCTTTTCTTTGTCGAGCTTTTATCCACTCGTCATCAAAAGATTAAGTCTGTTGATAGGAGTTGCATTCAAACTTGCTTTAAGATCTTGCTGGAAAGCGTGAATTCTACTGGTATGGTGTTGTTCCGGATATTTGCTTGTTTAAGCTGTTTCAAATCTATGAGTTCCGAATTCTTTGTGATAGAATAAATATGCTTGTGTTTTTCTAAGCAGCTGACAAGTGGATCTTGTTTGAAGGGTAGATTCTAAAAAGAATTTTTGCTCCTTGGCATTCGGTACACTCGAAGAACGAAGAACATGGACTTACCAATCAAGAAAGTTGATCTCAATATGCTCATTTGTCCTTTCGAAATGTGATAAAGATCATGCAGAGGGACGAGATGTAATTGTTCTAGCCTCTCTGGGGATGCGTCTTCTTGTTGTCTTAACTGATCTGAATGCATGGAGAAGTATTGCGATTGGTCGTCCTGAGGATGCTGATAGTGCAGTGAAGGATTTGGTTAGGTTCATCGGTGGTCTGGAAAGTGGCTTTTATCGATCCCTAAGGAGATACGTGGAGAGATTAGAGATTTCCTCTCCTTCCCGAAAGAAAAGGATGTCTTCTCAGACAGATGATCTGTTTCTGGTCACTGCTAGTTCAGTAACTTTAGCTCTACGTCCTTTCCATGCTCTCCATTCAGATTCTCATGGCTCTGTCTTGGTGGAAATGCAATCTGCTGTTATGCATTATTGTTTGTCTCTCCTTACTGTTCCCTGGCTTGCTGAACGTTTACCGGCTGTGCTTCTGCCAGCTGTGAAGCACAAGACTGTACTCTCACCATGCCTCAAGACAATGCTGGTAAGAATCATTGAACTTGCATAGAAGCTGATTTCAAACTTTGTAGTCACACAATTTCTTGTAATGTCTCTCTGATTGATGATTCATTGAAGTTACCAGCTGGTTTCTAATAGATCCACTTAGCTCTAGGAATGCGCAAGGCCACAAACTCTCAAACTGCATACAGCAATATCAATGCAGTACAATCATGCCTGAAAGTATTTCCAATTTATACTTAGATAAGCCTAAGATTGAATTTCGCAAACTACTTTTAATTCAACATGTGCAAAAACTGATCAAACTATGGCAGATTATGACAGATTTTGAGAGATGATATTCTCTCTGAGATGGCAAGGCTGGATTACTTGAAGGTACCACATTCTGCCCAGGTCATTCCACCTGTGGCCTGGCTTCTTGCTAACATAGTTTGTCTAGCTGCTAGCACCGAGAATGACTTCACAGGTCCAGGAGGGCTATTTCAGGACGCAGACTATGCATCCTATGTACGTATAGTTGCCATTCTTTCTGAGAACCTGCTGCAATGGTTTAGCGATGGTGGTTGGACCGAGCATCAAGATTCTCAAGTCAATGCTGAAACTTCAGTCAAGCATGTAAAAGTTTTTCATGAGAATGAGGCCGTGCATACCCTTATTATGTCATATGTGGAGCTACTCAGGCCTATTTTCCAGCAGTGGCACCTAAAAAAGCTTCTTTCTATTACAAAAGAGGGTTCCGCATCTCCAAGTCCAAATTTCTCAAGGACGTTGGAGCTAATTGATATCGCGTATTTATATTCCTACATGCTCAGAATCTTCTCGTTCATGAATCCCACGGGAGCTTTGCCAGTTCTCAATATGCTGTCATTTACTCCTGGATATCTTGTCAGTCTATGGGAAGTACTGGAAAGCTCACTCTTTCAAGGTCAGATGTCTAAGCAGGATGATGCGTATAGTAGCAAAACTTCAATGCACTCAAAAGATCAGGTCCTTGAGAAAAAACAGAAACCTGCAAGTAAGGATGCAGGAAGTAAGTGGGGAAACGTACTGAATAGAATGACAAGTAAGTCTGGCGTTGTGTCTTCAGGCAATGGACAACCTAGTGTGCAAGTCACTGAGGAAGTAGATGATATTTGGAACGTAGAAACTCTGAAATATGGCCCAGAAAAAGTTTCCAGAGATCTGTCATGTCTACTTCATTTGTTCTGTGCTACCTATTCCCACTTGCTATTAGTTCTTGACGATATTGATTTCTATGAGAAACAGGTAACAAGCTTATTCTCCCTTTTACCTGAAAATTGAGTATTCTAGATTGTTACTTACATATTTCTTTTGTATCATAGGTTCCGTTCTTGCTGGAGCAACAACGAAGAATTACATCAGCATTGAACACATTTGTTTACAACTCTTTGGCCAATAATAACTTCCGGCAAAATAAACCCTTAATTGATTCTGCAGTGAGATGTCTGCATTTATTGTATGAACGTGACTGCAGACACCAGTTTTGCCCTCCTGCTTTGTGGCTTTCGCCAGCCAAAAAAACCCGGCCTCCTATCGCTGTTGCTGCTCGAACACATGAGATTATGCTGACAAATGTAAAGTCGGATGATACAGTGACAAGTCCGGTTCTTAATTCAGTGGTAACTGTTACTCCACACATATATCCATTTGAAGAAAGGTAGGCTTTGGCTCTTTCATGATAATTCCAAGCACGGGCTTGTTTTTTTTAATGAATTTCCATGTATGGTCTTGTTGACTTTGCTTCTGTACTCCTTACTGCTACTCATCTTCTTGATATAGACACTGGGATTCTCGACTTGATGCAATTTGGCAAAGAATCATAATTTTTTAAGGTCTCTAGATATCCTGATGGATTGTTCACTTTGATTTCTTGGTTTTCTATTCACTGTAATGCATCTCCATCTTCCCTTATCTCCCTTTAAAGAACTGTATATTCAATTCGGTCAGTTCCTCACTAAATTGCATACTTCGGAAATTAGGTTACTTTATCTAGGTAAGTTGGTACTTTAGTTTCTGTCTTTCCATTCTGAAGATGTTCTTGACATCTAATTGGCAGAGTCCAGATGTTCAGGGAATTCGTCAACATGGATAAAGTATCCCGGAGAATGGCTGGGGATGTCTCTGAACCTGGTTCACGAGCAGTTGAGATTGTAGTTCGTCGAGATCGTATTGTCGAAGATGGATTTCGTCAACTCAATTCTCTCGGACCTAAGTTGAAATCGTCCATTCATGTTTCATTTGTTAGTGAATGCGGGCTTCCAGAGGCAGGATTGGACTATGGTGGATTGTCCAAGGAATTTCTGACTGATATCTCAAAAGCAGCATTTTCTCCAGAGTGAGTCAATAAGTTTCTCATGGTACTCTGTAGTATTTTTTATTTATTTACTGAATGTATCTTAACACTGGTTCGTGGTCTTTGTCGTCATATTATTTCCTGCAGGTATGGTTTGTTTTCCCAAACCTCAACCTCAGACAGATTTCTAGTTCCAAACCCAGCTGCTAGATACTTGGAAAATGGCATCCAGATGATCGAATTCCTTGGAAGAGTTGTTGGGAAAGCTCTGTATGAAGGAATATTACTAGATTACTCATTTGCACACGTTTTTGTGCAAAAGCTGTTAGGAAGATATAGCTTTCTGGATGAATTATCAACACTTGACCAAGAGCTGTACCGCAATCTAATGTACCTGAAGGTAATTTTTCTTCACTTGTCAACTGCAATTAGCATTGTTTTATTCTGTTTGTGATTTAAATTGGTAGTTGCCTGATTAGATGAGAAAAAGAATCCACAAATCTTGACACCATTAGATTTTACTGCAGCATTATGATGGTGATGTTAAGGAACTCTTGCTGGACTTCACAGTTACAGAAGAATCATTTGGTAAAAGACATGTTGTCGAGCTTAAACCTGGTGGCAAAGACATTTCAGTGACCAATGAGAACAAGATGCAATATGTTCATGCAATGGCAGATTATAAGCTTAACAGACAGGTCCTTAAAACAAGTTCCTTCGCTTTCTGAACTTAGATAACACTTTATGATCTCGCAAATTGTCTGTCCTTTTGTGATTGTTCTTATTCGTTGATTTTGCAGATCTTCCCCTTTTCACATGCCTTCTATAGGGGTTTAACTGATCTCGTATCACCATCTTGGTTGAAGCTATTTAATGCAAGTGAATTCAATCAGGTAAGCAGCCTTATGTCAAAACAGCTTGTCAGTGTTCGATTAATCAAGTCCTAACTGAGATATATTTATTCAGTTACTTTCAGGTGGTGACCTCGATATTGATATCGATGATCTAAGAAAGAACACACGATATACAGGTGGCTATGCAGATGGAAGTCGAACAATCAAACTTTTTTGGGAGGTATTACAATATTTTCATGGTTTTTTTTACTACTTCTGAATAGGAGAAATTTTCATCTGTTGATCATGTTGGGCGACTTATTTTGTCTTCGTTCAGGTGGTGAAAGGGTTTCAACCAAGTGAACGTTGTTTGCTGCTTAAATTTGTCACTAGCTGTTCTCGTGCTCCATTGCTTGGGTTCAAACACCTACATCCTTCCTTTACTATTCACAAGGCATGACCCTTCATTCACACTTCATTCAGAAACCATATCTACTTTCTAATTAAAATTCTGAACGAGGGATTTAATATCGTATAGGTCAGTTGTGATTCTTCCATATGGGCAACCATTGGAGGACAGGACGTGGAAAGGCTCCCATCTGCTTCAACTTGCTACAATACTCTAAAGGTTGTCTTGAATGGAATATCTGCTAATATCTGCTACCTGTGGGATTTTTTTTTCTTTTCATGTTTGTGTTTCTTATTTGCTTTGATTTTGATGGTTACAGTTGCCAACGTACAAAAGGGCCAGTACTTTGCGAGCAAAACTTCTTTATGCTATCAGTTCCAACACAGGATTCGAGCTTTCCTAGGAATTTTTCATGCTTCAACTCAATCATATTCAGGTAACCTTTGAAGCTCAATAGCTTGAATGAATTGCCAACTTGTCATAGACAACCATGATATTTTTATTCAAGCAATGCATAAATGTACTAAAAGAAAAGCTAGAAGCTAGCACTGATTACTATTAGCAACAAACCAAAGGCCTTTTCTTATAAGGTACATGCATCTTCAGGGTGGAGATTTTGCAGCTGTGGTAGGACATCTGGAGTGATTCATGATATGAGGGAGAATCCTGCTTCCAGCAGATCTTGTGCGATGACCTCATTAGCAGCTTCAGAGGGATGGAATCCATCCCAAAACACATACGACGTGGCATTAGAACACGTACCTAGAGATCTCGCATTGCATAGCAACGAGGTCTCTAGGGTACCCGTCCCACAGCAAGCCTTTCTCGCCTCAAAGAACCCTGCCAATAGAATCAGCCAATAGAAGGAATCTTGAGGGTCAAGTTTTGTGTGAAACTAACAGGCACTTTTTTAATTATTACAATAGTGTGGAAGATCTTTTTTACCACTGTCGCTGGGCTTGTTGATCATGTCCATGAGGGGCTTGTAAATATCGAAGACGACAAGTTTAAGGTCAGGGTATCGTGCAACAAGACCCTGAGAAGTTGCGTTCAGCTTCTGGTTGAAGGAACTGGCATCACGGTTCAATCTCTCGACGCAATTGTTGCTCCCAAGACCAAAGAGAGTGATGGCTGCAGGCAAACACCCAGTCGGTGGCAGGCTCGTCACTCCAATCCTTCTGGCTCCAAGTCTATACAGGTTCTGTCTCAGTTTTACCAAAATTTCTCATTAGTACAAGCTGTAAGAGCAAAAGGATCTAGCTGAACTCGAATTTACTTAATACTACACCTCAATGAAAGTAGAGTAAGATCTCATGAGCCGGTCAGAGAACCGATCGGGTGTGATATAGAGTCCCCTTAGAACTGGGTTGATGTAGTAGTTCTGAACGAAGTCACTAGTTCCTGAACTGAGTAGATGGATCCCCTTAGAGAACGTCTCGTTTGCTTTTTCGCTTCCCACTGTGTTCTCCACTCTTCTCCGGTATTCCCTGTAGTTGTTCAGCTGTCGTGTTAATGGAATGGCCCCCTGTAGAAATCCAACAGGAAAGGAAGTTAGTAGTACCCTATGAGTTATACCCAGAGTTACCTTAGTCTGCATGATGAAAGAGTTTTGAGAAGTTTACATAAGTCACTGCTGTGAGATCAAACAGTCCCGACCCGGCTGAAGCAAAATTGACTCCATTCTGAACATTTCCTCCTCTACCTTCTTGGCTTAGATAGGGTGGTGGGTATGTGTCAAAACCCAAATACTCGGCTGCAGAAACCAAGACCAGAACAATTTTTCATGAGAACTAGATTCAAGAGGCAGAATTAAAGTTGTTGACAGGGGAAAAGAAAAGTGATCATCTTTTTTACCAGTAAAGTCTACAGCCAGCTTCCCATTGCAGAACCTCCCAGTTGGTCTGTGAGTGACAAAATCCCTTCCATAAGGAAGGAAGTTTGCCTTGATTGGAGTAGTGATATTGTTGTTGTTTCCCACATCAGAAACCGAGTCCCCGAAGATGATAAACGTTGGAACTAGAGGATCAGCAAAAGCCATTGAAGAAAGCAAAGCTAGAACCAGAAGTCTAGCTCCCCATTCAACACCCATTTTCTTTCCTGGGTTCTTCTTCTTCTTCTTTCCCTGAACCAAAGAAAATATTTTCTTTGTTGTTTGTTGTTCCTAGTAAGTAAGCTGTTTTCCAGTGCGCGTGTGTTTTCTCTCTGAGAGATTATGGCCGAGAGAAAGGGAAGGGGGATTTAAGGAGGGATAAGCGGGGAGCAAAAGCAACATTCGCAAGGGAAGCCGTTAACCCACTTCCTGTTTCCAACTTTCCTTTTTTCTATCTTTTCCCCCAAAATCTTCTTGTGGGTTATGATTACGGGAGGGAGGGAAGCCTGGAAACATGTTTGGCACCGCATAAAGCACATCACTTTATAAAGTCTTTTTGTCCTCTGCCACCAAAATTGAGTGTATGTATTAGGCTAACCATCCAAAAGTGGGATGTTCATATGTTGTGTGAGTGATGTTTATCTTCAAGGAAGTGACAGACGATTCCTTCTTGTTCTTAGAAAGCCTCAAGATGGCTGCAAAGAGAAACTTGGGGAAGTGGACAAAGGGTTTTATGTCTATATTGGGACGAAAGTAGCAGGTCACATTATACACGAGAAGGCACTCTGTTTTGTATCAAACTTTCGGTTGTCATTGTTTTCGAGCTTACGCTTAGATTGCGCTCAAACCATGATTTTGTTTAGTGAGAAGACAAGTCCTCCCTCTGTTCGGATTATGGAGCAAATGTGGTAGGTAAGTTATGGACTTATGGTGATGATAAAAGGTGTTGAGCAATGATGGCAAGCACTACTCAACACAAGCGTGGATGGCTTAGTGGGTCTCAAATGGAAGTTGAGGAATGGAATCTATGACAAGCCATTAGCCAAAAAGGATATCCATGGTGATTTTCCCATCGTCAGTAAAATTGTAGTTTGAGGTAGAAGACTACTAGAACAGAGCAAACCAGTTATACACAAAAGCGAAGCTGCTGATTTATATAAAAACTCTGCTTTTTCGCAGTTAGCAAAATCTGGATTTCCACTTCCAGAGAACAATCTCACCCCTTCCCATTTCCCTCCATTTACTCGACTTCCTTTTTTTTTTTTTTTTCCAAGAAATGTTCATTTACTCGACTTCCTTAACAGTAACACTAATTCGTGCAAAATAAAATATTACCATAGCAAAACATTTCAGAACAGCTCGAACTCGAGGTGTTCGCCTGTGGCTTTACACTCCAAGTACTGATCACCATCACCACCTTCATACCCGCCGCCACCACCACTGCTGTGATGATCATACCAATTATCAGGCAGCTCGGGGGGAACAGCGCAGCGTATGAGCGCCCAATTCAATCCTTCGAAGAAAGGATGCTGCTTGATCTCCGCTGCACCTTTCTCGGTCCCTAGTCTCCCCTCAGGCTCCTTCACCAGCAGCCTTCGAATGAGATCCCTCGCATGGAAGCTCACCAGTGGGCTGTCAGGAAACCTCAACCCTTGCAACACTACATTTGCTAATGTTTCCTCGTTGCCCGCGCCTTTGAAAGGTGTTCGCCCGTAGAGAAGCTCGTATAGGAACACGCCGAAAGTCCACCAGTCGACTGCTGCACCATGGCCGTCTCCCTTGATGATCTCCGGTGCTAAGTACTCATGGGTTCCAACGAACGAGTTTGACCGAGCATCAGTGGGCTCTGCCACAAGCTGTGGGAGGGTTGATCGAAGGAGGAGCTCGGCTCTCACTTTGGCTTTGGCGGCGTTTCGTGGGGGAAGGAGTCGGGGAGAGAAGCAGGACACGACACGGCAGGATGGCTCGATACAGAATGGGTCAATGCAGGAGGAAGATGTGCATGGGCCAGAGATTCTCGGGGGATCAGTGAGAGCTGTTGATGATGATGATGATTGGAGGAGAGTTGGGCTCACGTTGCATCGTAGTGAGAGGTCGAAGTCTGTGAGCATGATGTGGCCGTCTTCACGTACGAGGATGTTTTCGGGTTTCAAGTCTCGGTAGACGACTCCGAGCATGTGGAGGTACTCTAGAGCTAGGAGGACTTCAGCAACGTAGAACCTGCATCGAACAATGGAGATCATTAGATCAAAGAGAAATCATCATGTCATGAATTTAGTTAAATTTAGCATCAGGTTCTCGTAGAGGAGGCTACTTGGAGGCTTTTGATGAGTGAAGCATTTTTCTAGGAGTTGAGAAATGGAAGTATGTTATCATAAAGTAAGCTCACCTGGCTGCTGGCTCAGGGAAGCACCTCCCAAGCTGCTTCTGTCTAAGCACATGAAGATCCCCACCAGGGCAGAATTCCATCACCAAGCACGATAAATTATCAGAAGTGAACTGTGCATAAAGCGTGGGAAGAAAGGGATGGTCCAACATCCTCAGTATCTCTCTCTCTGTCTGTGCTCTTGGCAGTTTCTTCCTCCTTGCCAGGAACTCGTTATCCATCACCTTGATTGCGAAAAGACAGTTCGTACCTATGAGCTCGGCCAGATACACCGTCCCTATATCTCCACAACCGAGCTTCTTCAACAGATTGAAGTGAGCCAATGTCAGCACTCTATCTCTTGTCTTGACATGCCGAACAGCTTGCCACCGGACATCCTTCGACATGTGTGGCCTGTTGCAGCAGCTGCTGAACCTGCTGGCATTGCTCTCCTCACTGTTGCTTGTGCTAGTGCTGTAATCTCCCAAACTGCTTTTCGAGCTCTGAGAGAATTCGCCTTTCTCTCGTTTTGAACTCTTCATCTTCTCAACTGGGTTTTGCTTATTATAGGAGGTTATCTCGGCAGAGATGGGAGCCGGGTTTTGCTGAACTGGTTCTTCATTTGCATTACTACTTAGTGCACATTGACATTTCTGGCAAACCATTGGAGTTTGGACTGGAAGCAAATTGCCATCGCCTTCATTAGAAACTGAGGATGCAGAATTTGCACCCTGCTTTTTCTTCTTCTTAATGGTGCTGCTCTTGCTTCTTATCACTGTTTTAACATGTTTTGTGCTCTTAGTACTGCCTTTGCGACCTGTTTTTGGTGGAGAAACTTTCACTGTCGATTTGGTTGAGGCAGGAGGATTTACTGCTGCTACCTTTGGAGAGTTGTCAGGAGAATCGGGACAGGATATGGAATCTGCAAGTGTCATAACCTTCTTCTCCATTTGCACCTTCTCGGTTTTCATTGCTTGAGCGCCCAATCTTTTTGGTCCAGAAGTAATAGTACCATTACTTGAGGAGTTGTTCTTATTCGAACCCTTTGTTATGGAAGGAGGCAACCGAGGAGAAGAATGAGTACTCTCGGAAGGCGACTTCAATGCTTGACTGCCAACTTTTCTAGTCGCAGAAGCCATTTGTACTTTCTTCTGATCAGCCATTCTAGGAGATGAGAATGTGGTTTGGCTTCCACCTTTCTTAGATTCCATCTGAATCTCATTCTGAACTGGCTTCATCGGTGGTGCTATGAATCGAGGAGAACATTGGGCACTTAGATTAGCTGGTGACTTCAATGCTTGTAGCCGTGGAGACGATTGAGCACTCGGGTTCAGAGATCTCATCTTAGGGATCTCGAGGTGCAGCATCTTCTTCTTGCCGCTGCTCTCTTCTGGAACAAGGGATATCTCAACCATTGTTGTCCCTTTACCAACATCTCGAGTAACCTCACCCGCCTTCTTGCTCTCGACCAACACCGAATTGTACAAGTTCTTGATCCTGCCAGCCTCCGAGGCTCCTCCAGGGGAGGCAGCAGGAGTAGCCGATTTCGAAACCCTTTTCATGGCAGCCATTTCAGATGCCTTGGAGAGACAAAGGTCCCTCAATGCCTGCTTCAGGGACACACCTTCCGAGCTGCTGACACGTGGGGAATTAGACACACTGCTAACCATAGGCCTCTTCATCATTGCATTCCGATTCAGAGGGCTAGACGAGCTCGTGCTGGGTTGAGTTGAAACTCCCAAACCCTTGGAAGCATTCTTTAGACTGATGGCCTCAAACAGCTGATTGATTTCATCCTCCAGTGAATCCTTATCTCCCAACTTCAAAGCTGGAGGCTTTCTCCGATCCATGCTATCTAGACTTAAGCCAGAGTGACATCGATACGGATAAGCTCCTTTGCTAGAATGTTGTGCAGAATCCAAATCTTCTCGAGCTTCAACGATCTCAGAAGTGCCTGAATACGACCCCATTTCTTACCAAAGTTCGGAAGAACTACTTGTTGATAGCACCACTTCAGCAGAACAGTTATTCAACGATCTCGGAAGAATCTAACAGAACTACTAGATCCAAATCTTGAAGCTTTCACCAAGATTTCAACAGTACAATTCAATTCAATTCAGGAACCACTTTTTTCCTGCAGTCAATACAGAGAAATGAAGATTAAAAAACATTACATTTAACCACTATTCTGCCTTGGCTTCATCAAAAGCTTAAAATAACACATACTCAAAAGGTGACTCATTTCATGTACAAAAATGGAGCTGGGAGAGCTCGAAGCATTTACGATCTACGATGAGCTGATGGACAAGCCAAAAACAAAAAGGGGAAAGCAAAGAACAACTCAATCCAAATCTTAAGCCGCTCCCCCACCGCTTAAACAAGCTCTATACTTTCACAGATAGAGAAAATGCGGATCGAACAGTGAAACAACCAAAAACCCATACAGATAACCAATCAGAAATCCCAGAAGGACTCACCAGCTGAAATGAAGCTCAGAGCTCAGAAGATGATAAACCCACAGAAGACCACATAACCACTAGAAAAAAGAAACCACTGAAGGTGATGGAAATGGGGAGAAGAGTAGAAGCTCCATTTTCCACCCGCAGCCGAGAAGGATTTGGGAGATGTGATTTGAAACGGTGGAGGAAAAAAAAACCCTACTGGTAAGAACAATGATGAAAGAAGAGAGAGAGGGAAGGTTTCAGGGGAAGCAGAAGATGAGAGGAGGAGGAAGAAGAAGCAGAAGAGAGAGAAGGGAAAGCACAGAGCAAAATGTTTCCATTTTTCTTTCTTTTTTATTCCTTCTTTCATTTCATTTTCCCTTGTGATTTTGATTTTTGGATTTTAGTGACAATATTTATTTCAATTACACAATAATAAATGAAATTAATGCAAAAATTGGGGGCTCTGATTATATTGTGGAGGAGCAGTGGGATGGGACCCACCACATATGTTTGTGGGTCTCCTCTCCTGTCATGTTAGTGTAACAGACCAAAATGCAATGAATAAATAATTGTAAGCATAGTAGTAGTAGATGCTGATGTTATCAAGGGAGGTAGATGAAAGGGGGAATATTAATAATAAGATGGGAACCAACAAACAAAGATATATATAATCCATCCTTAAACAAGCTAATTAGAATGCCAGATTGTGATGGGAGTGAATAACAGAGATCTCATAATCCATTTTCTTAATACATCGTTAGGTGAAAAGGAGATATTCATTTAATCTCAAATTTGCTTAAATTGAATCACATCAGAATCGTTTTTTAACATATAAGTTAAGATGCCATTGAATGTGAGATAAAATGTAATTAGTATCCTTTATGAGATAAAATTTAGTACATTGGGATGGTCGAAATGGATTTGTATGGATCAAAAGAGTGACAACATTTATGTTACGAAAGAGGAGATCCTGTAATTGAATAGTTAAGTTACAAGAGTTAGCCTGGACTTATTTAACATTGTTGATGATCATTTGAAATGCTTGACTCATCAATTTGGTTGGGAGAACTAGATTGTAGAGAGTGACAACATTTGTGCTACACAGGAAGGAAGAGATCATGTGATTGAATATATAGTTGAAGTACAAGAGCTTTGATTTTAGGTCGATAATTTGGACTTTAAACTTTGTCAATGATTATTTCAAACACTCAACTCGTCGACTTGTATAACAATCTCAAAGACTATTTCATGTATTTAAGATCGAAGTTTCAATAACACTTCATCATCATTCTATGAAAAGTGTCGTAAACCAACAGGTTCCAATAACCCAAGTGTTTGGGAGAGGTCCATGTATAATATTTAACCACTTCCTTACACGCTCCCTTAAATAAAAGCCAACTCATGTGTTTGAAGTCTGGATATGTTTGTCATACCACGTGCTTTAAAAACAATAGTTAATTGCCCCGGGGGTGTGAGAACTTGAAAACATGACCTCGATAACAAACCAACTCTGATACAATATTATAAACCAACTATTTCCAAAAACTCGAGTTGTTGATAAAAATTCATGTATGATATTTGATACAATGCACCTTTAAATTTCCCTTGGAAGCTAGCATAACATCATCATAAACACCTCTTCATGGCGTGATAAATATAAATTATAAAGGAAGCACAAATCACTCATCTTCCCCATAGAAAAGAAACCCACTAAACCACTTGTATTGTGGATTTGTGGTTAATTAAATATAGGTTTTGAAACGTTTTGATTTCCTCGAGATGCCTTATCAAGGGTTGGGGAGTTTTACTGTACAATAATTGAGTGATCAATTAACGTTCTTGTCAGAAGTCTGCTTCTGAGCAGGCAAACTTTTCCGAATAATTTTTCGAGAGGAAAAAATTTAAGAGAAAGATGCAAATTTGTCAGCTGGAAGCAGAGCCACGAGGTGGAGAGTGTCTGCAAACTACAAATATCTGTACATGTGGCGTTTTAGCTCTTAAACTATGTAGGGGCTAACAAACATGTCCCTCAAATATAACTTTTAACAAATAAGTCCATTTATAATGTCCTTAGAGAGTTGGGTTGGATTGGTTTGGCTTCGAATTAGTGTGAGATTTCGATGTCATATTGAGGTAATTAACAAACAAGAATTTTCAGCACAAGTGTAAGTCATGAGCGATATGTTTGCTAAGCATGAGTAGTCGGTTTCACTAATGACCAATCTAGCTAGATGAAAGTAGTAACAAAATGAACCAAATGACATATGATCGATGACATAGTACGTACAGAGATCTATTTGTTAAAGAGTCATAGTATAAGGACCGATTCTTAAACATTTGAAGTAATCAACAGAGACTTGAAATACATTGACCTGTTTTGTTTGTTTGTTTTTGGTGTATGAGATGCTGAATAATCTATGTCAAGTGTCAATGTCATATATGAATTATTATATGTCAACTTACCCGCTTCCATCCACATTATAAAAAGAAGAACCCGTCGAAGCAATTACCTATAAATTATCTACACCAATTACCACTTGTTACACTAACAAGTCCATAGATTCATCAATCGAAAAGGGAATACCAATATCTAAGAGAAAATTCGATGAATATCAAGGTTGTCAAACTAAATTAAGCCATCAAATATGTTTGATAAGTGAATTGAGGTTTAATGGTTGAATTGGGTTGAACCAATTTAAATTGGTTTTCATATTATATGTAAAAAACCCTCTAATACTTAATAGATTAGGTATATATTTGACATATTTTAAAACAAGTGCACTAATCTACATTCATATATTACCAAATTATTTCTTCAGAAGAAATGTATACTACAAGATAATTCATCATCTTCAAATTTGGTTTGACTGCTTAGACCATTCGGTTTTAATTGATTGAATGGTTTAACCCAATTTTGACCTTTTACAAGTATCGTCCAACCAAAATGTAATTCAACAATTTAGATAACCAATTCTTGTAAGACCCAATTGAACCAGCCATCCAGTTCCAGGTCTGACAACCTTAATAAATATCACTTTCAAAAACCTCAAAATTACGATAATGTCGACAAATATAATTGTGACATCCTTTCGTGAACAAAATTAAAGCTCCATTAGGAGAAGGAAAGGAAGCTAAAGCAATGTGATCGAGCAGACAAATATTCAAAAGTAACCTTGCCATGATATGCTCTTAACACCCACTTTTAACAATATTGCTGATATTTCTTTTGTTTGTTTATTAATCTACAATTTGCTTGGTATCTGTGCATATTGGCCGCCGAGCTAGCTTTATCCTTACCCTGTTTGCTCTAACCAAGGTCGTCTCTTGCAAACTCCCTCTTTTGTCATATTTTCATAATTAAACAATGAACCCGACCCGCCAACTTTGATCTTAGCTGTTCTTTCCCTTCTTCCATCATCAGTAGTCTCTGTTTTATTAAAGCATCCACCTCATGGGCAAATTAGTTAAGCTACGCTAATTAACCACACAATGAATTAAGTAGTTGGTCAGAAGGGTCGGCGCCGAGGGCCTTTAAAGGCCATTATATAAAAGCAAAGATGGGTACAACAGCCCATGTTGTTGGTGCAATAAGCAGCTTCGATGGCTGCTTTAATTTCTCTAGCACTCTATTTTACGTATAAACAGAAAAAGTAACATGCATGCTTTACATCATTCTTATAGCTAAGCTAGGTATACGTTGATTATTATTGTTGTTAATGAATAATTTAGACGGTCGTGTTTTAGCCTAGCTAGTTGTTCTATCAATACAAGGTGACTTGAGGGCGACTCAAAGGAGAGAGTAAAAAAAGGAAGTGCCATCGACCATCATCATCATCATCATGACATTGAGAAAGAAGAAGAAATTGACTCTAACAAAGAATAATGGGGAAAAACCAATTTAAAGTGGCAAGACGTACCCAATTGGGTTTCCAGTGGATTAATTATTAGCCTGATTCTAGTTTTTAAATTGAAATATCATTAATAGTTTTATAATTCTAATAACTAATTTGATCATAATGCGTGAGAATAAAAACATTCGATACGTTCTTTGTCTTGGTTGAATCTACGTTCTTAATTATTAGAGCGAACATGATATTTTCTTCCTCCGATAAGTTCATGAAAGTACACAATGAAGAAAAAAAAAACCTATATTAAAATATCAGGAAAAAAATAGAAAGAAATATGGAATTAGATTAAGGAAGAGAGGCCGTCATTTTCAGGTAGGGTGGTGTCAAGCTATATCATATACACATGGACTTATCTCACCCTGGACCCTGGGGGATGGACCGTTCCTTAATTTGTTTGAAACTGCATGCGATAAAGATAGTTAGCTTCCTTTCCTTTCCTTTCATTGTCGTTGCTCCCAAGCAACCATTTTTCTCCAAACAAACATTACCAGCCAAAAACCCTAACCAAACCAACAATCCATCAAGTTTTCATCAGCTGCCAACCAAACGGTCCCCCCCTCCCTCCAGATCTAGCTACCTTACATTCAACCCTCCTTTTTCAAAACAAAACCCACCCTGCAAAATCTTCACCGGTTTCGAACAACTTGGTTCTCCCATCGTCTCTTCCGACTATCATTGGAGTAATTGGGACGAGTTGGTTCTCGTAATCCGCCAAAAAAGAAAATGGATTGGAATTTGGAAGGCTAATGATTAGAAGGGCGTTAGGGTGATGGATGTGCCACATAAACAAAGCCATTACAAAATGGCAGACTGCTGGCAGCTTACTGCTTTCTTAGCCGGTTCCCAAAGCAGCTAGAAAAATGTGTCCGTTTTGAAATTTCTTTGTAGGAACTAAGGCATCGATCGTTTTCATTGTTCAAAAATTGAGGATCATGGATTGGGGGGGTGCGTGGTCCTGCATGGCTTTTATGATCGTCGATCGCGCTTCAAAAGATATGTAAAAATGGTTTGATGAGTCAGTCAGTCAGTCAGTCGTCCATGTACTGTCGGCATAATTACAACCAATAAGATAGCAGCTGGCTAGAACTACAAGGAGCTAGCTTGGGCCCACGGCCCATTAAACATCGCGCAACCAGAAGAAAAATGTCATATAAAAGCTGTGTGGGCCGAACATTTTTTCTTTCTTTCTTTCGCTTTTGTGATTCCTAGGACAATGAACGCTTGATCGATCGAACGAACGACGAACTTAATTAATCAAACTCCCCTCCTAATCAAATCCACCATTAAGAGCGAGCTCTGATCTGAATAATCTTCACACCAAGTGGAAAACCGAGCCACGTTATCGTTATGGTGGGAAATGAAAGTGTTGTCGGATCCATAAAAAGGCCAGAGGATGGGACATCCTTCCTGCAACCTACTGTTCGATTTAACCCCGGGCCGCCATACCCAACCGCACATTCTCCCGGCCTCCACACAGAAACCAACAAAAAGGCACACATCGGTTACAGATCACTCAGTCAGTCTCCTTCAATTATTTGCCATTGCCTATAGCTAACTAACAATAACATACTCGAGAGATGCATGATAATAGTTATTACCAATGGCCCATCTACCTCTGTTTAATCCTCTTCCTTCTCTATAAAAAAAAAAAAAACACACACTCTGTTTTTCTTAAAAATTGAATCGTTATGCATGTCATTTTCCGTCCATAAAGATTGGTTAACTAGACTCGGTGCATATTATTCGACTTGATCCGATCTAATGAATATGAACATATAACAACTATTGTGAAATATAAAAGGGGCATGAGTAGTGAGATATCTAATCCGACACTGTTTGATAGGATATGTCCTCTATGGCTTGTCGAAAATCGGACATCCCAACCCAACAATCGTTTTCTTTGTACGGTTGGGAAATAGACACGGCTTCGAAGGGCAGGGAAGGAACAGGGGCTTGTGACGGGACTGCGCCAAAATTACGTTCACGTCTAGTTATGTATGCGAGCCCGTTGTGATTCTGTTGGGCCCAGGAGATGTATATGTCTAGCCCATAACTCAGAAGCCTGCATCAATGGGCTTGATAATGAGGCCCACGTTGCCTACTATAGTTTCCACCTGTTCGGCGATGGATCCAGGACTGGAGTGGGCCAGTGGCGGCTACTACTTTCCGTTCCTTCTTCGTCCCATCCTCTGCCCGTTACCATCACCAGTGACGTCACATTCCACCTTCTCCGATTTGACATCGTCGTCGGCTGGTCTTTGTTGCTCTTTATTTTGGTGGTCGTCGCTCCAGGAACTTCCGATGGAGTTTCCAATTTCTTCGCCAAGGAATCTTCCATTCCATGGCTTGATTATATGGCTGTTCCTGTGTGTGAAGGCAAAACATGGGTGCAATGGGGAAGGAATATGTTGACCTGACCTTGAACCTTATCAAGCGACCAGTCCGGGTTCATTTGCTGGGCAAGTTCAAGTTAAATCGGACAAAATCTTATCCTGTTGTGAACAACTCTGTAATTACTACAGAGAGGGACAGACGGAGTCAGTCAACGTCGAATATCGTGGCGAGCCGGCAGTCTGGAAATGGTTAACGGCGTTATACTTGCCACGTGATGTGTTAACATTTGCCTGGAAAGCTTTATGGGAAAAAAACGAAAACCAAAACAATCCGTCCAAAAAGGTCAGCCAATGGGATTAGACATTCGAGCCAGCCAGTGGCCATATAAATAATACGACCCTGTCGACACCCTTTTCCCAGAGTAACAGAGAAAGCCAAGAGCAATCATCCATCGATCCATCAATCAATGGCGGAGAAGAGCTTCAAGTATGTCATCCTCGGCGGTGGAGTCGCTGCCGTAAGTACTCTTCACCCGTCGTCGTCGCCTCTTTGTTATGATTTTGAATTTCGCGATCGTTCCTTTGGTTTCTTAACTCATGAATTCCACCCTGCTGAAACATTCCGCACTGCGGTTCCGGGGAGATCTATTCGGAATTTCGCGGCGCCCTGGTGCCAAGCGTTTATAGATCTAGGAATATTTCTCGACCGCTTTACTTGTGATCTAGTGTGGAAATTGTGTGGCGGTTGTCGCTCTTGTTATTTGTTTCCCAGTTCTACGATTGGTTTATTGCTTGAGCCGTTGAATTTCGTTTTCGACGAGATCGTGTCCCAACCTGTTACCTGTGTTCAATTTGCGCACAACTTAGCTTAGTTTCTCGGGGGTACTGGTTTGTTTTGGATAATACGACGCCTCTCTGAGACTCTGACCTTCTGTGTGGTTAAGTTATTCTCTGACCTTCAGCTCGCCCCGGCTCGTTGAGATTTGCTGTGTATATATTCCATTTGTCTCCTGATGGCGTCTGGGGTGTGAGGGCGAGGCGAAAGAATTGAACTTTTTGTGAGTTTTGGGGACTTTGTACAGGAATTAGACTGATAAGTAAAATTAAAGTAGACAACTCTGGATTCGAAGCCACTCGGGCATTTCACGAATCAACCAATCGTATGATCAATATTAGGAGGAATGACTTGCTTTCCTTTCAGCATAATTGACTTACTTTCCTGTTAGCATAATTGTCAGATTTTTGTGCTTCTATTCTGAACTGGTTGGTTCTTCGTTTTGATGGGTTTGCATCCTTTATCTGAACTCCGGATCCTGGTGGTGCAGGGATATGCAGCAAGGGAGTTCGCCAAGCAAGGGGTCCAGCCTGGTGAATTGGCCATTATCTCGAAGGAGGCGGTATGTTGTTTATAATGTTTTGTTTCTATTGCTTCCTATTTCTCCCTGTAAGACTAGCAATCATCAAACCAGCTGTTAGTGTTTGAACTGCTCTCTTGTATGGTAGGCCGAATGGATCGCGTTAGTCTAGCTCAAGCAAATTAGTTGTTCCCTTCATAAAGAATGGATCTTATTAGTGGGTCGTGCCTTCTAAAATGAGCGAGATACCCTTGGAGTATGGACTAGGAATATTCCTTTGGGGTCAATGCAGTCTAATTTTCCTGTATGGTAATGAGTTTGTGGCCTCTTGTGAGTGCAGGTAGCACCTTATGAACGTCCAGCTCTTAGCAAGGCATATCTCTTCCCTACCGGTAATCATCTTCCTCTCATATTTAAAATGTGGACATATAGCATGGTTCTCGTGTCTTAAGCAGGTTTTTACTTTGGTTGCTGAAGAGACCAACATAGTACTCTTTACATTTTGTGCTTGAATAGCTTTTAAACGGGTGGAAGTTGCTTTTGGCAGGAACTGCACGGCTTCCTGGATTTCACACGTGTGTTGGTAGCGGAGGGGAGAGATTGCTCCCTGAGTGGTACACTGAGAAGGGTGAGGACCTAGAAAAACTCAGCTTCACAAGTCCTGTTACACAAATGAAAACTTTCCCAGTTTACTCTTGTTTCCATGTTCAATGTATTGGTTATCAAAGAAGACAGTTTCCAACTAAAACTTGTTGCTTGATTGTTGCGGCTGCAGGGATCGAGTTGTTGCTTAACACAGAAATAGTTAAAGCAGATGTTCCTTCAAAGACGCTCGTAAGCGCTGCTGGGGAAACCATCAAGTACGAGATATTGATCATTGCAACTGGTTCAACTGTAAGTTTATATGTCTTCTTCATCAGATTTTCTGCATAAGGTTCATTATTCACAGCATTTCTGACCATGACCCTACTTTCTTCTCACAGGTGTTACGATTGACTGACTTCGGTGTAGAAGGAGCTGATGCCAAAAATATTTTTTACTTGAGGGAGATCGATGATGCTGATAAGCTCGTCGAAGCTATCAAAGCAAAGCCAAATGGGAAAGCTGTCATTGTTGGAGGAGGATACATTGGTCTTGAGCTTAGTGCAGCTTTGAAGATCAACAACATTGAGGTCACCATGGTCTATCCTGAACCCTGGTGCAGTAAGTAAATCACTTCCAGAGTCCTTACAGCACATCCCATTTTAAGTGCCCTGTTCACTAACTTGGTCAATGCTCTCCTCTAGTGCCTCGGCTTTTCACAGCTGGAATAGCTGCATTCTATGAAGTCTACTATTCTAACAAGGGGATCAACATCATCAAGGGAACAGTCGCATCTGGATTCACTTCCGACTCAAATGGAGAGGTAAAAACTTAAACTATTTGCTAATTCTGTTATCTTGTTCGTTTGAGTGTTGGTCTGAAACTGAAGGCGAGTTCCAACTTCCAACTGTGTTCTCAGGTGAAGGAAGTTAAATTGAAGGATGGCAGGGTGTTGGAGGCCGACATTGTTGTTGTTGGCGTTGGGGGGAGACCACTCACAGCCTTGTTCAAGGGGCAGGTCGACGAGGAGAAGGGCGGAATTAAGGTATGTTAATGATCTTAATTACCTTCAAATGACCTCCGCAAGGAAGAGTAACTAACAAGTAACAACTGGACTCTTCATTGATTATAGACCGATGGATTCTTCAAAACAAGCGTCCCTGACGTGTATGCTGTGGGGGATGTTGCTACTTTCCCAATGAAGATCTACAACGAGATCAGGCGAGTTGAACACGTCGATCATGCTCGTAAATCGGCTGAACAGGCTGTCAAGGTAATGTTGGTTTTTACATCCTTTCCTATTCCTTTCCATTTCTAAACTCAATCCATATGGAAAGCCTATCTGTGTGATTTGGTTGATGGCTTCATCAAAATTGTTTCGCTTTGCTTTCTAACAGGCCATAATGTCAACTGAGAACATTGAAGAATACGATTACCTCCCCTACTTCTACTCGCGCGCCTTCGACCTCTCATGGCAGTTCTACGGTGACAACGTCGGTGAAACCGTGCTTTTCGGCAACGACGACCCCAAGGCAGAGAACCCCAAGTTCGGCACATACTGGATCAAAGACGGGAAGATCATTGGAGCCTTCCTGGAAGGCGGTTCCCCCGACGAAAACAAGGCCATTGCTAAAGTCGCCAGGGTTCAACCACCAGTTGAGAGCCTCGATTCTCTGTCCACGGAAGGCATTGCCTTCGCCTGCAAGATTTGAGAGGCTGCTTCTCTTTGCATTATCAACAGACCGTCCTGTATTCCCAAATAGCTTGTCGATTGTTTCCGAGATCACTTCTGGGTTTCGTTTCTTCCGTTGTATTTGTTGACAGTAGTATGGAGGTGAGGAGTTTTCATTTACCGTGACGGATATGGATGTTCATCTGATTAAAGTACTGGTTTTTGCTTCAATAAACAGGGGAATTCGTTGCACGAGCCTTACATCACAATTCTCATTAACACAGGATACACTAAAACCAGAGCCTTGTATCTTTGTAACAAATTGGCCAACAGTCCAAATGAATTATAAATCAGTGGAGAATATGGGAGCGATTTCACCAAGCCAGAGCATCATTCAAAGAGAGAACAAACAAATTATAAGCTACTAAGCAGATATCCTAATTTTGAGCCAGAAGGTAACAACCATCTTACTAATCTAACCGTTTTGCGCAAAAAACCCGGTAAAACGGCAAAAGAGTTGTAACAGCCTCCTAAAATAAGATGTGCGGCCAAGATCATCCTCCTAAGAGACGGAGCATCTAGGGTTAGAGTCGTTCATCGGCTCCTTCCCTCCCTCCTTATAAAAGCCGCCAGGCGAGAGAAGCTAACGCACTTCAAAGATGAGAGCTTTATAAAAAAGGACCGTAGATCCAGGCCGGATATTACAATCGCCGGCAAGTCACTAATCTGTTTGTTTGTTTCTTTCTTCTTTTCAATCTGATTGAAACTGTGTTTCAGACGGCTATATGTACCAAGGGAAGGCGCGAGAAATCGAGATCGCCTCTCTCTTGATGTTTGCCTAATCGGCTGTAGCCAAATCAAATCCCATTACAAGAGGTTTACTGGCCGGTTGTTGCTTCCCGTCGACATATCTGCTTACCGAGCTTCTTACATTTCTTAGTTTCCGCAACTAAAAAACCCTACTTTCTTGTTTCCCGGTTCTTCTTCCCGGCAAATTTGTTATCCGAGAAGGAGAAAAGAGGGGAAGCGCATAGGAATTAGCCTTCCCGGCACATTTGTCTCTACCGGCGACTATCGTTATTTTAGCTGGTGGGTCTTTCTGGAAAAAAAAAAATGGATTCTTCCTCATGGTTGGAAGAATTTGGGAGTTTTCGTCATGACCTTGTGGGCATGGCGGAGGCCAAGCTGAGATGTGTTGTTCAGCTGAGGAAATCATGGGCTTGGAGTTTCAATTACTTGAGGCAGGGACCTACTGCAGCTCTGAAACTCGTCTTCTTTCCTGAGGGCACTTTTAATATTGAAGGCATTATGTGACCAAATTAGTTGTAAAAATTGTATACTGTATCATCATATTGTTCTCTCAGCACACCATAAACAAGTTTGATTCTATTTGAATTTCTTTAAAGCAAGGAGATGAACCCTACAAAATTTAGAAAGACTATTGTTTGAGTCTAACTGAGAGTAGGAGGGAGACTCGGATGAAAGGTGGGTGAGGAGAGTAAGCAACAAGGAAGTTAGGGGATAGGAAATTCTTAGAGATAAAGCTCTTCGTAAGTAGAGTGAGAGTAAAAATGTGATCCCCTCACCCACCGGAGTAAATGTCATATTTATAGGCTACATGGTGGTGAGTGAGTTATTTAACGTGACATTACTATTGACATGTCAGGAGTTTAGGCCAAACCTCTACCTAGGACTAGAAGATTTGTCCATGATTATACCTAGGACTATGATGTGACCACTCTTCGGGGAATGCGGCGTGGTTTTCATGGTTTCTTGGTCTGGTCAAATCTTGATTGAAACGTCATCGTTCGGAGTCTGAGATCTTCGTCCGCGAGTGCGACCTTCGCTGCGGCCGTGATCCTCGCACATCTACGACCTTGGTTGCAATGGTACTAACGCGCCTGACTCTTCTGGGGCGGTGCCAGGATGCTTCCTTGTCGCGACTAGACCCGAGCCATACACCCAACAACTATACAGATATGGACTATACCCTTCCCCATGAAATAGTATAAACCAACCTGTTCTAAACAGCAACCCGTGAGGTTAAGCTTTACAAAAGAAACTAAAGGCATAAGAGTTTTGGAGGACCTCTAGTATCACAAACTAGGGAAAGAGACTGCCGAAGCACCGATATGGCGATATGGATTATCCCCTTCTCCGTTGAGGAACCTGCAAGGTTAAGCTCTGATTTAATGGTTGGCTGATTACAAATGAGGCAAGATGTGTTGAAGTACAATTGAATAGCAACGACAAGTCAACGCTCCTACAAAATATTCAAACAACTCGTGATTAGGGATGATAGTTAAACTCACCATCAATGTTGTCAACTCGCGGGTCGACCCACTTTGACCCTGACCTAATGAAAAAAACGGGCTGCACGCACCCGCCGGGTCGACCGCTACAAAAAATCGGATTGGAGGTCAAATTGTGTAATTTTTTTCTTTGGTTTGCAAAATGCGCATATTTTTCGATTTTTCTTTTCGCCTAACTCAATCTTTGGAATCCTTAGTCGAACATTTGAATATTGATGTTATATAAGTGTGTGAATTTTTGCTATATGTTGGATTTAAATATGATATGTTACTTTGGTGTAATATTATATGTTATTACTCATGTTAGATGAGATTTAATATAATTTATTAGGATAAGTACAATAGAATGACTCTTTTCATATTTCCGGGCTGAAACGGGCTAAAATGGGTGACCCGTTAACCCTTGACCCACTAGTTCGATCGATCGGGTCCGGGTCAACCCGTGGGTTGACAACCTTGCTCACCACCGTAGTAGCTAACAGTCCCCGACCCAATCAATGATGAAAATCTATATCTTGACTCAATATTGGGCGGGTATTGGTAAAACGAGCAATTTTTTTTTCATAGGGATGTGACTATTATGGTTTTATCCTCCCCATTTCATATTCATACTTATACTACCCTATGTATAACAAACAAGGTTGTCAACTCACGGGTTGACCCACTTTGACCCTGACCTAGTGAGAAAAATGGGCCGCACGCAACCGCCGGGTCGACCGCCACAAGGTACCGGGTTGGAGGTCAAATTGTGTTATTTTTTTCTTTGTTTTGCTAAATGCGCCCATTTTTCGATTTTTCTTTTCGCCTAACTCAATCTTTGGAATCCTAAGTTGAACATTTGAATATTAATGTTATATAAGTGTGTGTGAATTTTCACTATATGTTGAATCTAAGTACGAAATATTATTTTGGTGTAATTAATATATGTTATAACTCATATGTTAGATGAGATTTGATATAATTTATCAGGATAAGTACAATATAATGACGCTTTCCATATTTCCGGGCTAAAACGGGTGACCCATTAACCCTTGACCCACTAGCTCAACCGGATTCGGGTCAACTTGCGGGTTGACAACCTTGATAACAAAGAAATTCAAATCTAAGGGGTTGATTTAGACCACCGACAAAAAGGGGGAAAAAGGTCCAAAATCTCATAACAAGATGAAAAAGAAAGGGAAAGAAGGAAAAAGAGGAAGAGGTTACCCAGAAAAAGGACAAATGGAGGAAGGGAAAGTGGGTTTTGGATGAGGAGAGCGTCATGAGAGGGACGGGATACGGTGACAACCCCTTAGGGATGGCAATGGGTCGGGTTGGGGCGGGTTTTGTCAAACCCAAACCCAAACCTATGGGTTTATCCGTCAAAAAAACCCGGGGTAAAACCCGCTGGGTTTGAAAAACTCAAACCCAACCCAACCCGCTGGGTATCCGTGGGTTCATGGGTACCCGTGGGTTTTTGTGGTAAAAAATTTATAATAACAAGTTTCTTTCAAAATAAAAGTTTAACATTAATTTTCTCATACAAATTATTCATACAAAAAATACCAATCTAGAGCATACAAGCAAACCGCAAATGATCGATACAAATTGTTCAAAATTAAAGATTAACATCTATAAACAATAAGATTAATTGAAAGCTTCTTACTCGTCAACTAAGTTTCTTCACTCTCCACTTCATAATATCAACTTCATTCTAAACAATTAGAAACAACAAATTATATATGTCTCCACAAACATAAAGAATATTAATTGTTTAATGAAGATATATTATTAGAGTATTAAATATACCGGAAAAGTAATTATATGTGTGTGGGAGGGTACCCATGGGGCGGGTTTACCTAAACCCAAACCCAACCCGACCCGGTGAATAGTGTAGCGGGTTTAAACCCGAACCCGGCCCAAAATCCGTCAACACGGGTTTTACCCGCGTTGACCGGGTTGGGTCGGGTGGGTACCCGTGGATTCGGGTTTTGTTGCCATCCCTACAACCCCTAATGGGGTTGTCAGATTCACAAACAAGGGTATTTTGGGTATGAAAAAAAGGAATATATTAATTACCTCTTTTGTATTAATTATATTGGGAATTAAAAACCCATATTAAATACAATTTTTTTCTGAAATTTAAATCCTATACATTAATATCTCTATCTATCTCTCTTTCTCTTCCTTTCTCCAGCAGCCACTCCGCATCGACCGACAAACTTTTTCTCCGGCGAATTCTCTCCGACAGACTCCCTCCGGCAACCTGAAAAAATGTACCAATGCATTAAAAAGTGTACCAATCTATTAGTCTACTGGTAATTAATATACCAGTGCTAATGGTACGCTACCAGTACGTTAAAAAATGTACCAGTACTAGCGGTACCAGTTTAAAATGTACCAGTACTAGTGGTACGCTACCAGTACAACGCTACCGGTAGAGAATAACACAACGCTACTAGAACTGGTAGCGCTAGCACTAGCATTGGTAGCGGTACCAGTAGAGAATAAAAAAAAAAAAACAGATGATAGTGATACCAGATGATAGGGGAGCCATTGGTATTGGAACCAGTGAGTAGTGGTAGCGTACCAATAGCGCTATCAGTGGTATTGGTACCAGTAGAGACTACCAGATCTGGAAAAAAATAGGGATGAGGAAAGAGGGAGGCAGGGAAGAGTCTTGACCTCGCGGCGGGGACGGCATAAAAATGGTGGCAGCAGGGGAGGACAGCGGCGCGGCGCGGGGGAGGACAGCGGCGGGGACAGCAGCGCGGCAGGGCGGCGGGGACAGCAGGCGCGGTGGTGGGAGGGCTGTGGCGGCAGAGAGAGGGGGAGGAGAGACGGTGATGTCTACGGGAGAGAGGGAGGAGAGAGAGAGAGAGGGAGGATGGAGGAGTTAGAGTTTTTGTTCTTTTTATATGCTAGGGTGAATGATTGGGTGTGGTAAATTTTTACCCTTCCAAAAATATCCTTCCTTTAATCTTAACCGTTAATTTAAAAAAAGAATAAAGAGACAGGAGAGAGAGCGTATCCAAGGACTATGAAGTGGGTTGTAAATCTGACAACCCCCTTAGGGGTTGTCACCGTATCTCGTCCCGTCATGAGATAAAAAATTGACAGCAACAACCGTAAATAATGGCCAAAATCTATAGATGCGGGTTTTTTCGACAGCTTGGTCACAATTGGGGCTTGAGATAGGGTGAGTAACCCTTTGTTACTCACCTGTGAGTAACCATCTTAGGACCGTAGATCTAGGGGCGGATCAATCATGCGGCTGGGCTGAATGCGGGGTCCAGAAGGGTATTTTTGTCCGTTTATGATTTTTTATTTTTATTATATTCCAAGTTTAATGGCCGCTTTTTCAAAAAAAGGAGACCACTTTTAATGGCTGCCTTTTCAAAGGAGGAGAGAGAATAATTTCTCTGCAACTCTCTTTTCTCTTTCTCCCTTCCTTTTTCTCTCTCAATCTATCATTTATCTTTCTTTGTTCCTTTTTTCTCTCCAATCTTTTTCTCCATATCTAGATCTGCTTCCTTCTCTTCTTTTTTCGTTTTTTTCTCTCCAGCAATCGACGAAGAATATTTGCAGCCACCCTCTTTCATTGCGTTTTTTGTCTCTTCATCAACTCGTTGGTCTCAATTTCGGTCTTTCTCCCTTTTTTGGCGTTTGGTGTTCTTGATTGCGGAGGAAATGAGACGAAATAGAAGACGAGTTTTTTTTTCCGTCTCCCTCTTTCTGTTTTTTTTCTTTTAGGTAATATATATTGATATTAACATGCTATACTATACGGTATTGTGTGGTAACGAAATATATATTGATATTACCACACTATACCATATGGTATAGTGTGGTAATGAAATATATGTTGATATTACCGCATTATACCACATAGTATTGTATGATATTACCACAATATACCATATGGTATTGTGTGGTAACGAAATATATATTGGTATTACCACACTATACCATATGGTATTGGGTGGTAACAAAATATATATTGATATTACCACACTATACCATATGGTAATGTATGGTATTGTGTGGTAACGAAATATATATTGATATTACCACACTATACCATATGGTATTGTATGGTATTGTGTGATATTACCACAATATACCATATGGTATTGTGTGGTAACGAAATATATATTGATATTACCACACTATACCATATGGTATTGGGTGGTATTACCAAATATATATTGATATTACCACACTATACCATATGGTATTGGGTGGTAACGAAATATATATTGATATTACCACACTATACCATATGGTATTGGGTGGTATTACCAAATATATATTGATATTACCACACTATACCATATGGCAAATTTTTCATACCATATGGTATGGTCTTATTTAATACCAGTCAATACCATATGGTATTGACTTGTAATAACTGACAAATTTTTTTATGTCCAAAAAATATCAAAGTGGATATCATTTTGAAGAGCACAATTAATCTGATCTAACTGTGTAAAAAAAATTAAATTCTGACTTAAAACGAGTGAGAAATCATCCGTTAAAGATTAAGTGAAAGAAAATTAAAGGTTTTTCGAGGATAGAGGAGGCGCTGATATGGTCTGGTCAAAAGTCAGCGTCAGCAATAAATAGGGGTAAGTACAAATTTACCTTCCTACCCTTTTGCATTTAATTTAAATAAAAAAGGAAGCTGACACGTGGGGACCGGGGAAGGGGTTAGTGATGGGTTACTGACCCATCAGTTACTGACTTGATCTGCTCCCCACAATTGGTAAAAGCTAGAGTTATAAAATTGACAACAACTACAAGGGGAAAAAATCAGCCAAGAATATCCGATAAATTTTTTGCAATGATCGATGATGAATAACCTTCAAAATTGCCAATAGTGGTCAATAAATAATAAGACAAAATCTGCGATGAATAGCCTTCAAAATAGCCAAAGAATCTGTGGTAGATAGTCTTCAACTTAGGTGAAAAATAGCATTCTAAAAAATCTACCATAATCTGTGATGAATAGCCTTCAATATTGATGAATCATCCAAAACCTGTGATGGATAGCCTTCAATATTGGTGAATCATCCACTCTTCCCGGATGATAACTCCTTTACGCACTGATTTGAGCCAATTTATTTTTGGATGACATTTTTGTAATTTTTTTGGCGTCAGAGGACATTTTCTTTTGATTTTCATGACTACAGATCACCGATTATACCTGAGGCTATTCTTCAGCGATGAATAAGTCTGTTAAACACCGATTTTGGCGGATTTATTCCGGGTCAATTTTTGGCAGATTCCAAAGGGGTAACATTACAGATTTCAGGCGATTTTTCCGAAATGCCATTTTCTTTCGATTATGGAGGCTACAGATAACGAATTTAGATCGAGGCTATTCTCCATGGATAATGATGTCTATTGATCCTACTCTCCATGGATGATAAGTCAGTTAAGTACCGATTTGGGCCAATTTATTTTTAGAAGGCATTTTCGTAATTTTTTGTGCTTTGTAAGGCCATTTTCTTTTGATTTTCAAGGCAACAAATCACGGATTCGGCCTGAAGCTATTCTTCAGTGAAGATTAAGTCCGTTAAGCAAGGATTTGGGCAAAGTTATTTCGGATCAATTTATGGCAGATTCCAAAGGGGTACACCATCATAGATTTCAGGCAATTTTTCCGGAGTGCCATTTTCTTTCGATTATGGAGGTTACAGATCACGAATTCAGGCCGAGGCTATTCTCTACAGATAATGAAATCTATTGATCTCACTCTTCCCGGATGATAACTCCGTTAAGCACCGATTTGGGCCAATTTATTTTCGGATGACATTTTGGTAAATTTTTGAGCGTCAGAAGGCCATTTTCTTTTGATTTTCATGGCTACAGATCACCAATTCGGCATGAGGCTATTCTTCAGCGATGATTAATTCTGTTAAGCACCGATTTTGGCGGATTTATGCCGGGTCAATTTATGGCAGATTCCAAAGGGTTAATCACAGATTTAGGGTGATTTTTCCGAAATGCCATTTTCTTTCGATTCTGGAGGGTATAGATCACGGATTCAGGCCGAGGCTATTCTCCACGGGTAATAAAGTCTATTGATCCTACTCTCCATGGATAATAAGTTAGTTAAGTACCGATTTGGGCCAATTTATTTTCAGATGGAATTTTCGTAAATTTTTGTGCATTGTAAGGCCATTTCTTTTGATTTTGAAGCCTACAGATCACAGATTCGGCCTGAAACTATTCTTCAGCGATAACTAAGTCCGTTAAGCACCGATTTGGGAGAATTTATTCCGGGTCAATTTTTGGCAGATTCCAAAGGGGTACCTTCACAGATTTCGGGCAATTTTTCCGAAGTGCCATTTTATTTCGATTTTGGAGGCTACACATCACATATTCAGGCCGAGGATATTCTCCACGGATAATGTAATCTATTGATCTCACTCTTCCCGGATGATAACTCTGTTAAGCACCGATTTTGGCAAATTTATTTTTTGATAGCATTTTTGTAATTTTTTGTGCGTCGGAGGGCCATTTTCTTTTGATTTTGATGGCTACCGATCACCGATTCGGCCTGAGGCTATTCTTCAGCGATGATTAAGTCTGTTAAGCACCGATTTTGGTGGATTTATTCCGGGTCAATTTTTGGCAGATTTCAAAGGGGTAACATCACAGATTTCGGGCTTCTTTTCGAAATTCTATTTTCTTATGATTCCGGAGGCTACAAATCACGGAATCAGGCAGAGGCTATTCTCCACGGATAATGAAATCTATTGATCTTAATCTCCATGGATCATAAGTCCGTTAAGTACCGATTTGGGACAATTTATTTTCAGATGGCATTTTCGTAATTTTTAGTGCATTGTAAGGCCATTTTTTTATTTTGAAGCCTACAGATCACGGATTAGGCTTGAAGCTATTCTTCAGCGATGATTAAGTCTGTTAAGCATCGATTTAGGCGGATTTATTCTGGGATAATTTTTGGCAGATTCCAAATGGGTACCTTCACAGATTTCGGGCAATTTTTCAGAAGTGCCATTTTCTTTCGATTCTTGAGGCTACACATCACGGATTCAGGCCGAGGATATTCTCCAAGGATAATGAAGTCTATTTATCTCACTCTTCCCGGATGATAACTCCGTTAAGCACCGATTTCGGCAAATTTATTTTTAGATGACATTTATGTAATTTTTTGGCCGTCGGAAAGTCTATTGATCCTATTCTCCACGGATGATAAGTCCGTTAAGCATCGATTTGGGCCAATTTATTTTCGGATGGCATTTTCGTAATTTCTTGGGCGACGAAAGTCCATTTTCTTTGAATATTGAAGGCTATAGATCACGGATTCGGCCTGAGGCTATTCTCCAACGATGATTAAGTCCATTAAGCACCGATTTGGGCGGATTTATTCCGGGTCAATTTTTGGCAGATTCCAAAGGGGTACCATCACAGATTTCGGGCGATTTATCCGAAATGCCATTTTCTTTCGATTCTGGAGGATACAGATCACGGAATCAGGCCGAGGCTATTATCCACCGATAATGAAGTCTATTGATCCTATTCTCCACGGATGATAAGTCCGTTAAGCATCGATTTGGGACAATTTATTTTCGGATGGCATTTTCGTAATTTCTTGGGCGACGAAAGTCCATTTTCTTTAAATATTGAAGGCTACAGATCACGGATTCGGCCTTAGGCTATTCTCCAATGATGATTGAGTCCATTAAGCACCGATTTGGGCGGATTTATTCCGGGTCAATTTTTGGCAGATTCCAAAGGGGTACCATCATAGATTTCAGGCGATTTATGCGAAATGCCATTTTCTTTCGATTCTGGAGGCTATAGATCACGGAATCAGGCCGAGGCTATTATGCACTGATAATGAAGTCTATTGATTCTATTCTCCACGGATGATAAGTCCGTTAAGTATCGATTTGGGCCAATTTATTTTCGGATGGCATTTTCGTAATTTCTTGGGCGACGAAAGTCCATTTTCTTTGAATATTGAAGGCTACAGATCCGAATTCGGCCTGAGGCTATTCTCCAACGATGATTGAGTCCATTAAACACCGATTTGGTAGGATTTATTCCGGGACAATTTTTGGCAGATTCCAAAGAGTACCATCACAGATTTCGGGCGATTTATCCGAAATGCCATTTTCTTTCGATTCTGGAGGCTATAGATCACGGAATCAGGGCGAGGCTATTATGCACCGATAATGAAGTCTATTGATTCTATTCTCCACGGATGATAAGTCCGTTAAGCATTGATTTAGGCCAATTTATTTTCGGATGGCATTTTCTTAATTTCTTAGGCGACGAAAGTCCATTTTCTTTGAATATTGCATGCTACAGATCACGGATTCGACCTGAGGCTATTCTCCAATGATGATTGAGTCCATTAAGCACCGATTTGGGCGGATTTATTCCGGGTCAATTTTTGGCAGATTCCAAAGGGGTACCATCACAGATTTCGGGCGATTTATTCGAAATGCAATTTTCTTTCAATTCTGGAGGCTACATATCACGGAATCAGGCCGAGGCTATTATCCACCGATAATGAAGTCTATTGATCCTATTCTCCACGGATGATAAGTCCTTTAAGCATCGATTTGGGCCAATTTATTTTCGGATGGCATTTTCGTAATTTCTTGGGCGACGAAAATCCATTTTCTTTGAATATTGAAGGCTACAGATCACAGATTTGCCCTGAGGCTATTCTCAAATGACGATTGAGTCCATTAAGCATCGATTTGGGAGAATTTATTCCGGGTCAATTTTTGGCAGATTCCAAAGGGGTACCATCACAGATTTCGGGCGATTTATCCTAAATGCCATTTTCTTTCGATTCTGGAGGGTACAGATCACGGAATCAGGCCGATGCTATTATCCACCGATAATGAAGTCTATTGATCCTATTCTCCACGGATGATAAGTCTGTTAAACATCGATTTGGGCCAATTTAATTTTGGATGGCATTTTCGTAATTTCGTGTACGACAAAAGTCCAATTTCTTTGAATATTGAAGGCTACAGATCACGGATTCGGCCTGAGGCTATTCTCCAACGACGATTGAGTCCATTAAGCACCGATTTGGGCGTATTTATTCCGGTTCAATTTTTGGCAGATTCCAAAGGGGTACCATCACAGATTTCACGCGATTTATCCGAAATGCCATTTTCTTTCGATTCTGGAGGGTACAGATCACGGAATCAGGTTGAGGCTATTATCCACTGATAATGAAGTCTATTGATCCTATTTTCCACGGATGATAAGTCCGTTAAGCATCGATTTGGGCCAATTTATTTTCGGATGGCATTTTTGTAATTTCTTGGGCGACAAAATTCCATTTTCTTTGAATATTGAAGGTTACAGATCCGAATTCGGCCTGAGGCTATTCTCCAACGATGATTGAGTCCATTAAGCATTGATTTGGTAGGATTTATTCCGGGTCAATTTTTGGCAGATTCCAAAGGGGTACCATCACAGATTTCAGGCGATTTATCCGAAATTCCATTTTCTTTCAATTCTGGAGGCTATAGATCACGGAATCAGGCCGAGGCTATTATGCACCGATAATGAAGTCTATTGATTCTATTCTCCACGGATGATAAGTCCGTTAAGCATCGATTTGGGCCAATTTATTTTCGGATGGCATTTTTGTAATTTCTTGGGCGACAAAATTCCATTTTCTTTGAATATTGAAGGTTATAGATCCGAATTCGGCCTGAGGCTATTCTCCAACGATGATTGAGTCCATTAAGCATTGATTTGGTAGGATTTATTCCGGGTCAATTTTTGGCAGATTCCAAAGGGGTACCATCACAGATTTCAGGCGATTTATCCGAAATTCCATTTTCTTTCAATTCTGGAGGCTATAGATCACGGAATCAGGCCGAGGCTATTATGCACCGATAATGAAGTCTATTGATTCTATTCTCCACGGATGATAAGCCCGTTAAGCATCGATTTGGGCCAATTTATTTTCGGATGACATTTTCGTAATTTCTTGGGCGACGAAAGTCCATTTTCTTTGAATATTGAAGGCTACAGATCAAGGATTCGACCTGAGGCTCTTCTCCAACGATGATTGAGTCCATTATGCACCAATTTGGGCGGATTTATTCCGGGTCAATTTTTGGCAGATTCCAAAGGGGCACCATCTCAGATTTCGGGCGATTTATCCGAAATGCAATTTTCTTTTTATTCTGGAGGCTACATATCACGGAATCAGGCCGAGGCTATTATCCACCTATAATGGAGTCTATTGATCCTATTCTCCACAGATGATAAGTCCGTTAAGCATCGATTTAGGCTAATTTATTTTCGGATGGCATTTTCGTAATTTCTAGGGCGATGAAAGTCCATTTTCTTTCAATATTGAAGGCTACAGATCACGAATTCAGCCTGAGGCTATTCTCGAACACGATTGAGTCCATTAAGCACTGATTTGGGCGGATTTATTCCGGGTTAATTTTTGGCAGATTCCAAAGGGGTACCATCACAGATTTCGGGCGATTTATCCGAAATGCCATTTTCTTTAGATTCTAGAGGCCACAGATCACGGAATTAGGTCGAGGCTATTATCCACCAATAATGAAGTCTATTAATCCTATTCTCTATGGATGATAAGTACGTTAAGCAGCGATTTGCGCCAATTTATTTTCTGATGGCATTTTCGTAATTTCTTGGGCGATGAAAGTCCATTTTCTTTGAATATTGAAGGCTACACATCACGAATTCGGCCTGAGGCTATTCTCCAACGAGTATTGAGTCCATTAAGCACTGATTTAGGCGGATTTATTCCGGGTCAATTTTTGCCAGATTCGGAAGGTTTACCATTACAAATTTCGGGCGATTTTTCAAAATGCCATTTTCTTTCGATTTTGGAGGCTACAGATCACGGACTCAGGCCGAGGCTATTATCCACCGATAATGAAGTCTATTGATCCTATTCTTCACGGATGGTAAGTCCTTTAAGCATCGATTTGGGCTACTTTATTTTCGGATGGCATTTTCGTAATTTCAAGGGCGACGAACAGATTCCAAAGGGGTACCATCACAGATTTCGGGCAATTTATCCGAAATGCCATTTTCTTTGGATTCTGGAGGCTCCAGATCACGGAATCAGGCCGAGGCTATTCTCCACCGATAATGAAGTCTATTGATCCTATTCTCCACAGATGATAAGTCCATTAAACATCGATTTGGGCCAATTTATTTTCGGATGACATTTTCGTAATTTCTTGTGCGACGAAATTCCAATTTCTTTGAATATTGAAGGCTACAGATCACGGATTCGGCCTGAGGCTATTCTCCTACGACAATTTGGGTGGATTTATTCCGGCTCAATTTTTGGCAAATTCCAAAGGGGGCACCATCACAGATTTCGGGCGATTTATCCAAAATTCCATTTTCTTTCGATTCTGGAGGGTACAGATCACGGAATCAGGTTTTCGAGCCATTTTCCGAAATGCCATTTTCTTTCGATTCTGGAGGCTACAGATCACGGAATCAGGCGAGGCTATTATCCACCGATAATGAAGTCTATTGATCCTATTCTCCACGGATGATAAGTCCGTTAAGCATCGATTTGGGCCACTTTATTTTCGGATGACATTTTCGTAATTTCAAGGGCCATGAAAGTCCATTTTCTTTGAATATTGAAAGCTACAGATCACGGATTCGCCCTGAGGCTATTCTTTAACGACGATTGTGTCCATTAAGAACCGATTTGGTCGGATTTATTCTGGGTAAATTTTTTGCAGATTCCAATGGGGTACCATCTCAGATTTCAGGCAATTTTTCCGAAATGCCATTTTCTTTCAATTCTGGAGGCTCCAGGTCACGGAATCAGTCCGAGGCTATTATCCACCGATAATGAAGTCTATTGATCCTATTCTCCACGGATGATAAGTCCTTTAAGCATCGATTTGGGCCAATTTATTTTCGGATGGCATTTTCGTAATTTCTTGGGCGACGAAAATCCATTTTCTTTGAATATTGAATGCTACAGATCACAGATTTGCCCTGAGGCTATTCTCAAATGACGATTGAGTCCATTAAGCATAGATTTGGGCAGATTTATTCCGGTTCAATTTTTTGGCAGATTCCAAAGTGGTATCATCACAGATTTCGGGCGATTTATCCGTAATGCCATTTTCTTTCTATTCTGGAAGGTACAGATCACGGAATCAGGTCGAGGCTATTATCCACTGATAATGAAGTCTATTGATCCTATTTTCCATGGATGATAAGTCCGTTTAGCATCGATTTGGGCCAATTTATTTTCGGATGACATTTTCGTAATTTCTTGGGCAACGAAAGTCCATTTTCTTTGAATATTGAAGGCTACAGATCACGGATTCGCCTTCAGGCTATTCTCCAACGACGATTAAGTCCATTAAGCATCGATTTGGGCGGATTTATTCCGGGTAAATTTTTGGCAGATTCCAAAGGGGTACCATCACAGATTTCGCGCGATTCATCCGAAATGCCATTTTCTTTCGATTCAGGAGGCTACAGATCACGGAATCAGGCCGAGGCTATTATCCACCAATAATAAAGTCTATTGATCCTATTCTCCACGGATGATAAGTCCGTTAAGCATCGATTTGGGCCAATTTATTTTCGGATGGCATTTTCGAAATTTCTTGGGCGACGAAAGTTCAATTTCTTTGAATATTGAAGGCTACAGATCCGAATTCGGCCTGAGGCTATTCTCCAACGATGATTGAGTCCATTAAGCACTGATTTAGTAGGATTTATTCCGGGTCAATTTGTGGCAGATTCCAAAGGGGTACCATCATAGATTTCGGGCGATTTATCCGAAATGCCAATTTCTTTCGATTCTGGAGGCTACATATCATGGAATCTGGTCGAGGCTATTATCCACCGATAATGAAGTCTATTGATCCTATTCTCCACGGATGATAAGTCCGTTAAGCATCGATTTTGGCAAATTTATTTTCGGATGGCATTTTCGTAATTTTTTGGGCGACGAAAATCCATTTTCTTTGAATATTGAAGGCTACAGATAACGGATTTGCCCTGAGGCTATTCTCCAATGACCATTGAGTCCATTAAGCATCGATTTGGGGGGATTTATTCCGGGTCTATTTTTGGCAGATTCCAAAGGGGTACCATCAAAGATTTCAGGAGATTTATCCGAAATGCCATTTTCTTTCAATTCTGGAGGCTTCAGATCACGGAATCAGGCCAATGCTATTATCCACCGATAATGAAGTCTATTGATCCTATTCTCCATGGATGATAAGTCCTTAAAGCATCAATTTAGACCAATTTATTTCGGATGGCATTTTCGTAATTTCTTGGGCGACGAAAGTCCAATTTCTTTGAATATTGAAGGCTACAGATCCGAATTCGGCTTGAGGCTATTCTCCAACGATGATTGAGTCCATTAAGCACTGATTTGGCAGGATTTATTCCGTGTCAATTTTTGGCAGATTCCAAAGGGGTACCGTCACAGATTTCGGGCGATTTATCCGAAAGGCCATTTTCTTTCGATTCTAGAGGCTACATATCACGAAATTTGGCCGAGGCTATTATCCACCGATAATGAAGTCTATTGATCCTATTCTCCACGGATGATAAGTCCTTTAAGCATCGATTTGGGCCAATTTATTTTTAGATGTCATTTTCGTAATTTCTTGAGCGACGAAAATCCATTTTCTTTGAATATTGAAGGCTACAGATCACAGATTTCCCCTGAGGCTATTCTCAAATGACGATTGAGTCCATTAAGCATCGATTTGAGCGAATTTATTCTGGGTCAATTTTTGGCAGATTACAAAGGGGTACCATCAAAGAATTCGGGCGATTTATCCGAAATGCCATTTTCTTTTGATTTTGGAGGGTATAGATCACGGAATCAGGTCGAGGCTATTATCCACCGATAATGAAGTCTATTGATCCTATTCTCCACGGATGATAAGTCCGTTAAACATCGATTTGGGCCAATTTATTTTCGGATGGCATTTTCGTAATTTCTTGTACGACAAAAGTCCAATTTCTTTGAATATTGAAGGCTACAGATCACGGAGTCGGCCTGAGGCAATTCTCCAACGACGATTGAGTCCATTAAGCACCGATTTGGGCGGATTTATTCCAGTTCAATTTTTTGGCAGATTCCAAAGGGGTACCATCACAGATTTCACGCGATTTATCCGAAATGCCATTTTCTTTCGATTCTGGAGGGTACAGATCACGAAATCAGGTCGAGGCTTTTATCCACTGATAATGAAGTCTATTGATCTTATTTTCCAGGGATGATAAGTCCGTTAAGCATCGATTTGGGCTAATTTATTTTCGGATGGCATTTTCGTAATTCCTTGGGCGACGAAAGTCCATTTTCTTTGAATATTGAAGGCTACAGATCACGGATTCGGCCTGAGATTATTCTCAAACGACGATTGAGTCTATTAAGCACCGATTTGGGGGGATTTATTCTGGGTCAATTTTTGGCAGATTCCAAAGGGGGACCATCACAGATTTCATGCAATTTATCCGAAATGCCATTTTCTTTCGATTCTGGAGGCTATAGATCACGGAATCAGGTCGAGGCTATTATCCACCGATAATGAAGCCTATTGATCCTATTCTCCACGGATGATAAGTCCGTTAAGCATCGATTTGGGCCAATTTATTTTCGGATGGCATTTTCGTAATTTCATGGGCAACGAAAGTCCATTTTCTTTGAATATTGAAGGCTATAGATCACGGATTCGCCCTAAGGCTATTCTCCAATGACGATTAAGTCCATTAAGCATCGATTTGGGCGGATTTATTCCGGGTCAATTTTTGGCAGATTCCAAAGGGGTACCATCACAGATTTCGGGCGATTTATCCGAAATGCCATTTTCTTTCGATTCTGGAGGCTACATATCACGAAATCTGGCCGAGGCTATTATCCACCGATAATGAAGTCTATTGATCCTATTCTCCACGGATGATAAGTCCGTTAAACATCGATTTGGGCCAAATTATTTTCGGATGGCATTTTCGTAATTTCTTGTGCGACGATATTCTAATTTCTTTGAATATTGAAGGCTACAAATCACGGATTCGGCCTGAGGCTATTCTCCAACGACGATTGAGTCCATTAAACACCGATTTGGGTGGATTTATTCCGGGTCAATTTATGGCAGATTCCAAAGGGGTACCATGACAGATTTCAGGCGATTTATCCGAAATTCCATTTTCTTTCGATTCTGGAGGGTACAGATCACAGAATCAGGTCGAGGCTATTATCCACTGATAATGAATTTTATTGATACTATTCTCCACGGATGATAAGTCCGTTAAGCATCGATTTGGGCCAATTTATTTTCGGATGGCATTTTCGTAATTTCTTGCGCGACGAAAGTCCATTTTCTTTGAATATTGAAAGCTACAGATCCGAATTCGGCATGAGGCTATTCTCCAACGATGATTGAGTCCATTAAGCACCGATTTGGTAGGATTTATTCCGGTTCAATTTTTGGCAGATTCCAAAGGGGTACCATCACAGATTTCAGGCGATTTATCCGAAATGCCATTTTCTTTTGATTCTGGAGGCTACAGATCACAGAATCAAGCTGAGGCTATTACCCACCGATAATGAAGTCTGTTGATCCTATTCTCCACGGATGATAAGTCCGTTAAGCATCGATTTGGGCCACTTTATTTTTGGATGGCATTTTCGTAATTTCAAGGGCGGCGAAAATCCATTTTCTTTGAATATTGAAGGCTACAGATGACGGATTCGCCCTGAGGCTATTCTTCAACGACGATTGAGTCCATTAAGCACCGATTTGTTCGGATTTATTCTGGGTAAATTTTTTGCAGATTCCAAAGGGGTACCATCTCAGAATTCGGGCAATTTATCCGAAATGCCATTTTCTTTCGATTCTGGAGGCTCCTGGTCACGGAATCAGGCCGAGGCTATTATCCACCAATTATGAAGTCTATTGATCCTATTCTCCATGGATGATAAGTCCTTTAAGCATCGATTTGGGCCAATTTATTTTATGATGGCATTTTCGTAATTTCTTGGGCGACGAAAATCCATTTTCTTGGATATTGAAGGCTACAGATCACAGATTTGCCCTGAGGCTATTCTCAAATGACGATTGAGTCCATTAAGCATCGATTTGGGCGTATTTATTGCCGGTCAATTTTTGGCAGATTCCAAAGGGGTACCGTCACAGATTTCGGGCGATTTATCCGAAATGCCATTTTCTTTCGATTCTGGAGGGTACAGATCACGGAATCAGGCCGAGGCTATTATCCACCGATAATGAAGTCTATTGATACTATTCTCCACTGATGATAAGTCCGTTAAACATCGATTTGGGCCAATTTATTTTCGGATGGCATTTTCGTAATTTCTTGTACCACTAAAGTCCAATTTCTTTGAATATTGAAGGCTACATATCACGGATTCAGCCTGAGGATATTCTCCAACGATGATTGAGTCCATTAAGCACCGATTTGGGCGGATTATTCCGGTTCAATTTTTTGGCAGATTCCAAAGGGGTACAATCACAGATTTCAGGCGATTTATCCGAAATGCCATTTTCTTTCGATTCTAGAGGGTACAGATCACGGAATCAGGTCGAGACTATTATCCACTGATAATGAAGTGTATTGATCCTATTTTCCACGGATGATAAGTCCGTTAAGCATTGATTTGGGCCAATTTATTTTCGGATGGCATTTTCATAATTTCTTGGGCGACGAAAGTCCATTTTCTTTGAATATTAAGGGCTACAGATCACGGATTCGGCCTTAGGCTATTCTCCAACTACGATTGAGTCCATTAAGAACCGATTTGGGCAGATTTATTTCGGGTCAGTTTTTGGCAGATTCCAAAGGAGTACCATCACAGATTTCATGCGATTTATCCAAAATGTCATTTTCTTTCGATTCTGGAGGCTATAGATCACGGAATCAGGTTGAGGCTATTATCCACCGATAATGAAGTCAATTGATCCTATTCTCCACGGATGATAAGTCCGTTAAGCACCGATTTGGGCCAATTTATTTTCGGATGGCATTTTCGTAATTTCTTGGGCGACGAAAGTCCAATTTTTTTGAATATTGAAGGCTACAGATCCGAATTCGGCCTGAGGCTATTCTCCAACGATGATTGAGTCCATTAAGTACTGATTTGGGCGGATTTATTCCGGGTCAATTTTTGGCAGATTCCAAAGGGGTATCATCACAGATTTCAGGCGATTTCTCCGAAATGCCATTTTCTTTCGATTCTGGAGGGTTCAGATCACGGAATCAGGCCGAGGCTATTACCCACCGATAATGAAGTGTATTGATCCTATTCTCCACGGATGATAAGTCCATTAAACATCGATTTGGGCCAATTTATTTTAAGATGGCATTTTCGTAATTTCTTGTACGACAAAAGTCCAAATTCTTTGAATATTGAAGGCTACAGATCATAGATTCGGCCAAAGGCTATTCTGCAACGACGATTGAGTCCATTAAGCACCGACTTGGGCGGATTTATTCCGGGTCAATTTTTGGCAGATTCCAAAGGGGTACCATCACAGATTTCGGGCGATTTATCCGAAATGCAATTTTCTTTCAATTCAAGAGGCTACATATCACGGAATCAGGCCGAGGCTATTATCCACCGATAATGAAGTCTATTGATCCTATTCTCCACGGATGATTAGTCCTTTAAGCATCGATTTGGGCCAATTTATTTTCGGATGGAATTTTCGTAATTTCTTGGGCGACGAAAATCCATTTTCTTTGAATATTGAAGGCTACAGATCACAGATTTGCCCTGAGGCTATTATCAAATGACGATTGAGTCCATTAAGCATCGATTTGAGCGAATTTATTCCGGGTCAATTTTTGGCAGATTCCAAAGGGGTACCATCACAAAATTCGGGCGATTTATCCGAAATGCCATTTTCTTTCGATTCTGGAGGGTACAGATCACGGAATCTGGTCGAGGCTAATATCCACCGATAATGAAGTCTATTGATCCTATTCTCCACGGATGATAAGTTCGTTAAACATTGATTTGGGCCAATTTATTTTCGGATGGCATTTTTATAATTTTTGTACGACAAAAGTCCAATTTCTTTGAATATTGAAGGCTACAGATCACGGATTCGGCCTGAGGCTATTCTCCAACGACGATTGAGTCCATTAAGCATCGATTTGGGCGGATTTATTTCGGTTCAATTTTTTGGCAGATTCCAAAGGGGTACCATCACAGATTTCACGCGATTTATCCGTAATCCCATTTTCTTTCGATTCTGGAGGGTACAGATCACGGAATCAGGTCGAGGCTATTATCCACTGATAATGAAGTCTATTGATCCTATTTTCCACGGATGATAAGTCCGTTAAGCATAAATTTGGGCCAATTTATTTTCGGATGGCATTTTCGTAATTTCTTGGGCGACGAAAGTCCATTTTCTTTGAATATTGAAGGTTACAGATCACGGATTCGGCCTGAGACTATTCTCCAACGACGATTGAGTCCATTAAGCACCGATTTGGGCGGATTTATTCTGGGTCAATTTTTGGCAGATTCCAAAGGGGTACCATCACAGATTTCATGCGATTTATCCGAAATCCCATTTTCTTTCGATTCTGGAGGCTATAGATCATGGAATCAGGTCGAGGCTATTATCCACCGATAATGAAGTCTATTGATCTTATTCTCCACGGATGATAAGTCCGTTAAGCATCGATTTGGGCCAATTTATTTTCGGATGGCATTTTCGTAATTTCTTGGGCAACAAAAGTCCATTTTCTTTGAATATTGAAGGCTACAGATCACGGATTCGCCTTGAGGCTATTCTCCAACGACGATTAAGTCCATTAAGCATCGATTTGGGCGGATTTATTCCGGGTCAATTTTTGGCAGATTCCAAAGGGGTACCATCACAGATTTCGGGCGATTTATCCGAATTGCCATTTTCTTTCGATTCAGGAGGCTACAGATCACGTAATCAGGCCGAGGCTATTATCCACCAATAATAAAGTCTATTGATCCTATTCTCCACGGATGATAAGTCCGTTAAGCATCGATTTGGGCCAATTTATTTTCGGATGGCATTTTCGTAATTTCTTGGGCGACGAAAGTCCAATTTCTTTGAATATTGAAGGCTACATATCCGAATTCGGCCTGAAGCTATTCTCCAACGATGATTGAGTCCATTAAGCACTGATTTGGTTGGATTTACTCCGTGTCAATTTTCGGCAGATTCCAAAGGGGTACCATCACAGATTTCGGGCGATTTATCCGAAATGCCAATTTCTTTAGATTCTGGAGGCTACATATCATGGAATCTGGCCGAGGCTATTATCCACCGATAATGAAGTCTATTGATCCTATTCTCCACGGATGATAAGTCCTTTAAGCATCGATTTGGGCCAATTTATTTTCGGATGGCATTTTCGTAATCTCTTGGGCGACGAAAATCCATTTTCTTTGAATATTGAAGGCTACAGATCACAGATTTGCCATGAGGCTATTCTCAAATGACGATTGAGTCCATTAAGCATCAATTTGGGCGGATTTATTCCGGGTCTATTTTTGGCAGATTCCAAAGGGGTACCATCACAGATTTCGGGCGATTTATCCGAAATGCAATTTTCTTTCAATTCAAGAGGCTACATATCACGGAATCAGGCCGAGGCTATTATCCACCGATAATGAAGTCTATTGATCCTATTCTCCACGGATGATTAGTCCTTTAAGCATCGATTTGGGCCAATTTATTTTCGGATGGCATTTTCGTAATTTCTTGGGCGACGAAAATCCATTTTCTTTGAATATTGAAGGCTACAGATCACAGATTTGCCATGAGGCTATTCTCAAATGACGATTGAGTCCATTAAGCATCAATTTGGGCGGATTTATTCCGGGTCTATTTTTGGCAGATTCCAAAGGGGTACAATCACAGATTTCAGGCGATTTATCCGAAATGCCATTTTCTTTCGATTCTGGAGGCTTCAGATCACGGAATCAGGCCGATGCTATTATCCACCGATAATGAAGTCTATTGATCCTATTCTCCATGGATGATAAGTCCATAAAGCATCAATTTAGACCAATTTATTTCGGATGGCATTTTCGTAATTTCTTGGACGACGAAAGTCCAATTTCTTTGAATATTGAAGGCTACAGATCCGAATTCGGCCTGAGGCTATTCTCCAACGACGATTGATACCATTAAGCACCGATTTGGGCGGATATATTCCGGTTCAATTTTTGGCAGATTCCAAAGGGGTACCATCACAGATTTCACGCGATTTATCCGAAATGCCATTTTTTTCGATTCTGGAGGGTACAGATCACAGAATCTGGCCGAGGCTATTATCCACCAATAATGAAGTCTATTGATCCTATTCTCCACGGATGATAAGTCCGTTAAGCATCGATTTGGGCCAATTTATTTTCGGATGACATTTTCGTAATTTCTTGGGCGATGAAAGTCCATTTTCTTTGAATATTGAAGGCTACAGATCACGAATTCGGCCTGAGGCTATTCTCGAACGACGATTGAGTCCATTAAGCACTGATTTAAGTGGATTTATGCCGGGTTAATTTTTGGCAGATTCCAAAGGGATACCATCACAGATTTCAGGCGATTTATCCGTAATGCCATTTTCTTTCGATTCTGGAGGCCACAGATCACGGAATTAGGTCGAGGCTATTATCCACCGATGATGAAGTCTATTAATCCTATTCTCTACGGATGATAAGTATGTTAAGCATCGATTTGGAACAATTTATTTTCTGATGGCATTTTCATAATTTCTTGGGCGATGAAAGTCCATTTTCTTTGAATATTGAAGGCTACAGACCACGGATTCGGCCTGAGGCTATTCTCCAACGAGTATTGAGTACATTAAGCACTGATTTGGGCGGATTTATTCCGAGTCAATTTTTGGCAGATTCCAAAGGGGTACCAACAGTGATTTCGGGCAATTTATCCGAAATGCCATTTTCTTTCGATTCTGGAGGGTATAGATCACGGAATCAGGTTTTCGAGCGATTTTCCGAAATGCCATTTTCTTTCGATTCTGGAGGCTACAGATCACGGAATCAGGCCGAGGCTATTATCCACCGATAATGAAGTCTATTGATCCTATTCTCCACGGATGATAAGTCCGTTAAGCATCGATTTGGGCCACTTTATTTTCGGATGGCATTTTTGTAATTTCAAGGGCGACGAAAGTCCATTTTCTTTGAATATTGAAGGCTACAGATCACGGATTCGCCATGAGGCTATTCTTCAACGACGATTGAGTCCATTAAGCACCGATTTGTTCGGATTTATTCTGGGTAAATTTTTTGCAGATTCCAATGGGGGTACCATCTCAGATTTCGGGCAATTTATCCGAAATGCCATTTTCTTTCGATTTTGGAGGCTCCAAGTCACGGAATCAGGCCGCGGCTATTATCCACCGATAATGAAGTCTATTGATCCTATTCTCCACGGATGATAAGTCCTTTAAGCATCGATTTGGGCCAATTTATTTTCGGATGGCATTTTCATAATTTCTTGGGCGACGAAAATCCATTTTCTTTGAATATTGAAGGCTACAAATCACAGATTTACCCTGAGGCTATTATCAAATGACGATTGAGTCCATTAAGCATCGATTTGAGCGAATTTATTCCGGGTCAATTTTTGGCAAATTCCAAAGGGGTACCATCACAGAATTTGGGCGATTTATCCGAAATGCCATTTTCTTTCGATTCTGGAGGGTACAGATCACGGAATCAGGTCGAGGCTAATATCCACCGATAATGAAGTCTATTGATCCTATTCTCCACGGATGATAAGTTCGTTAAACATCGATTTGGGCCAATTAATTTTCGGATGGCATTTTTGTAATTTTTGTACGACAAAAGTCCAATTTCTTTGAATATTGAAGGCTACAGATCACGGATTCGGCCTGAGGCTATTCTCCAACGACGATTGAGTCCATTAAGCATCGATTTGGGCGGATTTATTTCGGTTCAATTTTTTGGCAGATTCCAAAGGGGTACCATCACAGATTTCACGCGATTTATCCGTAATGCCATTTTCTTTCGATTCTGGAGGGTACAGATCACGGAATCAGGTGGAGGCTATTATCCACTGATAATGAAGTCTATTGATCCTATTTTCCACGGATGATAAGTCCGTTAAGCATAAATTTGGGCCAATTTATTTTTGGATGGCATTTTCGTAATTTCTTGGGCGACGAAAGTCCATTTTCTTTGAATATTGAAGGTTACAGATCACGGATTCGGCCTGAGACTATTCTCCAAGGACGATTGAGTCCATTAAGCACCGATTTGGGCGGATTTATTCTGGGTCAATTTTTGGCAGATTCCAAAGGGGTACCATCACAGATTTCATGCGATTTATTCGAAATCCCATTTTCTTTCGATTCTGGAGGCTATAGATCACGGAATCAGGTCGAGGCTATTAGCCACCGATAATGAAGTCTATTGATCTTATTCTCCACGGATGATAAGTCCGTTAAGCATCGATTTGGGCCAATTTATTTTCGGATGGCATTTTCGTAATTTCTTGGGCAACGAAAGTCCATTTTCTTTGAATATTGAAGGCTACATATCACGGATTCGCCTTGAGGCTATTCTCCAACGACGATTAAGTCCATTAAGCATCGATTTGGGCGGATTTATTCCGGGTCAATTTTTGGCAGATTCCAAAGGGGTACCATCACAGATTTCGGGCGATTTATCAGAAATGCCATTTTCTTTCGATTCAGGAGGCTACAGATCACGTAATCAGGCCGAGGCTATTATCCACCGAAAATAAAACTATTGATCCTATTCTCCACGGATGATAAGTCCGTTAAGCATCGATTTGGGCCAATTTATTTTCGGATGGCATTTTCGTAATTTCTTGGGCGACGAAAGTCCAATTTCTTTGAATATTGAAGGCTACATATCCGAATTCGGCCTGAGGCTATTCTCCAACGATGATTGAGTCCATTAAGAACTGATTTGGTAGGATTTATTCCGTGTCAATTTTCGGCAGATTCCAAAGGGGTACCATAACAGATTTCGGGCGATTTATCCGAAATGCCAATTTCTTTCGATTCTGGAGGCTACATATCATGGAATCTGGCCGAGGCTATTATCCACCGATAATGAAGTCTATTGATCCTATTCTCCACGGATGATAAGTCCGTTAAGCATCGATTTGGGCAAATTTTATTTCGGATGGCATTTTCGTAATTTCTTGGGCGACGAAAATCCATTTTCTTTGAATATTGAAGGCTACAGAGAACGGATTTGCCCTGAGGCTATTCTCCAATAACCATTGAGTCCATTAAGCATCGATTTGGGCGGATTTATTCCGGGTCAATTTTTGGCAGATTCCAAAGGGGTACCATCACAGATTTCGGGCGATTTATCCGAAATGCAATTTTCTTTCAATTCAAGAGGCTACATATCACGGAATCAGGCCGAGGCTATTATCCACCGATAATGAAGTCTATTGATCCTATTCTCCACGGATGATTAGTCCTTTAAGCATCGATTTGAGCCAATTTATTTTCGGATGGCATTTTCGTAATTTCTTGGGCGACGAAAATCAATTTTCTTTGAATATTGAAGGCTACAGATCACAGATTTGCCCTGAGGCTATTCTCAAATGACGATTGAATCCATTAAGCATCAATTTGGGCGGATTTATTCCGGGTCTATTTTTGGCAGATTCCAAAGGGGTACAATCACAGATTTCAGGCGATTTATCCGAAATGCCATTTTCTTTCGATTCTGGAGGCTTCAGATCACGGAATCAGGCCGATGCTATTATCCACCGATAATGAAGTCTATTGATCCTATTCTCCATGGATGATAAGTCCATAGAGCATCAATTTAGACCAATTTATTTCGGATGGCATTTTCGTAATTTCTTGGACGACGAAAGTCCAATTTCTTTGAATATTGAAGGCTACAGATCCGAATTCGGCCTGAGGCTATTCTCCAACGATGATTGAGTCCATTAAGCACTGATTTGGGCGGATTTATTCCGGGTCAATTTTTGGCAGATTCCAAAGGGGTACCACCACAGATTTCGGGCGATTTATCCGAAATACCATTTTCTTTCGATTCTGGAGGGTTCAGATCACGGAACCAGGCCGAGGCTATTATCCACCGATAATGAAGTCTATTGATCCTATTCTCCACGGATAATAAGTCCTTTAAGCATCGATTTGGGCCAATTTATTTTTGGATGGCATTTTCGTAATTTCTTGGGCCACGAGAATCCATTTTCTTTGAATATTGAAGGCTACAGATCACAAATTTGCCCTGAGGCTATTCTCAAATGACGATTGAGTCCATTATGCATCGATTTGAGCGCATTTATTCCGGGTCAATTTTTGGCAGATTCCAAATGGGTACAATCAAAGAATTCGGGCGATTTATCCGAAATGCCATTTTCTTTCGATTCTGGAGGGTATAGATCACGGAATCAGGTCGATGCTATTATCCACTGATAATGAATTCTATTGATCCTATTCTCCACGGATGATAAGTCCGTTAAACATCGATTTGGGCCAATTTATTTTTGGATGGCATTTTCGTAATTTCTTGTACGACAAAAGTCCAATTTCTTTGAATATTGAAGGCTACAGATCAATGATTCGGCCTGAGGCTATTCTGGAACGAGGATTGAGTCCATTTAGCACCAATTTGGGCGGATTTATTCCGGTTCAATTTTTGGCAGATTCCAAAGAGGTACCATCACAGATTTCACGCGATTTATCCGAAATGCCATTTTCTTTCGATTCTGGAGGGTACAGATCACGGAATCAGGTCGAGGCTATTATCCACTGATAATGAAGTCAATTGATCCTATTTTCCACGGATGATAGGTCCGTTAAGCATCGATTTGGGCCAATTTATTTTCGGATGGCATTTTCGTAATTTCTATGGAGACGAAAGTCCATTTTCTTTGAATATTGAAGGCTACAGATCACGGATTTGGCATGAGGCTATTCTCCAACGACGATTGAGTCCATTAAGCACCGATTTTGGCGGATTTATTCCGGGTCAATTTTTGGCAGATTCCAAAGGGGTACCATCACAGATTTCATGCGATTTATCCGAAATGCCATTTTCTTTCGTTTCTGGAGGCTATAGATCACGGAATCAGGTCGAGGCTATTATCCACCGATAATGAAGTCTATTGATCCTATTCTCCACGGTTGATAAGTCCGTTAAGCATCGATTTGGGCCAATTTATTTCCGGATGGCATTTTCGTAATTTCTTGGGCAACGAAAGTCCATTTTCTTTGAATATTGAAGGCTACAGATCACGGATTCGCCCTGAGGCTATTCTCCAACGACGATTAAGTCCATTAAGCTTCGATTTGGGCGGATTTATTCCGGGTCAATTTTTGGCAGATTCCAAAGGGGTACCATCACAGATTTCGGGCGATTTATCCGAAATGCCATTTTCTTTCGATTCTGGAGGCTACAGATCACGGAATAAGGCCGAGGCTATTATCCACCGATAATAAAGTCTATTGATCCTATTCTCTACGGATGATAAGTCCATTAAGCATCGATTTGGGCCAATTTATTTTCGGATGGCATTTTCCTAATTTCTTGGGCGACGAAAGTCCAATTTCTTTGAATATTGAAGGCTACAGATCCGAATTCAGCCTGAGGCTATTCTCCAACGATGATTGAGTCCATTAAGCACTTATCTGGTAGGATTTATTCCGGGTCAATTTTTGGCAGATTCCAAACGGTACCATTGTTGGGAATTTTGGAACGAGGGTATACGTACGATAGCCCGAGACCGGGTGACTAGGATTATGATAGAGTCGTGAACTACGTTCACTTTCCAAAAAGAATATTTCCACCCTCAACAAGCCTAGGGTTACAGGAAATTTCTCCCGAGGATAAAACTATCACCACTTTAGGTTCCAGGCTCAAGAACACTAAAGTATACTTAGAAATTTTTGGAAGAAAGAAGAAGAATATGTTTGATGGTATGTGGCACCATCCACCCCACCCATATATTTATAGGTGCCGAATCCATGCATTGTTTCATGAAAGGTTGCCTTTATCCATACGAAAGGTTGCCTTTATCCATATGAAAGGTTATCCTTATCCATATGAAGGGTTGCTTCTATCCATAAGGTTATCCTTATCCATAAAATAAAGCAACCGCCACTAGGCCAAAGGGATATGTCCCTTCACGGAATTAGAATATCGGTTCGGTCGGTCTAATCCCAAACCGGTTGGTCGGTCCAACCCAAAACCGGTTTGACTTGGTTAGTCCGGTTCAACCAAATTTCCAACATTCCTCCCCCATTTTAGTGTATTATTGGAATTCACTAAAATCACAACATTCTTCCAACAAAACTTAAGCCTAAATGAAAATGTCATGACGATTGAATTTTCACCTTAGTATATTACACTGACGAATACTCGAATACAAAGGGTGTCGGTAACGATTGAACCCACTAACTCATATGAATAATTGAAGATAATATACACTTAAGTTTTCAAAACTTCTAAGTGCCTTGACACTATTATCCGCCATGTGTCCAATCCTTCTCATAAGCGCACACGAAACCAAATTCCGGGTTTCTTGAAGCGGCTACACTTCATGCTTACGTAGGTTGAATCTCTATTCATGTACCCGCATAATACACTTTTTCAAAGATTCAATTAAGAAGTTTTGAACTTCATCCTCTTCTCTCATGCAGATAACAAGCACATACCTCGGGATGACAAATTTTGTGCTTCAATTTCTGATAATAAGCTTTCCACATTGAATTCAGCCTCTAACGTTGTATTAGAGGGGAATTGGGTGTCCCATTACCAGAAATTATATGGACTTTAATCTATCCCTTTCACAGACTTAATCACCAAGTCACTAGTTAACCACTTCGTCAAATGCTCAACCAAATTAATTTGAGTTTGGTCATACTGTCTAGACACAACACTATGAATGATCAGTTCACAGCTTTTACCGTGCCATACTCCCACATGACTGTACTTATCATTTTCACTTGACTATATGCCTTAGCCAAATTAGCATTACTATCACAAAAGATAGTAATAGGTGAGTGACTTGACTCTACTGTCACCCTAGGAATTGGCCAAGTGAAACCACTTCCTAAAGCGTAGTATAGCGGGTTAGGTTTATATGTCAACCCGGGTCCTAGATTTGATGACTACTCAGTGAATTCTTGTTATCTAGCAATGAAACTGGAATGCAAGTCTAAACTACCAAACAAACAAAGCAAGTAAACTGTTGTATTCAGGTTAAGAGAGGTCACCCGGATATGGTTCCCCCTAGACTGCAGTTAAGCCGGATTGTAATTACCAAGTTCAGTTTCTATGATGGTTATACTGCGGAAGGTTCTTAACCAGCTTGAAGTCTCGACTAAAGGTCTTCAGACCCTCTCAATCTGACTCTCTAGCGGGCGACTAACCTCCACCGGAGTAGACAGATTGAGGCCCTAAGAACAAAACCTCCACTACCGGAGTAAATCCGGTACAGAATAGTGAGTTGGCTCCTCGACTAAAGTCACCAACTCCCTACCTTCAATCAAGGATACTCTATTAACCTAGGCAGATATTCTCATTCTAGGTTAAAGCAGAAACAACAGGAATTTGATCAGGATTCAAGTCATTCAATCATTAAAACCTCAATTGAATATAATCAATCATAGAATCAGTACTTGGGTTCATACAATCAAAGCCTAACATACAAATCTAGGGTTCTCCATACCCAGATGAATGGGAGAACTACTCCATGGAGAAGAAAGCAAAAGCAGAATCAGACACGGAATTCATACTGCGAAGGACGGATTCCGGCTCCTGGACGTTGATTGGCACTTCTCCAAGCTCAAGCTGGCCTCCAATGGTGTTGAAGATCAATCTAGGGCACTTGGGAATTCTTGCTCGTCACTTTCTCTCTCTAGGAATCGCTCTCTTTCTAAAAAACCCGAATCTCCTCGAATTGTGTTTGAAAATCTGCTTAAAAGGAGAAAATCCCGACTCACACGGCCAGGGTGGCACGGCCGTGCAGCTCACCCAGTTGCCCGTGTCAGTCAAAACGCTGCGTTCCAATTAGTTCGAATTCCAGGCTCTTTGCACAGCCAGGGTGGCACGGCCGTGTGATCTTCCCTTCCTGCCCGTGTCTGCTCTCGCAGAATGTGGCACGGCCAAACTGGTCACAAACACGGCCGTGTGGGTTGTCTGTTCTGCCCGTGTCTGCTCTCGCACAATCCCACACGGCCAGACCGGCCACTTGCACGGCCGTGTGAACATCAGGGCAGCCCGTGTGACCTCCTTTGTGACTTGTCTCTCGCCCGATCTTCGCCCAATCGACCCCGAACTCGCTCCTAAACCTTCATTCACTTGCCAGGACCTGAAATATCACAAACAAGTACAACCTAGCGTGAAATCGGTCTAAAACACGAGAAACCACATCTCAAACGGTGTAAGAACAGGGGTGAAAACATGTGTAACTAACGGTCTATCAGTGAGATTGGTTTAGGCCATAAATATATGTCATAAACCAAACCTCTCAACAATTATGTCTCTTCTCTAAGAGAAATCAAGGCCACACAAACTTTGATTCCATAGTGAAACTTAGTGATGCAAGTTTACTTTCTAGAGGCCCAAATTATGGCACCTCTCCCAAGCAAGAGGATCCATCTCAATGTTGAAGTATCACCTTTAAAACGAGAAATCCAACTAACATCAACAAATCCTTTCCAAAATTGATGGAAATCCATTATAAGTCAATACAGTGTGCCTTTGACATATCCTAGTACACGCCTCATTTCATTTCAAATGATGAGAACTAGGATTCATCACGTACCAACTTAATTGTTCTATCGCATATGCGATATCTAGCATCATGTAAGTCATGCATACATCTCCAGTTGTAAAACTGATTTCCAGTATTAACCATAAGTTCCATACTTGGATCCATTGGGGTCTTTAACTCACTACAATTCCTACTATGGAATTTATGCAAGTACCTTCTCATGCAGAAAAATTGAGAGAAGGACTCTTCTTTGTCGTTCCGCTTGATTCAATACACAGAATCACATTTGCCTCCCCCATGTCCTACATGGAGAATTGAAATAACAAATTTTTATCAAAGTTCACTTATCTTTTATTGGCTCCAAAGATAAGCATGTCTTATACATACAAATGTACGATGACTTCATTACCAGAATCATCATAAATTGTGTACACATTTTGTCTCTTTGGTTTAAAATAACATAAACCACTTGACAAAATCACTTATCTTTAATTGGTTCCAAAGATAAATATGTCATCTACATACAAACAAGAATCGATTACCAGAATCATCAAACATTGTATATACAATTTTGTCTCCTTGGTTTAAAATAACATAAACCACTAGACAAAATCAAACCACCAAACCACTAGACAAATTCAAATTTATCTAGAATTTCGTAAATGTCGAATAGAGAATTAGACTAATTAACCCTTGAGTATGTAACCTACACAAAGGCAATTGTCATTCTTCTATTTCTCCATTTTTACGAATCATTCTCCTTCTTCCTCATCTTCGAATCATCCCTCTTCCAAGTTACCTTCCGGATATAGAATACACCATGAGACGAGTACGAAGAAAACCCATCTTCTACTGCCATCGATGAAAAACCCATCATCGAAAATTCTCATAATTCCATAGACCGGAACCAGTTTCTAGTAAAGAGCGGTTCGAGCCATCGTACCGGAAATTATTCTTTTCGATTGTTGGGAATTTTGGGACGAGGGTATACGTACGATAGCCCGATACCGGGTGACAAGGATTATGTTAGAGTCGTGAACTACGTTCACTTTCCGAAAAGAATATTTCCACCCTCAACAAGCCTAGGGTTACAGGAAATTTCTCCCGAGGATAAAACTATCACCACTTTAGGTTCCAAGCTCAAGAACACTAAAGTATACTTAGAAATTTTTGGAAGAAAGAAGAAGAATATGTTTGATGGTATGTGGCACCATCCACTCCACCCATATATTTATAGGGGCCGAATCCATGCATTGTTATACGAAAGGTTGCCTTTATCCATACGAAAGGTTGCCTTTATCCATATGAAAGGTTGCCTCTATCCATATGAAAGGTTATCCTTATCCATATGAAGGGTTGCTTCTATCCATAAGGTTATCCTTATCCATAAAATAAAGCAACCGCCACTAGGCCAAAGGGATATGTCCCTTCACGGAATTAGAATATCGGTTCGGTCGGTCTAATCCCAAACCAGTTGGTCGGTCCAACCCAAAACCGGTTTGACTTGGTTAGTCCGGTTCAACCAAATTTCCAACAACCATCACAGATTTCGGGCGATTTATCTGAAATGCCAATTTCTTTCGATTGTGGAGGCTACATATCACAGAATCTGGCCGAGGCTACTATCCACCGATAATGAAGTCTATTGATCCTATTCTCCACGGATGATAAGTCCGTTAAGCATCGATTTGCGCAAATTTATTTTTGGATGGCATTTTCGTAATTTCTTGGCCGACGAAAATCCATATTTTTTGAATATTGAAGGCTACAGATAACGGATTTGCCCTGAGGCTATTCTCCAATGACCATTGAGTCCATTAAGCATCGATTTGGGCGGATTTATTCCGGGTCTATTTTTGGCTGATTCCAAAGGGGTACCATCACAGATTTCGGGCGATTTATCCGAAATGCCATTTTTTTCGATTCTGGAGGCTTCAGATCACGGAATCAGGCCGATGCTATTATCCACCGATAATGAAGTCTATTGATCCTATTCTCCACGGATGATAGGTCCATAAAGCATCAATTTAGACCAATTTATTTCGGATGGCATTTTCGCAATTTCTTGGGCGACGAAAGCCCAATTTCTTTGAATATGGAAGGCTACAGATCCGAATTCGGCCTGAGGCTATTCTCCAACGATGATTGAGTCCATTAAGCACTGATTTGGTAGGATTTATTCCGGGTCGATTTTTGGCAGATTCCAAAGGGGTACCATCACAGATTTCGGGCGATTTATCCGAAATGCCATTTTCTTTCGATTCTGGAGGCTACTTATCACGGAATCTGGCCGAGGCTATTATCCACCGATAATGAAGTCTATTGATCCTATTCTCCACGGATGATAAGTCCGTTAAACATCGAGTTGGGCCAAATTATTTTCGGATGGCAATTTCGTAATTTCTTGTGCGACGAAATTCCAATTTCTTTGAATATTGAAGGCTACAGATCACGGATTCGGCCTGAGGCTATTCTCCAACGACGATTGAGTCCATTAAGCACCGATTTGGGTGGATTTATTCCGGGTCAATTTTTGGCAGATTCCAAAGGGGTACCATCACGGATTTTACGCGATTTATCCGAAATGCCATTTTCATTCGATTCTGGAGGGTACAGATCACGGAATAAGCCCGAGGCTATTATCCACAGATAATAAAGTCTATTTATCCTATTCTCCACGGATGTTAAATCCGTTAAGCATCAATTTGGGCCAATTTATTTTTGGATGGCATTTTCGTAATTTCTTGGCAAACGAAAGTCCAATTTCTTTGAATATTAAAGGCTACAGATATGAATTCGGCCTGAGGCTATTCTCCAACGATGATTGTGTCCATTAAGGACCGATTTGGTAGGATTTATTCCGGGTCAATTTTTGGCAGTTTCCAAAAGGGTACCATCAGAGATTTCGGGCGATTTATCCGAAATGCCATTTTCTTTCGATTCTGAAGGCTATATATCACGGAATCACGACGAGGCTATTATCCAGCGATAATGAAGTCTATTGATCCTATTCTCCACGGATGATAAGTCCGTTAAGCATCAATTAGGGCCAATTTATTTTCGGATGACATTTTCGTAATTTCTTGGGCGACGAAAGTCCATTTTCTATGAATATTGAAGGCTACAGATCATGGATTCGCCCTGAGGCTATTCTCCAACGACGATTGAGTCCATTAAGAATCGATTTGGGAGGATTTATTCCGGGTCAATTTTTGGCAGATTCCAAAGGGGTACCATCACAGATTTCACGCGATTTATCCGAAATGGAATTTTCTTTCGATTCTGGAGACTACAGTTCACGGAATCAGGCCGAGGCTATTATCCACCGATAATAAAGTCTATTGATCCTATTTTCCACGAATGATAAGTCCGTTAAGCATCGATTTGGGCCAATTTATTTTCGGATGTCATTTTCGTAATTTCTTGGGCGACGAAAGTCCAATTTATTTGAATATTGAAGGCTACAGATCCGAATTCGGCCTGAGGCTATTCTACAACGATGATTGAGTCCATTAAGCACTGATTTGGTAGGATTTATTCCGGGTCTATTTTTGGCATATTCCAAAGGGGTACCATCACAGATTTCGGGCGATTTATCCGAAATGCCATTTTCTTTCGATTCTGGAGGCTAAATATCACAGAATCAGGCCGAGGCTATTATCCACCGATAATGAAGTCTATTGATCCTATTCTCCACGGATGATAAGTTCGTTAAGCATCGATTTGGGCCAATTTATTTTCGGATGGCATTTTCGTAATTTCTTGGGCGACGAAAGTCCATTTTCTTTGAATATTACAGGCTACAGATCTGAATTCGGCCTGAGGCTATTCTCCAACGATTATTGAGTCCATTAAACACTAATTTGGTAGGATTTATTCCGGGTCAATTTTGGGCAGATTCCAAAGAGGTACCATAACAGATTTCGGGCGATTTATCCGAAATGCCATTTTCTTTCGATTCTGGAGGCTACAGATCACGGAATCAGGCCGAGGCTCTTCCACCGATAATAAAGTCTATTGATCCTATTCTCCACGGATGATATGTCCGTTAAGCATCGATTTGGGCCAATTTATTTTCGGATGGCATTTTCGTAATTTCTTGTGCTACGAAAGTCCATTTTCTTTGAAAATTGAAGGCTACAGATCTCGGATTGGGCCTGAGGCTATTCTCCAAAAGTGATTGAGTCCATTAAGCACCGATTTGGTAGGATTTATACCAAGACAATTTTTGGCAGATTCCAAAGGGGTACCATCACAGATTTCGGGTGATTTAACCGAAATGCCATTTTCTTTCGATTCTGGAGGCTACATATCACGGAATCAGGCCGAGGCTATTATCCACCGATAATGAAGTCTATTGATCCTATTCTCCACGGATGATAAGTCCGTTAAGCATAGATTTGGGAGAATTTATTTTTGTATGGTATTTTCGTAATTTCTTGGGCGACGAAAGTAAATTTTCTTTGAATATTGAAGACTAAAGATCACGGATTCAGCCTGAGGCTATTCTCCAACGATGATTGAGTCCATTAAGCAACAATTTGGGCGGATTTATTCCGGGTCAATTTGTGGAAGATTCCAAAGGGGCACCATCACAGATTTCGGGCGATTTATCCGAAATGCCATTTTCTTTCGATTCTAGAGGCTGCAGATCACGGAATCAGGCCGACACTATTATCCACCGATAATGAAGTCTATTGATACTATTCTCCACGGATGAAATGTCCGTTAAGCATTGATTTGGGCAAATTTATTTTCGGATGGCATTTTCGTAATTTCTTGTGCGACGAAAGTCCAATTTCGTTGAATATTGAAGGCTACAGATCACGGATTTGGCCTGAGGCTATTCTCCAACGATGATTGAGTCCATTAAGCACCGATTTGGGCGGATTTATTCCGGGACAATTTTTGGCAGATTCCAAAGGGGTATAATCACAGATTTCAGTCTATTTATCCGAAATGCCATTTTCTTTCGATTCTGGAGGCTTCAGATCACGGAATCAGGCCGAGGCTATTATCCACCGATAATGAATTATATTGATCCTATTCTCCACGGATGATATGTCCGTTAAACATCGATTTGGGCCAATTTATTTTCGGATGGCATTTTCGTAATTTCTTGTGCGACGAAAGTCCAATTTCGTTGAATATTGAAGGCTACAGATCACGGATTCGGCCTGAGGCTATTCTCCAACGATGATTGAGTCCATTAAGCACCGATTTGGGCGGATTTATTCCGGGACAATTTTTGGCAGATTCCAAAGGGGTATCATCAAAGATTTCAGTCTATTTATCCGAAAAGCCATTTTCTTTCGATTCTGGAGGCTACAGATCACAGAATCAGGCCGTGGCTATTATCCACCGATAATGAAGTCTATTGATACTATTCTCGACGGATGATATGTCCGTTAAGCATTGATTTGGGCAAATTTATTTTCGTATGGCATTTTCATAATTTCTTGGGCCACGAAAGCCCATTTTCTTTGAATATTGAAGGCTATAGATCATGGATTCGCCCTGAGGCTATTCTCCAACGATGATTGAGTCCATTAAGCATCGATTTGGGCGGATTTATTCCGGGTCAATTTTTGGCAGATTCCAAAGGGGTACCATCACAGATATCGGGCGATTTATCCGAAATGCCATTTTCTTTCGATTCTGGAGGCTACAGATCACGGAATCAGGCCGAGGCTCTTCCACCAATAATAAAGTCTATTGATCCTATTCTCCACGGATCATATGTCCGTTAAGCATCGATTTGGGCCAATTTATTTTCGGATGGCATTTTCGTAATTTCTTGTGCTACGAAAGTCCATTTTCTTTGAAAATTGAAGGCTACAGATCTCGGATTGGGCCTGAGGCTATTCTCCAACGGTGATTGAGTCCATTAAGCACCGATTTGGTAGGATTTATACCAAGACAATTTTTGGCAGATTCCAAAGGGGTACCATCACAGATTTCGGGTGATTTAACCGAAATGCCATTTTCTTTCGATTCTGGAGGCTACATATCACGGAATCAAGCCGAGGCTATTATCCACCGATAACGAAGTCTATTGATCCTATTCTCCACGGATGATAAGTCCGTTAAGCATAGATTTGGGAGAATTTATTTTCGTATGGTATTTTCGTAATTTCTTGGGCGACGAAAGTAAATTTTCTTTGAATATTGAAGACTACAGATCACGGATTCAGCCTGAGGCTATTCTCCAACGATGATTGAGTCCATTAAGCAACAATTTGGGCGGATTTATTCCGGGTCAATTTTTGGAAGATTCCAAAGGGGTACCATCACAGATTTCGGGCGATTTGTCCGAAATGCCATTTTCTTTCGATTCTAGAGGCTGCAGATCACGGAATCAGGCCGGCGCTATTATCCACCGATAATGAAGTCTATTGATACTATTCTCCACGGATGAAATGTCCGTTAAGCATTGATTTGGGCAAATTTATTTTCGGATGGCATTTTCGTAATTTCTTGTGCGACGAAAGTCCAGTTTCGTTGAATATTGAAGGCCACAGATCACGGATTTGGCCTGAGGCTATTCTCCAACGATGATTGAGTCCATTAAGCACCGATTTGGGCGGATTTATTCCGGGACAATTTTTGGCAGATTCCAAAGGGGTATAATCACAGATTTCAGTCTATTTATCCGAAATGCCATTTTCTTTCGATTCTGGAGGCTTCAGATCACGGAATCAGGCCGAGGCTATTATCCACCGATAATGAATTATATTGATCCTATTCTCCACGGATGATATGTCCGTTAAACATCGATTTGGGCAAATTTATTTTCGGATGGCATTTTCGTAATTTCTTGTGCGACGAAAGTCCAATTTCGTTGAATATTGAAGGCTACAGATCACGGATTCGCCCTGAGGCTATTCTCCAACGATGATTGAGTCCATTAAGTACCGATTTGGGCGGATTTATTCCGGGACAATTTTTGGCAGATTCCAAAGGGGTATCATCAAAGATTTCAGTCTATTTATCCGAAATGCCATTTTCTTTCGATTCTGGAGGCTACAGATCACAGAATCAGGCCGAGGCTATTATCCACCGATAATGAAGTCGATTGATACTATTCTCGACGCATGATATGTCCGTTAAGCATTGATTTGGGCAAATTTATTTTCGTATGGCATTTTCGTAATTTCTTGGGCCACGAAAGCCCATTTTCTTTGAATATTGAAGGCTATAGATCATGGATTAGCCCTGAGGCTATTCTCCAACGATGATTGAGTCCATTAAGCATCGATTTGGGCGGATTTATTCCGGGTCAATTTTTGGCAGATTCCAAAGGGGTACCATCACAGATATCGGGCGATTTATCCGAAATGCCATTTTCTTTCGATTCTGGAGGCTACAGATCACGGAATCAGGCCGAGGCTCTTCCACCGATAATAAAGTCTATTAATCCTATTCTCCACGGATGATATGTCCGTTAAGCATCGATTTGGGCCAATTTATTTTCGGAAGGCATTTTCGTAATTTCTTGTGCTACGAAAGTCCATTTTCTTTGAATATTGAAGGCTACAGATCTCGGATTGGGCCTGAGGCTATTCTCCAACGGTGATTGAGTCCATTAAGCACCGATTTGGTAGGATTTATACCAAGACAATTTTTGGCAGATTCCAAAGGGGTACCATCACAGATTTCGGGCGATTTAACCGAAATGCCATTTTCTTTCGATTCTGGAGGCTACATATCACGGAATCAGGCCGAGGCTATTATCCACCGATAATGAAGTCTATGGATCCTATTCTCCATGGATGATAAGTCCGTTAAGCATAG